TAGCGTATATGTACGAGATGTTCAAAATTGAGCTTCATGACCTTTTCAGAACCCAGCACTGAAAGGTATTTAAAAACCACCTTGCCAAATAAGTTATGTAGTCCAGGGAGTACAAAATGTGAAACAATAATTATCGCTGTCAGCCACCCAATTAACTAAAATTAAATAATTAACCTTTAGGTGACTGCACCAAGCAGGCATGTTTCTATTGAAAAGCTGGAGTCAGTAGTGTTTTTACACAGTTCCACTAGGAAGAATTCTTCTAGCATATGCCTGGCCTTTCAGATCTCCCTCCCGCTGCCAAGTTTAGTAGCTGTTTTTACGATTGCACATGCAAGGCAGTCAGCAGTGCCGCAAAGCTATCCATAATGCTCTGGGGCAGTTGCGTGCGGTATTTATTCTGACGAACCGAAGGCATAGACAAAGATGATATTAGTTACTTTGCTACCCGCTGGAGGTATCGAGCAATGACTGCTCGTCACATGAGGAAGGAAATTTAACCCATCCTCTCAGCCTTGCAAGCTTAATCGTGCAAACAGCAATTGAACTTTCTGGGAGCATGTCTCGATGCACAGACTTGCTAGAATTCTTCCTAGTGGAACTGTGTACAAACTCGGCTGCTTTAGCCAGGGGCGCAGGCAGAAATTTTCTTTCTCAATTTGGAGTTTGGGCCGGCCAGGCAGATGTGATTGAGTGTCATTTTAGGCTCAGTATGCCATGACAAAAAATTTTAGGGAAGGGGGGTGGGAATCTGTCTAGTGTGTCACCTCTTGGCTATGCTGCTGCCTCCAACTTTTAATACCAACACGCCTGCTTGCAGCAGTAACTAAAAAGTTGATTATTTTATCCTAGTTAATGGAGTGGCTGACAATGATGAACAGTTTCTCACTTGATGTCTCCCAGAATGCATGACTTATCTGCAAAGGTGGTTTTCAAGCATTTCCTAGTGTTGAATTTTAAGAAGGCCATAAAGCTTAATTTTGAACACCTGGCATTCAACATTTGTGCATGTGCGTTTATTTACACACACACACACACTTTCTCTCTCTCTGTCTGAATATTCTGTTAACAACTGTGTGCAGTTGTTAAACACATCATGGAAGCTCTCCCACCAAAACATTGGAATAAATTAGAGCTGTGCGAATATCTTGCAAATATTTTTTGTATATTTTTCAGACAGTTTGAAGCAAAATTGCATGAAGAAAATGTTGGAGAGGATTTCTAAGCATATTCTTACAAGAAATAGCAACTTGAATCTTCATTTTTTGATACGTTGATGAAGTGCTGGTGCGGTGGTATTTATTAGTTGTCTTATCAAGAATGGGGCAATGCAGAGACTGAATTGCATTAGTACATAACTTGATGCAACTTAAGTGTTGCGATAACACTTCGCACGGGAAAGGCAAATACGCTGCTGCAGTCGCAAATGCATCAACTAAAAAAAAAATGCTGGTTCTAACATGGAGATGATAGACGAGAGAGAGGTGGAAGCTCAATGAATGCCATAAAATAGAATGCCAAAGATGTTTAGCATCTAAAACTTCCTCAGCGGAGAAAGTGGAGCCCAATCATTGTGGCGGACAAGGTTGTGCTCCCTTTAAGTGAGGAGTCCTAAATATGGCTTGTGGACATCCCTATACAAGACGATTTGAAGTTTTGGATGCTAAACATCTTTGGCATCCTATTTTATGGCATTCATTGAGCTTCCACCTCTCTCTCGTCTATCATCTCCATGTTAGAACCAGCATTTTTTTTTAGTTGATGCATTTGCAACTGCAGCAGAGCATAAAAGGCAGCTTGGCTGCAAACACGAGAATGTAGTGAGGTGAAGCAAGTTCAAGATCTGAAGGAGTCGCTTTCAATTGGCCGTTGATGCTTTCGTCTTTGGGAAGTCCCAATAGTTCAAATCGTATAAATTTCAGTGTGAATCAAATCGAATAGCAAACACTGCTTGAAAAATAATCGAAATTTTGAAAATCCGCACATCCCTAGAATAAATATAACGATTTATGTGCACCTTTTATGTGCACTTCGCACACTTTTTGCGTCAAGTCGAGATGCCTTTCATTATGTAAACTCAAGACCCAGCAGTTGCTTCATGGTGTACCAAAAGGAAAGCCTGTCACCCTTTTGTTTTCGCAGTGGCCTTGTCAATTGCTACTCTGAAATTACTTGTCTCTGGAACCGATACGAAACGTTGTGAATGCTGATATGTCATTTCTTTTAAACATTGAAGTCTGTACTTATTCTCACATTTTTTAAAATTTGCCCAAGATTTCCCACGGTGTGTGAGATGAGCCGATGCCTCTGTTACTGACCTGCCCAATAGTGTTCATCATTAGGCAGCACAAGTATCTTACAAGTACAGAAGCTTCAAGATCAACGGATGGCGTTCATTATTTGGGGATTCAAACGCAACATTTTTTTTTGTTTGACTGCTATGAGCAACTGATCATGATAGCCACGTCATGTGGCTGTGAATCTGGATGCTAATGTAGGCTCTGATGCAAATGTGAGTCAAAACTGTGCCGACATGACACAAAATGTCGATGATGTAAAGAAAAGTGTGTGCATTGCGCAGCCCCAAGTCCTCGCATTCTGATCTGGGAGTAGCGTACGGTGCAGTTCACTACTTAAATAAGAAGTGGAAGCGATTCCTTCATAGGAAAGTAGGCAACATACAGCTTAGCAGTAAATGGTGTGTGAATGGCCTTTAAAAGTGTGCAGCACTGTACATATACCTTGCATGTCATCACTGAAATCTTGCTTTTTTTACGCACATATTTACATACCCATACCAGCGATGAAACTGGTATGGACTCCAAACACCCGAGAAAAGATAAATTAAGCAAACAGCGAAGTTCAGAAGGCGTTGGTCTCGTGTTCCAATATGGGGTGGTTTACAGCGGCCACTAAACTTGCAATGTGTAATTCAATGAACTAGGGATAAATTTTATTTTTCTCTGCATGTGGCAAATGTGCTTTCACGCATTTTACTGCGTTTCAGCATGTTAAACGCCACAACAATCATTACTAAGGTTTCACTAGGCAAGATGACGGTAAGATTATAAGAAATGCTGCAGTGGAGGGCTACAGGAATTTTGTCCATGTGGTGTTCTTTAGCATGCACCATCGTCACACGGTAAGCAGACCCCTAGGCTTCGATCGAAGTGTGACTGCTGCAACTGGAATCAAACCAAAAACATTTAGGTCAGCAGCTAAGCCTGTAATTACTGTACCACAACAGTGTACCACAAGCAAGTTAAAAGCATCTGACAACTCAAGAAGTGTGGAAAAAAATGCCAGGCCGCTCTTCTAGCGAAAGCTAGAAGAGCGGCCTTGTAGAGCCCTTTCAAACACCTTTCGGGTAACTGCTACAAGTTCACTGCTGGGTACCCAATACACCATAATCCATAATAATATTTGTGCAGTCGGCTAGCATTCACTATGCTAGCCATCCTTCTTTGGAGAAGCCAGGTATCTGCTACACACTTGTTGGGAATTTTGTGCAACTTTTTTTTTATGCAGTGGCTAATGGTGAAGAATTATGCCTGAAGTGGGTATGCACCACAGTTAATACGTGATTAAGAACAAGTTATCCAATGGGTTGGAGCATTGGACGACCCACTCATTACGCAATTCGCATTGTGCAACGCGTGGCTGCTCTTTTAATGTTCTAAAACGCCTTATTATCCATATTAACGATTAATTTCCAGACATCAAGCCTGCTGTTATGCCTGGGAGTCCACACTGAACGTCAATGCCTCTGCAAAGGCAATCTGTGTCAAGGCCAGTGCTCGAGCACGCCTGACGCGATCAACTCAACGACGTCATCAAGCGGCGGCGCCGGTCTGTCACGCAATGCACAGCGAGCTCCCTCAGCCCACGAGCCCGATGAAGCAATCGGCGCCTTCCATTCCTGCGAGTCTTACGCAATGCGTGGCAACATCCCTCGTCCTTGGGTGCAACCACGTGCAGCGGCGGGTCTCCATTCTGACATCACGGCCAGCGTCGCTTTTGGTTGGACGTTTGGTGACTCAAAATAACTACCCGGTGCCTATACAAAAAGCCTTGCTTGCGCGTCTTGCTAGTAGACCTACTGTGTCAGAGAAGCCTCTCGTCCGTTCGAGCCCTTCCGCTGTCAGCGCGCCCGGTGTCCTTGGCAGCGGCGAGTTTTGTGGCGCCCTTCGTAAACTCGTCGGCGGTGCGCTTCGTAATAGAGAGAGAAGCCGACGGATGTGTGCGAGATAAGACATCTCGGCTCTTTGAGTCCCTAAGCTGTCGACCCCAAAGCCGAATTGTAACGCCTCTATTTATATGCTGTACATAAACCTTGCCTTAACTCACCGTCATCTCGTCCGCTCGTCCATCAGCTCTGCGCAGCAGTCACGAGCTGAATAACATACGCTACCAAATGGCTAGTGACCTTGGCGGCGGAGTTCGGAGCAGTGCCGCCTTCGGGACCGTGTTGGCATCTCGTCTTTCGTAACACTGCCTAAGGCCAGTTTAGAAACTAGTTCCAAGCACTGGCGTGGCTAAGTGGTAGAATGCTGGGGTGGCACACTGCGGACCCGGGGTGGAGTTCTGTTGTGTCATTGGTGTTTATTTACCCAGTTTTCGGGGCAAAGCTCCTTAGGGTGTAGGTCTGTCCTTCCTCCGTTGTTGTCATACGTAGCCACCGGTGGCACATACTCGCTCTAGAGCGGGTTTGTGATCGGAGATGACCGTACTTGGAGTGTTCACTAGATGGATATACAGAAGGATGCATGGACAGACAGACAGACAGACTAGCAGACCGACAGACACATGTGCAGAGCGGGTATGTGCCACAGGGGATGCGAGATGGCGATATACTTGAAATTTTCACTAGATGGACGCACGGACATACAGACTAGAAGACTGCGCGTGACCCATGTTCTGATCGCGTAACAGCTTTTGCTGTAAAACATTTTAATGTTTATGAATGTATTTTATTCTCAAAGAAAACACAGATTCCAGGCTTGTGTGCACGGCTTTCCTCCTTTTATTTACATGCTATTAAGTTTGAAGCTTTTGTATGTATACAGTGTGTAATATATGACATGTGGAAAAGTGCTAAATAAGTCTAGAACTCAACATGTTTGTGAAGCAGGTAACCGTAGATAAAGAGAATAGGCAAACTAGTAGTCCTGTCATATGAAAAAAGGATACATACAGTTCATGTCTGGCCTCTTCACAGGTTACGTCATCCTTCAAAACACACTGCAATGCTGCAATATTGCATACAGTAATTATTTCTTTCAATTTCTTTTAATTGACAAAAGTTGCTGGCCACACACCAACACACATTTGAATAGCTTTGCTAGTCTTCAGTACGCACACACAGCTCGTCGGTTTCTTTCGGAATTCTGTTCAAACTCACACACACTGGATTGCCAGCCACTAATTTGAAGGAACATATTTATAATTAGATAAAAAAGAAATGCTTCCCGAGTGCCACATTTGCTATGCTTTAGTAAAGCACTAGCTCAAAAGCAGCCCTGTAGTACACATACAAATACCACCAGCCGAGATCTCTCCATTAAAGAATACTGCAGTACGTATCAGCGCCGACAAACAGGCACGACCAATTAACATGGGCATCCCCCTTCCAGTTAAGCTGAAGAGTTTCACACCTTTTTTCCGATTTGTCAGCGACATGATGCCGCTCCCCAGTGTTTTGTTCAGGAACCAAATGCAACTATCATTTCGAGAGATGTCGCTTAAGTAATCGAGGCACATTGAGCCCAACCTTGGCACAGGGCCGTATGGAAGAAAAATAAAGCAATCATGCCGCTTTGTGAACCAACACTACGGCTAGTAATCATATTGGTTGCGGCAGACAATAAGGAGATTAGAATACATGCATTAACTAAAAACTTTGCATGGCTCTTTCCAGCAATAGGCCAAGGAAGAAATGCTTGCTAACACGAAAGAGTTATGAACGACCTACAAGAACAATTCGCAAAGATTTTCTTCTGAATTTGAGGGAACTATATTTCCCCACAACAGCTTTTCAAACTCGCTATTCCCCACCCATGATACTTACTTCTTGTTTACAATAAAAACCAACAATCGCAAAGCACAAACTTGGGCGGTTCAGTGCTGCTGTGTACGCCTCATGCAACACTCACCTACGAGTAAAATAGCGCAAATCCTCGCGATTCAAGCTCAGTCATCACAGTACTCAGCAAACGCGACTTCTCGTGCCTGTCACACGTTAACTGTGATGTGCTGGTCTAACCACCGCAAGTGTGCAATGTGACCACGGAGTTACAGCCTCCTAGTTCAGATGCCCATCAGCAGTAAGACCCCCTATCGTGAGACTGCCCAATACCCACATACTGTGGTGTTAGAATGCTCTAAACAGTACTGCCACACTTCTTTAACAAGGGCACTTGTAATGCACTATCGTGTTGGCTGTCTGCACGTTTCAAAGAGTCAAGGCTCAAAAACAGCTTCAAACAGTGGCGATGGCGAGAGTGAGTCACTCAGGCAGGTCCTATGCACTACGACAAGAGGCACTGTTGGCGAGGCACACAGCTATATACAACACACACTTATCCCAAGGTGGCCGGGGAAGTAGCCGGGTGGTAGCCAAGAGGAGCCACACGCTGAAGTGACCAAGCCCGGTCAGCTGGGCTGCGGCACCACCTGAAGCAGACGCCCGTCGCTAGTCAGGAGGAGAATGGGCGTCTGCATAGTGTTTTGCACTGTGGCCTGCAACAACAACGAAGCAGCAGCATGCTGCGAATCGTTCGCAGGCGCTTGCGCCATGGGGATAAGCTGGCCAATCATGTCTTGCGACACGGCCGGCACCTCAGGTTGCTGCAGAACGACCTGCTGCTGCTGCTTCGGCGGGCTCTGTGGAACGACAAACACGAGTTGCTGCGACCCATTAGAGCCAATGAGTTGCTGATGCTGCTGGGACGATAAGAATGTGTCGCTCCTCGAAGTGTGCACGCCACTCGACGCCATGCCCACCGTGCCGTCCATGCTGGAGCTCATATTGTTTGAGGCTGGAAGCTGCATTGCGAGACTTGAAGATTTTCCGCGGTGCCTGCGATAGGTGCTAGTGGCGGAATCTCTTTGACCTTCGTCGTTGAAGGTGTATTTGAATGTTTCCACCATGGCAGCCCGTGTTTCCGTGAGTTTGTTCCCTCACGCCGGCGATTCTGCAGTAATGCAGGCAAGGTAACACTTGGTTGCACAACAGGCGACGACACAGGAAGAGTCTGCATCAGCGATGTTGCCACTGGGATTTCCACTGGTGGATGCAGTCACGGGACTTGTCTGCACCAGGGACGTCTCCTCGGCAGACGATGCCAGTGTCTGCACAAAGGACGACATGGCAGGGATGTTCATGGTGGACGTGCTCACTGGCAGCGTCTGCATGAGCGACTGCACCACAGGAACATTTTGCACGACTGGTGGAGCCATCTGGAGGTTTTGTATTACCGTCGAGGAAGCAGACATGTTTTGCATGCCCGATAGTGCACCAGTAAAATCTGGAGCTGGCATTGTCGTTGAATAGCTCGGCCCTACAGGTGGCACTGTTGGCAGCGGCAGCGACTGGAGGTTGTTACCGAGGCTGGCTTCATCAAGAGTTGTGTACTCTACATGTAACAAGATCTCCTGCCCGCTATTGTCCACCGCCGGCACCAGAACAGACTTCTGTGAGGAGCGCTGTTCTTGGTCTTGCTTGCAGATGTCCTCCATGATCATGTCAGAGGCCAGAGGGAAACTCTGGGTTTCCGGAACCAGAGTTTCCGGCACACTTTCCTGAACCACGGGAATGCTTGGCATCCTTCTCTTTCTGCATTACAACTGGCTCCACATTACATATGTTCTGCATTACAGTTGGCTCTGCATTACTAATGTTTTGCATTACAGCTGGCTCCACATTTCGAATGTTCTGCATTACAACTGGATCCGCATTACAAATGTTCTGCATTACAGTTGGCTCTGCATTACTAATGTTTTGCATTACAGCTGGCTCTGCAGTATGAATTTTCTGCATTACAACTGGCTCTGCATTACAAATGTTCTGCATTGTGGCTGGCTCCGCATTACAAATGTTCTGCATTACAACTTGCTCTTGCACGACTGGAAGCACCGTAACAGGAGCAGCCTGGGTTGACTGAGGCGTGGATGGACGGCTGGGCTCCGTGAAAGTCGTGTAGCCCGCCTCGAGCAGCGAGCGCACCTTCGTCGGTCGCTTTGCCTGCTCGGCCTGCCTTTTGTGGTACTCCGTCGATCGTTTCGGATGATCGAGCTGCACCCTTGTGAACGGCCTGATCCACGTCGTGGAGCTAGGCGTCACGGTGGTCAATGTTGCAGATGTCGAATTTCTGGCCAGTATGTGGGGTATGGATACTTTTGCAACTGATTCTTTAGACACAGCAGGTATGGATCGCGCCAGAGTCGGAATGGGACTAACAGTCTGAGTGGAGACCTGGCAGCTCGTCACTCTGCTAGGTTGGCTAGGAGGATGGGCGACAGGCTGGCTAGATGGCTCGCTTGCAGCCGATTCTTCGTCAGAGTTGCTGAGCCCATTTGGCAGTGCCAGGGCAATCTTGCGCTTTCGTAGCACCCGCCAACCGCTGCTGTCCTTGCACTCTTCCTCCATTTCCACTCCCTCTTCATGATCGTCGGCATTGTCATTGTACTCCTCTTGACTCATGCTTTCGTCGGAAGAAGAGTCCTCTATGAGGCACTCGTCCTTGTAGTGCATCGTCCAAGAGTCCACGGCATCCTGTAAGTGGGAGGAAAATCTATTAAAGCCCAAACCACTACAAACTCCAGCTGTGTCTCAGCCAAAAGAATGAACTTCGCAAACAAAAACAGCTAGCAAGGAGTACGAGTTATTACAAGAACCACATGAAAGCAAAGTTCACGCCTACAGTTGTGTATACGTATCTTGAAGGGGCCCTGCGACACTTTTCGGACAGCCTTATTTATAACAGGAACACGTGTAGTGATGGTTAGTTACACGAATGCAACTAATAATTATGGACATTGGTGCACGAAAAGTGAAGTTATGAGTTCTCCAAGTTCAAAACTCGGGCAGAAGACTATGATAAACGTTCTCTTTCACATTTTATTCACCTGCTGATATCAAAGACCGCTTCTGATCACAGAGCGCGTCTCAGAAAGACATACCCAGAATGTCACCTCATGGTGGCCTTAACACAATGCTATGCTACCGCTTTTTTTGACGGCATCGTTAGCATGGTTACTACAAACCACGTGTGTCAGGGAACAGACGCCCCAACGGTGATACTGTGAAAGATGCACACATACAGAAACATGGTCTCTCCAATGCAACTCGCCACGTGTTTACAGAAGGTTTTCAGGACCCTAGATTGGGAAGACTTGGGAGATAAGAGTTAATAAAGAGTATCTCGGTAACCTGTGATTCGCTGATGACATTGCCTCGGTAACTCAGTGGGCAAATTACAGCTCATGATTACTATACTGGACATGAAAAGCAGAAGAGTAGGCCTGAAAATTAATACGCATAAAATAAGGCAATAAATGTGCAAAAGTCTGGGAAGAGAACAGAGATTGTGATAGGCGGTCAGACGCTGGAAATTGTAAAGGAATATGTCTACTTAGGACAGGTAGTAACCGCGGAGCAGAGTTATGAGAACGAAATAACTAGAATAACAAGGATATGGTCGAGCACATTCGGCAAACATTTTCAAATGAAGAGTGTTAGTCTACCACTACCTCTCAAAAGGAGAGTATGCAACAGCTGCGTCGTACCGGTATTTATTATGGAGCAAAACCCGGAGGCTTACAAGGAGGGTTGAACTCAAATTGAGGACGATGCAGTAAGTGATGTAAAGGAAAATAATAGGTGTAATCTTAAGAGACAGGAAAAAAGCACAGTGGGTAAGGAAACAAACTGGGGGTCACGGATATCATAATTAAAACCAAGAAGAATAAATGAACATGGGCCAGGCACGTAGTGCATAAGCAGCATGACCCCATGTCATTAAGAGTAATTGACTGAATTCAAAGAGAAGGCAAACAGGTTAGAGGGAGACAGAAAATAACGTCAGCAGAGGTTCACAGGTATAACACGGCAACAGAAAGCACAAGAATGGGTTGTTTGGCAGAACATGGGATAAACCTTTGCCCTGCAATGGGCGTAGTCAGGCTGATGATAATGAACTGTATACAGTTGAACCCCTCCATAAGAGAGATGCACTGGGCAGCCATTCATGTCTTTTATGTGAGGTGCCTTTTGTAAGCAGGGTAGCACGTATGAGTTTTCTAATGAACTTACACATTTCACTGTAGACATCCTGGTGTCTCTTATGCCCATTTGTCTCTTACATCAGTTTCTCTTATAAAGTGGTTCGACCTTACTACCGTGCTCCAAGGACAGCAACAAGGAGCTCGAAGGGCCCCAATCACTGACCTCGCTGCCATGGATGTCCTGGGTGTCCGGCTGGTGCCACTCGTGGTGGAGTCGGGTGCGCAGGGCCGCGTCCGTCTGTTGAAAGGCCGCCTCCTCCGTCTCCCACTCCGACAGCAAGATTCGTAGCTGGTCCAGCAGTGGACGCTCCACACCCTCCTCGACTTTTGCTGCCTCAGCACTTCCCTGCAGGGTAATGCATTTGCATACAAATTCAAGGTGGAGTGAAACATTAAAAGAGAGTTTTAAGTTTGCCTCTGCAGCAGTGGTTGTAAAGGCTATGGCTATTCTATAAAATTTGCAAAGTATTTCGAATGTAGATGCAGGTTGTATTAAAGCTCAAAATTGGATTCTAATTGTGCTTAGCATATATTATTTGTTTTTATTTCAATTCTTCTACATATGTCCTTTTTTTATATAATATCTGCTATCTATGGATCATTGCAGTTTTGAAAAAAAGGAGTAGCTACTAACACTGACATAAGAGGAACCAAGAATTCTGAGCGTACAACAAAAGATAATTTTTTTAACTGCCACTTACAGATTTTTTTTCATAAAGTAAATAAATACAAATGCACCTAGGTTTCAAATATTAGTACCCGCTATACAAATGCCACTAATTAACACATGCAAAAAATTTTGTTCCCTTTAGTTTATGAGAAAAAGGTACACAAATACCAAGACTTGTTTACAGAAAAACACGAATATAATGTAGAGATATGTACCTATGTCCTATCAACGTTTAAAAAAAAAAAGGCCACACATTCTTTTTGAAACCTTCAGTGCCAAACTGTGATACATTTTCTGAAAACTAATGCAATTCTCTATCAGGTGATTGCAAAATCCTGAAGCAGTATGCTTATATGGATATTCAACCACTTCGAATACTCAAGCACATATTACACTATATGAATTTGCTTAGATTCGAATTTGAATTGTTGGAAATTTCGAAGTATTTGAAATGAATAGATGTGGCACCCTCGGTTTGAATTCAGGTTTTTTCGTAGTACTGCACCCCTCCACTGCAGTGAAACCACATGTAAAGATGGTTTAAAAATTATTTATTATTTCAAATAGCTTGAATTCTCAAATAATTCAAATTCACGTCGAGGCACATTTGAATGCTATAATAGTCAGTCGAATATTCTAAGTGCTCAAACATTTGCACATGCCTAGCTTCAATGCTATTTTTCTGCAGCCCCTACTTGAGACCTCTCTCGTGTCTCATGCGTGCTAAACTTACCTTTCTAGTAGTTGGCCTATTCTCCTCAGTGGCGCCCTCCTTACTATCATTGCTGTTGCTGCTGCAATTGCTCTCCGCCAGGGAAGCGATTAAAATCCGCAAGTCAGCCACGCTGGTCACCACAGTCTCGAAATCAGGGCGGCACTTTCTCTTCCTTTTCTTCCTCCGCCTCGACTTTTGGTGTTGATTCCTCCTTGGGTGTCTGTTCCCCATTCGTGGCCGCAGGGTCCGCCTCCACTGTTTCCTCCGTGGATGCTAGTTTTCCCTCCTCAGACGCCGCCGTCGCTTCCGTGGGTTCTCGCTTCCCCTCAACGAGCTCTGGCTCTACGGGTTTCGTATCCGCGTCCGTATCGGCAGGCCGCCTTCTTCTCTTCCTCTTCACACTCCTCTTTGACGGCCGCTGCTTTTGCCTGCAACGAGGAATGCAAAAACTGGTGAGTGGGCCCAATCCCAGTCATGAATGTGAAGGTGGCCCTCGAAATGGCGACATGGATGCATTACCAGACGTAAAAGATCAGCTGTAACACCTGCACTACCCAAAAACTTTCGCCACTCCCGCTTTTTATCTCCAGTTCTTTAAGATAACCAACAGTGGCTCTTTTACCTCCTCCCACTTCTCTGCATACCCGAAAAGTGACATTTTCCCTCGCTCCTTTTCGTTTAGTGTTGTGACCTTTTTTTTTCTTTTTTTCCTTTTTTTTTTTGAGGACAGAGACTACACATACCCTTCCGGGCACATAAGCTCAGTTCCCTTTTTCTAATGATGAGTGGTGCAAAGATGATAGAGGGAGCTAATCATGCGCAAAGGAAGGAAAGAAAATAGGAGGAAAAGAACGACAGGGAGGTTAACCAGCCTGTAGGCAGCCGGTTTGCTACCCTACGCATGGGAAGGGGGATGGGGGAGATGAGATAGAGAGCAGAAACATGGAAGAGAGATAAACACAGCACATTCGGCAGCACACGCGCGCACACTCAGTCATAGCTGTTACAGAAAGCAGTTTGCTACTACCTTGAAAAAGATGAAACCCTCCAGTGAAACATTGGCTCTAATGACATTCTGTGTTTGACGACACATCATCCCCATAGAGCGATAACGCATTTAAAAATCACACTAGCTTTGCGCTACGCGCAAGTGCACACGCGTGCTTCGCATGGCAATCGGTTGACAGCTTCCTGCCCACCTCAGCACAGTTCCCTCAGCCAAGATATAGAGGCGCCTCATTTCACTAACAACTGCTGGGGTTTAGCATTGTGAAACCGCCATATGATGTTATGAGAAACGTCGTAGTGGAGGGATCCTGAAATTTCCACCATCAGGGGTCCTTTAACGTGCACCTAATTCTAAGCACACAAGCCTTGAGCCTTTCTGCCTCCATCAAAAATGCAATTTCCACTGTTGGGACTGTTGTGAATCTATGCAACGACTCTGTAGTAAAAAAAAATGCCCAAAATAAACTGATACGTCACCATTCTTGTGCTTATTAGGCTTGTGCAAATAGTGAATTTTAGGTTCAAAGCAACTTTAAAGATAATAGTGATTTTGGCCAAAGAATTTCGATGCGAACTTAAATAGTGTATATATCACCTTACAAAAAAAGGACATGTTTTTCTCGACCAAACTAACCTGCACACTATTTTTTCAAAACTGAATCAAGGCCCGTGCAAATGCCATTTTTTTGCATCAAAGGAAACGGAAACAACTTTCAACAGTAGCTGGATTTCACTTTTGGTGGAATGCAAGTGATACTCTGAAATATGTTACGTTCTAAAATTTGTTATACTTAGAGCAAGGTCAATATAACGAGCTTTTAACTGAAAAAAGTGAATCGATGAGAGGGTAATATCTTCATTTAACCATGAAGTAAGGCTTTGCGACAGTGCATATTTCTCCCAAATATATGTTTTTACGGTTCAGCACTACTTCACGCAGTGCAACCACTTTTACAGAAAGTTACATGCAAACTAATATACACTTAGATGGCTGCTTTCATGGCTTAGCACCCTTCATTGCAGTGAAACCACCTTTAAAAGTGTTACAAGTGGAATAATATGCACCTATTTGTTTCTGTCAAATAATTAGAAATATAAAATAATTTAAATTCTATTCGGAGCGAATTTGAAAACTGTATTATTCGTTTGAATATTCAAAGCATTCCAATATCCACACAAGCCTTCTAACGACACGTACACTGCTCACGTCGAAAGCCAAGGGGCTCACCTTTTTGTGCCTAGAGGACCTCCTGGAACTACCCCTTTGTGGACGGCCTTTCTTCTTCAACTGAAACGAGCCACACGGCACAGATTAAACAATACGCACATGCAGTGTGAGCCTATGAGTAGTCACTTCGCAGCAAAAAGCTCAACAGGAAGCTCGTATATGGTAATACGCAGACACACATGCTGAGGTCATTGCTACATAAAACGGTACAGAAGAGAAACATCAGGCCACAGGTCATTTAGAGTTTGTGTTTCCTGTAATGATTAAAGATAATCTTACTTTCATACCAATGCCCAAATGACTCCAGATAAGAAAAACAGATTAGTCTTTTGTAAAACAAAAGCAGCACCATCATCAGCTGCATCATCAAGCAGCATCATCAGCTGCTTCAAAGCAGCTGATGGTGCTGCTTTGAAGCAGCACCATCAGATTTAAGTACACACCATGTAATTTGACCTATCACAAGTCTGATGCAGTTATGTGGCAAAGTACAGCACCGCGACATGAAAGGTGGCGCAGATCTGAGCTTCGTTATTCTTAAATCGGTGGAGCGGCATTTTTGTACGACTACAGTGCCCAATGAAACCTCGCTGTTTCGAATTGCATGGCTGGTTCCAGAAAAAATTGTACGCATTAGAATCGGAGAAACACTACAGCAGATTTGAACTCCAAAACCCACCCATGACCATATATACACTTAAACACATCTCGCACAAGCGGACTACCTTTTAGAAAACTGTCGCATCATTTTGCCTCTCATATCCATGCGTCCTGAACAAGATAACGTGAAAACTTAGTACACTAGGTGCAAATAATATGAAAATAGAAGTACACTAGGCACGGATCAAGACAGCGCACACATCACTATCCTCTCTCTTGGTTCACCTCACCTTTGCAACTGTGTAACACACAAGATTGGAAGTGGTGCCCACCCATGCAACCAGCCCCTACAACCTTCGCCTCACATCACATGCTGGTGGTTGACGAGAGAAGCAGTGCTTCGTTTTTTCAATCATCAAGATGATGCATTGCCAAGATGGTCTGACATGCACTCTCCCATCCCGATCTTCCACTGTGCCACGTGCGTGCACCCTTCCCCCTTCGCTATGGTTCCTTTGAAATTTTGTAATCGTTTGCATAAGCACATCTTCGCAGTTTGCAGCTGGAACTTAAGTTCACGGCCCTTAGATTCAAGCTACGACACTTCTTGGTGACTTCAGATCGTATGCTTGTCAAACGAACTGAAGTCACCATGGGAAGCGTGTGGCATGCTTTCTGTGTAAAAACTGCACAAATGTTTTCTGTATTTGCTAGCATATTTGCCTGAACGCGCAGCGCAGCACAGACGAGGGACAAAGAATTAGATGACACGAGCACTATGCCTCGTCTGTGCTATGCTGCATGTGCAATCAAGCATATTCACATATAAACTCACCAAAACCGTTGCATCTTTTAAGTAAAATGTACGAAACAGGTTCCATCGTACAGGTAAGACAATGAAACATCACTGAAGGCAGGTTCACAAACAACAAACGCCCATGTACACACCTTATGCGACACTTTAGGCGTTGGCTGCGGTGGCGGGCTGGGCTCCCTCTCCGGCGTCGCAGGCGGCTGGGGTAGCAGGACGCGATACACTCTGGGCTCTGCCATGCACGGGAAGTAGATGTAGCGCCGTCCGACACGGTCCTCGCCCAGGAACGCCTCGCGCAGCCTGTCAGCTTCCTGCTCCGCCATGTACTCTTGAACGCGCCGGTGCTGGCCCTGCATTGCCACATGGATCCACTTGTCTACAACGTGCGAGCCACACAGTCGTGCAACAGTTTTCATATACACTTAAACCTGTATATAATGAACCTGGATATAAAGAAGTAAATGAATCGTTTTTCAATAGATATAATGTTACGAATACACTGAGACCTCATTATAATAACATTGCATCTTAAATGAAAATATTGTCGCAAGCAAAAACAAGATCTGCAGCCAGGAGTTCACCCAAACCGGAGCAACCAAAACGTTCTCTTCTTCTTCGTAGCCCAAAACGGGTATAAGCCACAGCGGCTCGTTCATCAATGGTGGCATTACCCCCTCTCCCAAGAAGCATCGTCTCGATGCTGTACATGAAGGCAAAAAAAAGAAAATGAGATGAAAATTACCATGCATGCAAAATGAATGGCGTAAGGTGGAATAACATAGTTGGTTGTGGAGTCAAGAGTTAAATGAGAAATAAGAAAAATAGGAATGAATGTAAGGGAGAGACGAATAAAGTCAGTCACTCACTGGCGATTCACAGCGTGAAAAGTATGGTTTCAGCCGTGAAACGTGAACGACTTCAGTTCGCGGGGTGAAACGGGAACGTCTCGAAGTGCCTTCTGGGAGAACCTCGTATGTGACGTCACTGAAACGTCGTACGACCTTGTGAGGGTCGAAGTAGCAGCGAAGAAGCTTTTCTGAACGGCCACCTTGTCGGATAGGGGTCCACACCCAGACTTCATCACCGGGCTTGAAAATAACTTCACGGTGACGAAGATTGTAGCGGCGTGCGTCTGCGCTTTGGTGATGTTGAATACGGTGACGAGCAATTTGACGGGCCTCTTCTGCACACAGCGCGAATTCGGCGGCATCGGTGCGGTATATTCCTAAGTTGTCGGGCAGGAGCATGGCGTCGAGCATCGTCGTGACCTCGCGACCGTGGACTAAGCGAAAAGGTGTGAAACCGGTACTTTCTTGAACAGCAGTATTATACGCAAAAGTTACGTAGGGAAGTATGGCGTCCCAGTTCTTGTGATTGATGTCCACATACATTGACAGCATGTCTGCAATTGCATTATTGAGTCGTCCAGTCAGCCCGTTTGCTTGCGGGTGGTAAGCCGTTGTTTTGCGATGTTCCGTGCCACTTAATCGCAAGACTTCCTGCAGCATCTCTGCGGTGAAAGCTGTCCCACGATCAGTTATGACGACAGCTGGAGCACCGTGACGTAAGACGATGCTGTTCACGAAAAATTGGGCGACATCTGCTGCGGTTGCTTTTAGAAGCGCCTTCGTTTCACAGTAGCGTGTTAAGTAGTCAGTAGCGACCACAATCCACCGGTTTCCAGACGAAGACGTGGGAAATGACCCCAGCAAGTCCATGCCAATCTGATGAAAGGGCGCTTTTGGTGGGCCTATTGGTTGCAGTAGTCCCGCTGGTCGTAAAGGTGGAACTTTACGTCGCTGACAGTCGCGACATGTGCGAACGTAATGCTTCACAGTCTTTGCGAGACGTGGCCAGTAGTAGGAGCGTTGAATTCGTTGCAGCGTGCGCGTATAGCCGAGGTGTCCGGACGATGGCTCATCATGACACGCACGTAAAATGTCACCACGAAGCGTAGTTGGCGCAACAAGCAGATACATAGCTTGTGTAGGATGAAAGTTCTTTTTGTAAAGCACTCCATCGCGGAAACAAAAGGAGGATAGCGAGCGTGCAAAGCTTCGAGGAGGGTGGGAATTGCGTCCTTCCAGGTAGTCAATGAGCGGAATGAGCACCGAGTCGTGACGCTGTTGCTCAGCTAAGCGGGTTGCTGATACGGCAGAAAGAAAAATGTCGTCTTCAAGGTCAGTGTTGGCATTTTCGACCGGTTCACGTGGGAGACAGTCGGCGTCGGTGTGTTTCCGCCCAGATTTGTGGACGATGGTGACATCGAAATCTTGTAGCCGAAGGCTCCATCGTGCTAGACGACATGAGGGATCTTTGAGATTTGCGAACCAACAAAGGGAATGGTGGTCGCTAACTACCTTGAATGGGCAGCCATACAAGTATGGGCGGAACTTTGTTATGGCCCAAACAACAGCGAGGCATTCCTTCTCAGTTTCAGAATAGTTTTTCTCCGCTGGGGATAACGTTCTGCTCGCATAAGCGATCACGCGCTCTACGCCATTATGCCACTGAAGTAATACCGCTCCTAGTCCAACGTTGCTGGTGTCAGTGTGTAATTCCGTGTCAGCGCTTTCGTCAAAATGACCCAGTACATGCGGAGCCTGGAGGAGGTTTCGGAGGGTGTCGAACGCATGACACTGATCGGGACCCCAAACAAACGAGACACCGTCTTTTGTAAGCTTGTTGAGGGGTTCAGCAATCTTCGAAAAGTTTTTGACAAAGCACCTGTAATACGCACAGAGCCCCAGAAATCGGCGTAGGACGCGCTTATTTGTGGGCACGCGAAAGGCGGCAACAGCACGGGTTTTCTCCGGATCTGGGCGGATGCCGGCATGACTCACAACGTGACCAAAGAACTTCAGTTTCATATCCAAAATGACATTTCTCGGGTTTGAGAGAAAGCCCCGCTGTTCTGATCGCCTGAAGTACTGCCTGAAGGCGTTGGACGTGTTGCTCAAACGTGTCTGCAAAGACCACGACGTCGTCAAGGTAAACAAGACATGATTGCCATTTGAGCCCTGTGAGAACCGTATCCATCATTCTTTGGAAAGTAGCTGGCGCTGAGCATAGACCGAAAGGCAACACTTTAAACTCGTACAGGCCGTCGGGAGTAATAAACGCCGTCTTTTCGCGGTCGCGCTCATCCACTGCGATTTGCCAGTAGCCGCTACGTAAATCCATGGAAGAAAAATATTTAGCGTTGCGTATACGGTCCAACGAGTCATCTATCCGGGGTAGAGGATAAACGTCCTTTTGGTGACCTTGTTCAGTTACGGTAATCAACGCAAAAAACGCAACGTACCGTCCTTCTTCTTTACTAGCACAACTGGCGAAGCCCAGGGACTGGTTGATGGCTGGATGACGTCGTCCTGAAGCATCTGCTGGACTTGGTCACGTATAGCGTCTTGCTCTTTTTCCGACACCCTATAGGCGTGTTGTCGGATGGGTCTCTCGGTGGGTTCCGTGATGATACGGTGCTGAGCAAGTGGTGTCTGTTTAACCTTTGACGTAGTGGCAAAGCAGTCTTGAAATGAGCCGAGTAAACGCAAAAGGCTTTCTCGTTGAGACGAAGGTAGTCTCTCGTTTACGTCGAGAGTGCTCGCGAACGCCTCGTCAGGGTGGTCGTTCGATGAAAATAAAGCTAACGTGGGCGAACCATCGGCATCGGCAAGTTCTTGACAATATGCAATGGCAGTGTGTCTCGTTAGGTGGCGATATTCGTCGCTGAAGTTCGTGACCAGCAGGTGAACATGCCTATTGCTAGGCTGAATGATTCCTCGGGCAACACAGATTTGTCGTGAAATAAGGAGAGACAAATTGGCCTCTGCAATTACCGCGTCAGACATGTCCTGTCCCAATTCTACTTCGACAATGAGGCTGCTTCGAGGTGGGAGAGTCAGGGAATCGTCGGTAACACGAAGTGCTCTTTTCCGAAATTGTGTACTGTCAGTTGCAGCGCAAAAAGGATCCTCGAACGACACAAGTAATTCACGGAGGTCGGTGACGACGCCGTATTCACGAAGGAAGTCCATTCCTAGAATGACTGGCCGAGAGCACACGCGTAATACGAGGAAAGAGCCTGCAAATGTAGACGTACGTATACGAATGCGTGCCGTGCACATACCAATAGGCATCACCAGATGGCCCCCTGCCGTGCGCAACTGGGGTCCTTGCCATGGTGTGGTAACCTTCCTCAGTTGAGATGCCAGTGCGGCACTCATTACGGAATAGTCGGCGCCGGTGTCGACGAGGGCGTTGACAGCATGATTGTCGACGAAGACGGCGATTTCGGCAGAAACGATCTTTCTGCTGTCAGAGAACACTGCAAAACTGGAATGGTCCTCGTCTGGTCGTTGCGTCGAATGAGGGTCTTTTACAGTTCGCCGGGCCGCGACTTCACCCCCAGAAGTCGCCGTTCCTAGTTTCCCCTGCGGGACTTGGTGACCGGCTCCTGAAAGGAGCGGAAGACGATGAGGGCAAACTGGGTGACGTAGACCGGCGAGGCGACGGTGATCTCGACTGGTGGTGCTGAACAGTCGAAGGTGTTCCCTGGCCCGTGAGATAGACTTCGATTTCGCGGGGGCGCTCACCGTAGCGCGGGCATCGAGCATCAGGGTGGAAGCCGCGGAGACCTAGTTGCCGGTATTGACAGTTCCTGTATACGTGACCCGCTTCGCCGCAGTGATAACAGAGCGGACGGTTATCCGAGGTGCGCCACTTGCTTGCCTTGCTACCACTTTGCCTTGAGGTAGACTGCAGATAGGTGGGTGTGCTCGGGAACCTTGAGCCGTGAGGCGGGCTCGAAGCAGTGGCGTGGAATGACCGCATAGCAGGATCTGTAGCCGGTGGCGCAGGGGATCGCAATGCCGCTGTTTATGTCAGGACTGGCGTCTCGGGAATCGGTGGTGTGATTGGGGTCAGCGGTGTGACGGCCTGCCGGACTTCTTGTCTGATTACATCCGCGAGGGCAGACACAGATTGATGGGACCCCACCGCCTGAAGCTGTCGCAGTTCGTCCCGAACAATACTTCGAATGAAGTCTGCGAGGGCCTGTCTCTCGCTGTCAGAGCCGATAGAGCATGCGGTGGCCGGGATCTGGCGTTCGTATTGTGATGACCGCTACTGCAGCGTACGTTCCATTGTGTTCGCCTCACTGATGAACTGGGCGACTGTCGTTGGTGGATTGCGCACGAGCCCAGCGAAAAGGTGTTCTTTTACTCCGCGCATCAAATGCCTCACCTTCTTTTCTTCGAGCATGGCAGGGTCCGCGCGCTTGAAAAGCCGAAGCATGTCCTCGACAAACATGGATACTCGTTCGTTCGGCCGCTGGTTTCTGCAGGATATGGCTTGTTCAGCCCTCTCCTTCCTCTCGGTGTTCCGAAAGGCGTCACGGAGCTGACGGCTAAACTCTTGCCAGGTTGCAAAGGAGCCTTCGTGGTTCTCGTACCACGTCTTCGCAGAATCCTCCAAGTAAAAGTAAACTCGGCGCAGCTTGCGAACATCGTCCCATTCGTTGATACAGGCAACCCTATCAAAGAGGTCGAGCCAGTCATCAACATCCTCGAAGATATCTCCATGGAACGGCTTTGGTGTCTGTGGCGCATGAAAAACATGGGCAAGAAGAGAACCATGGGCATCGCTGGTTTGGACAGCCTGGCTTGTCATCGAAGTTGCCATCTTTCTGGGTGTCGATGTCAAGGGACCAAATTCAGGGGGTAACCCACGCAGGCGGCGGCTTCTTCTTGCTCTGGGAGATGTAACTGTCTCCACGATGGCCGACACAGCCGAAGTACATGTACCCAGCACCTCCACCAGTAATGTCGCGAGCAAAAACAAGATCTGCAGCCAGGAGTTCACCCGAACCGAACCAACCAACCGAACCAACCGGAGCAACCAAAACGTTCTCTTCTTCGTAGCCCAAAACGGGTATGAGCCACAGCGGCTCGTTCATCAATGATGGCAATATGTTCATTATATTCGAAAATTCGTTTAAAGTTGTATTCATAACACTACAGCTATTGCATGACTGTTCTTCATTTACTTCGCTATAACCGATATTTCGTTATATTCAGGTTCGTTATATCGAGGTTTGAGTGTATACCTTCATAACAAATATTTGGATCTAACAAACTCGATTTCGATAATATCCAAGTACATTATAATGAAGTTTGAGTGTACCACTACGAAACGTAAATACAGTCGCCGACCGATTTTTCGGACCTGGCGGGGACCGAAAAAAAGTACGAAAAATCTAACAGTCCGAAAAATTCGTTTTCGCCAAAAATCTGAAGTTTATTGCATCAGGCAGGTTTAAAAAAGTCCTTGATGCTGCCTTGCCTCAAACTACGCTTGGAGGCAATTTGGTTTGCCCGTATTTGCGCCAAGGTGACATCGTCGTTGTCATCCGAGCCGCTCTCCGGCTCCGGGACAACCTGGCGAAGAATTTCGTCGTCAGTGGCCTCCGCGCACGCTTCTTCACACCACCTGGCTCCCGCGATGGCACAGATGGCGGAGCCATGGCTCCGAGAACACAAAATTCGATGCCGCAGATAGCCGCTGCGAAGCACACAACGTCTCGACGCTACGCGACACAACACGTGCAGAATGGCGAGTGAAAAAAGCTGCAACGACGATAAAAGAATCCTTCTTTCGCCTCCTCCCCGTACGATGTGATGACGATAGTGCTGACCGAAGACGAAAAACGGCATCCATCACCGCGTCTTTTAAAAAGCAAACACGGCCTCCGAAACTTAAAATATGGCGTGCGCAGTCCAATCTCGGAGGCAGGAAAGGCATCTAAAGACCAAGCTTAGTCAAGCCGACGGAAAATCCAACATGGCGGCGTTCACGATGGCTTGGAACGTGGCACAAAACGAAAGATTTAGTCCGAAAAATCGAACTTTCAGGGGCAAATTCGCCCGAAAAATCGGTCGAAACAATGCATTAGCTCTATGGGATCCCTGACAGTGCATTTATGAAGTCCGGAATATCCAACAAGTCCGAATTTTTGGAGTCCGGAAAATCGGTCGGCGACTGTATTGCCATGTGCGCTTCTTCTATTTTTACGTGACTCGCCCACTGCCACATGCAGGTTGCGCCAGAATGTCTCCGAACAATCCCGATCTTTTTTAGAATGTTGAAATAAGCAGGTGCGCACTACACGAGCAACAGAGCTTATTTTAGAGCTACCGCAAGCACCAGAAACATGGCATTTTCTCACATATAACCTGCATCTGCGTATAACCCACACCCCTAACATTAGCACTACAAAATGAAGAAAAATGTGCATATAACTACTGCATGAAACCCACACCCCGACTTTTAAAACACAATATTTTTGTAATTTTAGCCTGGGTTATATGTAAAAAAATGTGGTAATGCTGGAAGGTTTGCCACGGGATGCATAAAAACTGACATATTTCAACGACAAACAGATTACGGACAACCAACGTTTATGCTTGCCGCTATTGCTGCACCTTGAGTGTTACTAGGCACAAGTTCACAGTTCACCCACTAAAGCATTTCATCTTTACAGGCTGCTTGTTCCTTTCATCAACCTCACAACCATATGACAACACTACAAAGCAGTGATATTTGTTCTGCTATGCACTGCTGTGGCTGTGCACTGTATTGAAAGTTCCACTGTCTAGTTACCAAGGATTAGTTTGCCTAAACTCTGCAAGTTCCTTATCTTGTAACAGTAAGGGGCGCCCCGCCGCGGTGGTCTAGTGGCTAAGGTACTCGGCTGCTGACCCGCAGGTCGTGGGATCGAATCCCAGCTGTGGCGGCTGCACTTCTGATGAAGGCAGAAATGTTGTAGGCCCGTGTGCTCAGATTTGGGTGCACGTTAAAGAACCCCAGGTGGTCGAAATTTCCGGAGCCCTCCACTACGGCGTCTCTCATAGACATTTGGTGGTTTTGGGACGTTAAACCACACATATCTATCAATTGTAACAGTAAGGTAGATTCACACTGCTGCAAGTGCCACAAACTGAAGAACCAAAGTAATTATTCTATGTCTGGCTGCTTGGTTGCTTTTACGAAATTCAAAATACGAACTTGAGTTCTACCTCTTGTAACTAGTGAGAAATTTCGAGCAAGCAGCCCTTTTAATGTTTCGTAAAATTGCAGTAGACTCTCAGTGAACTCAAATCTGTGAAATGAAACTGCTGCTTAAATGGAACAACTGCCTCCAACACCATTGCTTTTATACTTGGATTCTCCACCCCTGTTCATCTCGGTAAACAGAACTCCTGTAAAACTGAACACATTTTCCTGGTCCCTTCAGGTTATGTTTAACGATAGACTATTGTAACAAAAACTGGAAGAGTTGGTTGGAAATCATTATGGGATAAATGTACCACCCACAGAACAAAGAAAAAAGCTTCTTTTGTTTGTATACTCCTTTTCGTTTATGCCCCATGCATGCAGAGAACATTCCGTGATGCACCCCCACAAGTTCACAGCTACTTTCAAATTTCTAGGCTGTCTTGGGAAAGACACTGTACAAAGGCACGACACTATGGTCCCTGTCTTGCGCATCATCGTCTCTTTACTGCAAACTTGCTTGGCCCCGAGTCATTCCCCATGAACAAACGATCGGCCCCACCTCGTGCCCCTCAACAAGGCAATGGGAGGAGAGAAACGGTGGGAGCTGACCAGCTTGTGGTCGCACAGGGCCTTGAGCAGCCACACCCTCTGCACCAGGTCCAGCTCGTGGAAGTCCTTGTTCTCCATGGGATCTGTCTCGCCTGCGCAGTGACGAGGCCACATTTTCAGTCTTCGCACACAACAGAACAGGTCAGCACCAGTATGTAAAAAAATTAAAGTGCCAGCACTCCAAAAGCATGAGAGGTTGACACCAGAGGTTACAAAATATCCTGGAATACAGATGGTGCACTGAAGGCGAAGCCAGTTGCTGCTAACTTGCCACGGGAATCGGCTAACGGCATATAAATGTCCACATGTACACTCAAACCTCATTAAAACAAAGTTGCATCTTACACAAAAAATAGCTTCATTATATCCGAAAATTGGTTATAACACTAAAGCTACAGCACGACTATTCCTTATTTACTTCACTATAACAGATATTTTTTATATTCAGGTTAAATCAAGGTATGAGTGTACAGACGCGTCCACTGTTAAAAGCAACACCTGCATGCACAGCATGTACAACTGATGTCCGATTTCCCGGACCCTCAAAGGATCACGAAAACATCAGGAAAATCGGGCAGTCCGGAAAAACTAATGCAACTGAAAACACGCTTTCTTAATAGGTATTTTTGGCTGACGGAGAGAATCATGGCAGGAGAACAGGATTCTCATTGCGATTCAGCAAATGCATTGTTTAGAAGCTCTGAAAAGAGCTTTTTATATTTAGAAAAAAAAACTAAAGAAAGAGAAAAAGTCTTATGTGGCCGGCGCTACTGCTTTTGTAAATACTTAGGTGGGGAGGGGGAGAGGGGGACACAAAAGTAGCTTATTTTTGTTTGTACGGCCTTCCACTCGCCCGCGATGATGTCTGCCTTGACTTCAGCTAACGTCATGCTGTTGCTGTACACCGATGGTGAACCAGATGACAGTGTTAGTGCTCGCGTCAATTCCAAGCTCACTGGCTGTGTAGGCGCGGCCTCTTCTATCTCGGTGTCAGAATCGTCGAAAGTAATTTGAATGATTTCGTCATCGGTCTATTCTGCACACGGCTCGAGGTATTCGTCAGTATTGCCGAAGCCCTCAAAAGTTATCCCGGCTGTAATCGAAACACCGGCAGTGTGCAGATCGTCGAAGGCAATGTCCGCGGGTGGAAGTTCGTTGCACATGCTGTCCACTCCGGGCGAGACGGTCGTCTCGGCATTTAGTAGGAAGCTCGCGTGGCAAAAACAGTTTCGTAAGGTCTGTTGCGTAACCGCCTTCCAGGAGTCTGCAAGCATGCCTACGGTAGACCATAGATCAACAGCGTAGCTTTTCCCGCTGTCGGACAAGAGCACAGGCTGCACAGCACCAGCTGGCTGTGGCATTGCTGTGGCCACAGGTTTGACTAAGCTACGGCTAGCAACGGACTGGTGTGCGCTGGATTGCAGCATTTGCGGTTTCGAGGGTACACCAGCCATGGCACGGTGGGCTCGAGGGTACGAAAACAATCAAAATGGGGGCGTTGATATTGATTTCGAGTCTGCGGTTAGCGACAAGAAGTCCGGAGAATCGGATGGCAAAAGCTATAAACTTCCCGAATATTAAACTCTTTAATACATTGACTCTATGAGGAACTTGACGGGGCCACACATGAGTCCGGGAAATCAAGCATGTCTGGAATTTCGGGCGTCCGAGAAGTCAGACGTCGACTGTATACATTTCTCTATCTTACAGAAGCATAGTGGCTTTGATTTGCATAAGACTACTGGTGGTACAATGTTATGATTCTTGACAGATTAGTGACATGCACAAAGACTGCTTCATTAACCAGTAGCTACTATAGAGGCAGTGATATCGATGGTGTTTATTCGAGTGTTCCTTTTAACAGTGAACCGTATTCTACACTGAACAAAAATTTTCTTTCTGCTTCGAGTGTCTCTTACATGGTGAGTGTTACTGGACAAATATTGCGTGACATGTATACTAGCGTCGCTGGTTTTGGAATAAAACTTGAATGTCATGACAGCCTGTCTGGAACATTGTGATACAGGTAGTCAGTTGCTACTACGATGTTTAAGGCCAACATAACATCCTTTTGCTCTCCAATCAGTTCAGTTTATATGAGCAGTGCAAGAGTACTTGAACTATAATTGTTTGCTGGCTAGTTTTGCAAGCTCGCCAGGCTTTGGGTATAGGCAAGCGCTGGCTCTACCATAGCCAGCAGCATTCAGCAAGGGCTACCACTCCAGAAATTACAAAAAAAAAAAAAAAACTATTTTAATCGACACGCAGCAGAATCAGAAATCAAGCATTGTGTCGGTCAATAGCAAGACAAGCCAACGACTCACCCATGATGAAGAAAAACTGCTCTTCAAGACCGTGAGCCTCGAAAACCTGCAAAAACAGTTGTAAGTAAACAGCCACTGCTCACCAGCTAGAAGCACAGACATTTTCAATTGGTCAAACCTGCGTACCTTGAACGTATGATTGAACGCAATGGCGACCATTATCACCACCAGCTGTGCTCACACAAGGCCCAGCTTACCGAAAGTTTCAATGCACCAGACACGTAAGAACTGTTTACCCTCTCTGTCCTCACGCTGCCAAGTGTCTTCAATCTCTTTTAACTCAATAATGCTTGGGTTATGGAACTGTTGAACAAAATAAAAATTGTTTTCATTTACCAACTTTAAACGGTAACCTTTAAATGATTCTGCAGTTAAATTATCTAAAATGCAACTTTAATGCATACTTTCATGCATGTCATGAATTCTCCATATGCCACAAAAATGAAAACCTTGCAAAAAAAAAAAAAAACGAATGTACTTCAGAACTTTGTGACATGTCATGCGCAAGCTCTTGGGTGCGTACACGCCCCGCCACAATGGTCTAGTGGCTAAGGTACTTGGCTGCTGACCCGCAGGTCGCGGGATCGAATTCCGGCTACGGCGGCTGCATTTCCCATGGAGGCGGAAATGTTGTAGGCCCGTGTGCTCAGATTTGGGTGCACGTTAAAGAACCCCAGGTGGTCGAAATTTCCGGAGCCCTCCACTACGGCTTCTCTCATAATCATATTGTGGTTTTGAAACGTTAAACCCCACATATCAATCAATAGATTGGGTGTGTACACACTAAATAGATAAAATTATTAAAGGTACAACTTACTTTGCCCAGGCAAGAAATAATGGAGAAGTGAGAGCTGTTTGCACATGCTTCATGCTTTCTGCCATCAGCTACAAAACAATTTGTTTTAGCGTGAAATACATTAGACAAGATAGAGCTAGGTCTTTCATGCTGGGAGTTACGTTCCATTCCCGGTAAGTACTTGACAGCCAGCAATAAAGGTGGCACGCATTTCATGAACCGCTTACTCGCAGATTTTTGGTCTGTCCTAAATTCATGACACTCGACAATAAAGGGTTAACGGCGGAGCACCTCAGGGCGCTAGGCGTAACGCAGGAAAAACCGCATATAGCATAGCCATTTGAGCATGCGCTCTTATCAAAAGAAAGTCTTCTTACTCTCTGTTCTTTGAGTGCAGTTGGTGATAGAAACAAAGAGGAACAAAATAAAAATAACGCAGACAGAACTGGAAAACAGTAAAAGCAAGAAAAAGAGAGGGAATGAAACTAAAAACTGAAAGAAGCGAAGAAGGTTGCACAGCTCCGCACCTCCCTCGGGATCGGCATCGCTAGTGAAAGCTGCCTTAATTTTCAAGATCAAAAATAGTGACCGATCAGAACAATCTGCCAATAAATGTTGTTTTTTACGTCAAAGCTCCCTTCTATGACACCGCTCATTCACTTTTCGTCAAGTGCAGCAAATGCAACCTGCAAGCATTTTATGACTGGTTAACTCATGAATCAAATAAGTTTCCTCCAACTGATAATGCAAGATAAGCATTAACTGCTCATACCAGCAAACATTTTCCTGATGCAACAGTTTAATGCCACTAAATAGCACATGCATTTTTACATGAAAAGCTAAAAAAAAAGCCATTGGTCGACGACATTCACCTTGAGAAAATTACGCTGACTCCCCATGTAAGTGCGGTACCAGTTTTGGAGGCGACACCTTAGCCGTTCGTTCCACACTCGATACGGCATAGGGTGCTGTAACAGGGTCCTGCAAACAAACATGGGCAACATTTCAGAATCAGCACCAAATGACCTGTTAGTTAGAACCATACAGAGAAAAGAAAGCTCAGTTATGAGCATACATCTTTCAAGAGACTGAATGAAGCAGCAGCAAGTAGGTGACTACTACACCAACACTTTTAGCCGACTGGGTGAAATATTTGTAACCAGTCGAACCCACACATTATTTTATCCCTTGAGAATCTACAAGCAATTCAATTGCCAAAATTTGCTATCACAGAGATGATGTCCGCACTTCCGCATAGATTGTAAACGCAGTAGCTTGTAAATATACATTGCATAAATCATTGTTGAAAAAACAGGTCACTGACCAATGTCAAATAAAAACAAAGACGTTTCGGGATCCGTACGGATCCCTTGTTCACAATGGGATGACGGCTGAGCAACAGGTTCTTATGTAACGTTGAGCGCATGACGCAAAGTCCGGGAGTACACGTGGTTTAGTGTGCCAGATGATCTATTGATTGTGTTACTTGTCGTTTGAATGATTAGTGATTCGAGGTTCAGTCTGGTTGTAAAATTCTTCTCCGTGGCCATGATGCGTGCGTTGTCCCAGCTTATCTCGTGGCCCGTCTTCTCGGCATGCTCTGCGAGTGCATTTGTCACTGTGTGGCCCTTGGCGACGTCATTCTTGTGTTGCATCAGACGTCTGCAGTAATTTCCACTCGTGCCAATTAACACCGATTCACAATCGGCGCATGGTATCTTGTAGACAACACCAGGAAAGTGTTGCCGAGGGAGAGGATCCTTCACATTTAGCAACTCAGCCTTAAGCTTGCTTGCTGGAACATGCGCGATCTGTACACCACGTTTTCTGAATAGACGGGCTAGGGCTTCGCTTATATTTCGAATATAAGGAATCGATGCACGCTTTTTCGTAGACGATGTGTTATGCATGGCTTGATTAGTTGACTGCAGTTTATTCATGACGGATTTAGTTGTTTTCCTAATAAAAACCTTGGGGTATCCATTCCTGATCAGGTCATCTTCAATGGTCCGGAGCTCCTCCTGCAGGCTTCCTTCATCGGAACATGTGCGAATCGCTCATTGAACTAAAGACCGAATCACTGAGCGTTTGTGGGCTACCGGGTGGACTGACTCATAGTCGAGGTATCTACCGGAGTGCGTTGGCTTTCGGTACACAGCGAAGGCGAGGCCTGTGGGAGTACGTTTTACAACTGCATCCAAGAACGGGAGGCAACCGTCTTTTTCTTCTTCCACAGTAAACTTGATAGAGGTCTCGATGCCATTTAGGCATCGAGACCTCTATCAAGGTTTACCGAAGATTCACAAAAGCGGAACGCCTCTCAGACCCATAGTAGATTTCACTAGGTCACCCCTGTACAGCCTCTCAAAGTATCTTCACGGCATCCTGGCTCCCCTTGCAGGCAAGACTGAAACTAACCTCCGGAACACCAATGACTTCATAAGCAAAATGAAGAGTATCACTGTGGATGTCGACGAAGTACTGGTTTCATTTGATGTCTGCTCCCTCTTCACAAGTGTTCCCGTCGACCTTGCTGTAGACACTTCCAGACAATTGCTTCACAAGGACACGACATTGGCCGATCGCACACCGTTCGACGTCACCGAGCTGTGCACCTTGTTACGGTTTTGCCTATCCAACACTTACTTCTCGTACAAGGGTGAATTCTACAGGCAAGTTTTCGGTACCGCAATGGGAGCGTCGATTTCGGTCACAACTGCGAATATCACAATGGAAGCAATTGAGCAGAAAGCATTGGGAACATTTCAGCCGAGACCCAAGGTTTTTCTGAGATACGTCGACGACTGCTTCTGCGTGATAAAGAAGACAGACGTCCAAGCTTTCCTTGACTGCCTAAATGGCATCGAGACCTCTATCAAGTTTACTGTGGAAGAAGAAAAAGACGGTTGCCTCCCGTTCTTGGATGCAGTTGTAAAACGTACTCCCACAGGCCTCGCCTTCGCTGTGTACCGAAAGCCAACGCACTCCGGTAGATACCTCGACTATGAGTCAGTCCACCCGGTAGCCCACAAACGCTCAGTGATTCGGTCTTTAGTTCAATGAGCGATTCGCACATGTTCCGATGAAGGAAGCCTGCAGGAGGAGCTCCGGACCATTGAAGATGACCTGATCAGGAATGGATACCCCAAGGTTTTTATTAGGAAAACAACTAAATCCGTCATGAATAAACTGCAGTCAACTAATCAAGCCATGCATAACACATCGTCTACGAAAAAGCGTGCATCGATTCCTTATATTCGAAATATAAGCGAAGCCCTAGCCCGTCTATTCAGAAAACGTGGTGTACAGATCGCGCATGTTCCAGCAAGCAAGCTTAAGGCTGAGTTGCTAAATGTGAAGGATCCTCTCCCTCGGCAACACTTTCCTGGTGTTGTCTACAAGATACCATGCGCCGATTGTGAATCGGTGTACATTGGCACGAGTGGAAATTACTGCAGACGTCTGATGCAACACAAGAATGACGTCGCCAAGGGCCACACAGTGACAAATGCACTCGCAGAGCATGCCGAGAAGACGGGCCACGAGATAAGCTGGGACAACGCACGCATCATGGCCACGGAGAAGAATTTTACAACCAGACTGAACCTCGAATCATTAATCATTCAAACGACAAGTAACACAATCAATAGATCATCTGGCACACTAAACCACGTGTACTCCCGGACTTTGCGTCATGCGCTCAACGTTACATAAGAACCTGTTGCTCAGCCGTCATCCCATTGTGAACAAGGGATCCGTACGGATCCCGAAACGTCTTTGTTTTTATTTGACATTGGTCAGTGACCTGTTTTTTCAACAATGCCTTTACCTGACCAGACGGCATTCCGTCGAACTCTCGACTACGTAATATTGCATAAATCATAAGTTGCATAGAATGACAATAAATACATCACCTTTATTGTCATGCTTTCCTCTCATTTAGTTTTTAACAATAGAGCTGTTTAAGATCAATACCGTAATTACTCGAATCTAACGCGCACCTTTTTTCCGGTAAAGAGAGTTCATAAATCGCATGCGCGTTAGAATCGAGTACGAACAAAAAAATTACGGTCAATCTATTGCCATCGGCAAATCCAAAATGGCCGCCTCCTACGTGCGTCAGCATGGCGCGTCGGCCATTTCTGCCTATGTGTTTCCCATGTGCGGCACTTCGTACGTGTGCTGAGGAGTTCGTCATCTAGTAGTGCATTAGCATCGACGGCGTGGAAGGGCCGACTCCAAAAACTCGAGTGCACCACGATGCCGCTTTTAAAAGAAAAGTCATCGCGTGTGCAGAAACAGACGGAAATCGGGCCGCATTGCGGTCGTTCGGAGTTCCCGAAACGTGCGTGCGGGACCGGCGGAAACAAAAGCAGAAGATTGTCGACAGCAAAGCTTCACGCAAAGGCTTCAGTGGACCACAGCAGGGTTGGTTTCCGCAAATTAATGAGCTGCTCGGCGAGTATGTGCTTGGGCAGCGAGTGGCACAGCGGCCCGTGACGAAAGAACTGCTCCAAGTGTGGGCTATGCAATTAGTCTTAGAAAAAGGTCTAATTCGGAGCCAGTTCAAAGTGAGCAGGTGCTGGCTAACTAACCTTATGAAGAGGAAAGGCTTTTCCCTCCGAAGGGGAACATGCATACGCGAAAAAAAGTTTTGCGGAGGAGTACGATGAAAAGCTTCACAGTTTTCAGAGGTTCGTCTTAAACTTGTGGCGCAACAACGGCTACCTGCTTGGGCAAATCGGGAATGCCGATCAGACGCCTCTTTACTTCGACATGCCTGGCCCCACAACCATCGAGAAGAAGGGGGCGAAGCAAGTTCACGTGCTGACATAGGTCCACGGTAAAACTACAGTGACGGCAATGCTCTGTTTCACGTCAGATGGGCACAAGCTTCGCCTGTACCTCATATTTAAATGGAAGACGCTCCCGAAAGGAGTCGTTTTTTCAAGTGGTGTGATCGTGCGGGCGAGCGAGAAAAGTGGGTGCGCGTTGCAATCGATGTCTTAAGGTTTTTTTTTTTTTTTTCGCGGAGGAAATCGGGTGCGCGTTACAATCGAGGGCGCGGTAGAATCGAGTAAATACGGTACTAGGCTGTGCAGAAGAACAAGAACTATCATCACCATGATTGACCTTACCTTCTGGAATGTCACTCGGCCAATGCGCTCTCTCTTGGTCTTGTTAAGACTCGGCCAATTCAGGTTAACTTAATTAAGGCATAGCTAATTAAGATAATGTTAATTAGAGTCGTGATACCTATATTTAAGACTGAGCTACTTAATAACATACCGGCTAGTCATTCACCTCATGTGCCCACGACGTCACTTTGCCAAGCAATATAGTTCTACATTCCACATAGCAAAGCTTTGCAACGCCTCACCAAGCCTAGCAACAACTTAACTGAGCTTGAACATGCCCACAGAAGCTAGGTCAGCCACAAGCTCCACTGTTAGTCTAGCCTAGCAACTAGTGCAAGCTACCCGTATTTTTTATAGTGCCACCTTTGCGAAAGCACGCATTCACTGACTTGGGCCTCTGCTGTGGTGCAACCAGCAGGCAGGTCATGAGCAGAGACAGCAGGGAGCTTTTCTTGGGCATCAGCAACGAGCGCTCCACCTCTGCTATCGTCACGTCCGGAAGCTGCAGGGGCTCCTGGGACAACCGTAGGAACTGGCACAACTGGGGAACCTGCACATGTCCCATCGTTCATGGACACAGGCACACTATTATCACCCTTATTTAATCTCAATGCGTCCAGTCTAGTCCCGAAATCCAATGTACAACGCACCCACAGACAATCTTCAATTGTCCACACACAGTGGCCACTCTTCCCTACAATCCAAATATCTGCTCTGGTAGCCTAGTGGTAATGGCGCTTGACTGCTGACCCATAGGCCATATGACCAAATCCCTGCCACGGCGGCTGCATTTCGATAGCTGATATGTGGGGTTTAACGTCCCAAAACCACTATTTGATTACGGGAGACGCCGTAGTGGAGGGCTCCGGAAATTTAGACCACCTGGGGTTCTTTAACGTGCACCCAAATCTGAGCACACGGGCCTACAACATTTCCGCCTTTATCGGAAATGCAGCCGCCGCAGCCGGGATTCGAACCCGCGCCCTGCGGGTCAGCAGCCGAGTACCTTAGCCACTAGACCACCGCGGCGGGGCTGCATTTCGATGGCGGCAAAGTGCTAGAGGGCCGTGTGCTTAACCCGGTAATGCCCACTGTATCGTATTTGGTACATTGAATATAATACCTCAAAAAGCTACTAAAAAGTTACCATAGGTGTCAGGATAAGCAGCTATTGCATATTTGACATGTTATGAAGAAGGCACGGTGGCTTGCATAATATACAATAGTAATCATCATTATACAATAGTAATAATTTCTAATTGATACTAAATTATGCCTCAAACAAAATTGCATTATTATTTTTCTTCAAGTGAACTGTACAAGGAGAGTAAGAACAGTCGGTGTTTTCTCGTAGTTTTTCTGAAGGCATAACTATTCGTGGGCATGACAGGGTTAAATATAGGAGCATATTGAAGGAGCACTCACACGAATTTTCTATATATCCGGGCTGTTGCTCCAAACTGAAAATTTCAGGTGCTGAAAACCTTGAAGAGGGTGCTCTAGTGCTTGGGAATGCATTAAATATATTTTTAATACTGCTACCCAAAAAAAGCATTCTCGCTTTTGGTATTTATGGGGCGAGTTTCCAGCAATGTGTAACGCAAGTGTGATATCACGGGAAGTCTGTAACTTGCCACATACAGTTGAATCTCGATAATTCGTACTCTTCGAATTAAAAAAAGTTCGAATTAATGAAAGATAAATGAACAGAGGGTTCACCATACAGTGGCGCATGTGCATTGAGCTAACACACGAGGGGCAAGTTTCAGAAGTCCTAAATTTATTCACAAATCACAGGACATCCGTCATTAATCGGTGATGCACATCTACACATGTTTGCTTAGCAACGAGTCAATCAATTTCGCACGCAATTCGTAAAGCCTTTCTACTTCGGTTTCAGCATTCTCCTGGCAAAAGAAGTTACGCGCAGCAATGTCCAGTGCCGACACTCCAAAGACGCAACAAGAACTGCATCTCCGCTGCTAGAGCGTGGCCAGCACATGACCAGAAAGGAGGAGCGTCTCCACGTGGAGAGAAGCAGATCGGCATGTGAGAGAGAACCAACACTCCGCGACAGCTTTTATTTATTTTTGCTCTCTTTGCACACGGCGTTGAAAGGAGAAGGGTCTCTTGTGGCAGGGACAGGAAAGAGGGAAGCGTGGCACCGGCGCATCGCAGATCCGTATTAGAGAGAGAGAGTTAACACTCTGCGACAGATTTTCTTTTCCCCCCCCTCTCTCTGTCTCTTGGCACGCGACGTTGAAAGGAGGAGAGTCGTTAGGTGGCAGGGACGGAAAAGGAATAAGCGTGGCACAAGCTCATCACAGATCGACATTTGAGAGAGAGCAAACATTCCGCTGCAGTCTTATCTTTCCTTTTCTCCTTTTCCTTCTTCACGCGCAGCATTGACGTGTTGGAAATGCCGTGGCGGGATCGGGCGTGGTGCTGAGAGCATTTTCGGAGTGCGGTAAGTTCAAATTAATTGTCGCAAGTGTTTGCGTGTTCGAATTACAGGGCATTTTCGCCCTTTAGATTACACATAGCTTTGATGGAACCACAGCATCGGTTCGAATTAAGCATGCTCGAATTAATGAAATTCGACTGTACTAGCAACAGTTGTCAGTCTGCAGTATGTCACACGTGATGCATGTAAACAATGACAAGTGAACTCTTGTCCAGACTCTGAAAGCATTTCTGCGACTTAGGCTGCATGCCAGACGCAGATTTCGCAAGCCCACTGAACTGCATTGATTGATTTGTGGGGTCTAACGTCCCAAAACCACGATATGATTATGAGAGACGCCGTAGTGGAGGGCTCCGGAAATTTCGACCACCTGGGGTTCTTTAACGTGCACCCAAATCTGAGCACACGGCCCACTGAACTGCATTGACTTGTCCTGATAACATCCATTGCAATGGGGCTGGCTTGCACAAGCTGGGTGGCGAAAACTTTAAAATCAAAATAAAACATTATATGCATGTTGCCTGGCTCTGGTGCGTAGAGAGCATTGATAGTGCACGCCAAGAAAATGAAAATGTCCCTCTAAAGGGCCAGTAAACAACCCCGAGGTTTTCCAAAAATTGTTATAAAGAAAAATAAGTGTACTATTGCTTTGTGAACATGCTGCCGCAAGAATTTGGTGAATATGTGCTATATTAATAAGGAAGTTAGTTAAGGAACATTGGTTTCAACTGGTCTCAAATTTTCGCGCGGCCTCACCACTCTTCGCCCTTACAGCGAGGCGCTTTAATATTAGAAAAATGCGATCACCGCAATCTACCCTACGTGGATAGCGCTTGTCCCTGTCTTTCTGTCCGTGTCTAAGTAGTGCGCTCTCATTTTGAAACAGTCATGTATCACTACCTCGCTAACTAACCATATTGACAAACTACCCTACGAATTGCCAAGCTTGTTTGGGGGGTGTAAAAAAATGTCGGAGCCTGTCGACTAGCCCTTCAAGGGTGCCTCAGAATTGTGTGAATGTACTTCTGTAAAGAAGAGCCCTCCATTACAACAGCAATAATTATTTGTTCCATACCTATCTGCTTTTACATTCTTTTTCTGCTGAAGCAATGCTACCTTTAACCCTGCACTGTTGACGCAAAAGACCGATCTTTAGTCAGCAAGCACACAGTCAAGTTTTGATATAATGAACACGGGCATAACAAATTATTGGTTGTAACAAAGTAAGCGAGGAATAGTTTTGCCATAAATACAGAGTTACGAATACCCATCTATAACGAATTTTCAAATATAACGAAGTATTTTTGTGGCGGATGTGACTGTTATAGCTTTAGTGTACACTCAAACTTCGATGTAATGCGCCCAGATATAACAAAATATCGGTTATGACGAAGTGAATGAGAAAAAGCTTTCGATAGATATCGTGTTAGCGATATGCTTTTATAACCAATTTTTGGATACAACGACCTTATTTTGGTGTAAGATGTACCTTTGTTTTAATGATTTTTGAGTGTGTGACATAATTGGTCACCACTTGCCTCCCAGTGATGGGAAAGTTCGGCCAGTCCCGGGCCGAAGGTGCTGCTCTCCCAATCGATGACGGCCTGCTGGGCCACTTCCTTCTCGACCCGCCTCTCCTCACGCTGCTTGAGGCGCTCCTCTCGCGCCTGCGCCGCCTTCTCCGCTTTCACCAGCTGGAGCAGCGCCGAACTCTCGCCACCCGTGGGCAGCTGACTCGTGAGACGGGCTCGCCGACCCGCTGCAAGATGAGAAGCGTTTTAACTGCATCCAATACAGGCCACGTCTCTGAATGAATGTCTCCAAATATAAGCCTAGCTAAGTGAGTAACCGACATGCATTCGCACCGATGAGGTTTCCAGCCATGATAAGTTTGTCACAAGCTACCTATTGAAACAAACAAAAAAGACAAGATGCGTACTTTTGTATAAGTGCTCTTCTAACATAAGGCTAGCCAAACCATACTGGAATGCATTCATAAGAGGGTTGTTTGCTTTATTGAAAAGAAAAAAAGAAAAGGAATTAAATGTACACGGAAAGATTACCCTACTTCATCCCCCAATGCAATCAGGACTTGCTAATGCTGGCACTCCTAGCAAAACGAGCTAACCCAAACTCCCCGCATCAGGCACTGTGCAGCCATTTAGCAATGGCGCACAATGAAGGCGGGCCTACGCACACACCGTTACTTAAATCTCACGATACACGTCACAAATTTTCACATACAATAAATGAGTTTCTTGTATGATACTTTGCTGTTCAAGGAAAACAGGACACAGATTCAACGTAAACTGGGGAACATGAATAGAATCCAGCAGAAAAAAAAAAAATTGGTAGTGGCTGCTCCAAGTATTGAATCTCCCAAAAAGTTAGTTTAATGAAACAGCACATAAACATTCCTGTCAAGTTGAGTTCATCAAAAATAAATAAATAAATCAATAAAATCTCACCTCTCTGAGCCCCAAGATCTCGGTTCTCCAACGTGGTGGCCTCTAGTGTCGTTTTTTCCCGTAGCTCTCTGCAAATGATGGACAGAAAAAGGCATTTACTCAAGAAGTTTACATTGCTTAATGCAATGTAATGGTTAGCAGCATGGAGGAAAAGAAAAAGAAAGGAGGAAGTGTGACGCCACTTGGGCAGCCTTGGCAAGCCGTGCCGTTTTGAAGCCAGCATTGTCGGCCTAACATGCGACCTTCTGCGCGAAATCCCGCCAGAAACGAGAGACTTGCTGGTACTTCGGAGTGTCGCACCCGGTAGCGTTTGACCGAAACGCGCTGGTTCGGCGCAGACCGGCCGACTCACGCAAGAGGTTCGGGAACAGCACTGCATGCTCAGACATTTTGATTACGTGTCGGGCCGACCCTGTGGGCTTCATTCACTCGTGTGACGTAATGCTCCCTCCATTCTTTTTGTTCCGCCATGATAAGCAGCACAACTCAGTTCTAGAACAATCTCGTCATGATCAACAAGCCTGCGTAATGACTTCCTGTGATTTTTACAGGCAATAAAGCTTGCACAACTAGCGCCACCTAGACGGTAGTGTAGCTGTGAGTAGCCAAGCCAAAACCTGGCTTAAACCCGCCATTTTCATTTTCGTGGCGAGTGTTGAGGTGGGAAGGAGGAAAAAAACATTTAATACTGTAAGTCATGTACAGGGAGAGTGGGCAACGGTCCTTGAGGGGCCGGTACATACAAACACTAGGTGGGCACTCCTTTACGGGAGCCCATTGACGTCCGCCGCGGCCCAGGCACGCTCAACCAAGGTCCGTTGAGCCGTCAGGTCAGAGCAGCCGAGCAGGGCTCGCTCCCAATCCTCCTGAGAAGAGTTGGGAATAAGGAAGCAAACGGGGTGCAAGTGATGTGGCAAGGAGGCGGCGATCTGACGGGGTATTCGAGAGCCTAGTATATTGATTTGTCTAGTGTGCCTCTCATAATTCCTCAAAGGTATTCATCATACTCAGGCCCAAAAGGTGTTGGTTGGAAGTGTTCACTGGAATGTCGAGGGTCCACTTGTATACTTTGCAGAGAATGACTTCTAGCACATTCTCATCAAACTTGCGCAGGTGGAGATATGGAGCCAAATACAGGACACGGCTTGTGACGAATGCGTGAGCCCGTCGCAAGACATCTTTGCATCCTAATCCCCTGCACTTGTTGGAAACCCGGCGAACCATGCGACCCACTTGGTTCCCCACCTTGCACAATTTTTTCGTAATAACTTCCTGTGATATTTACCGGCAATAAAGCTTCTTTCCCAGAAGCACACGTCGCAAAAAAAGTGAAAATCGTTCAGACTAACTTAAGAAATATAGCTAGCCTTCGGGGGTCACTCAAACTCCCACCATGATTTTTCTCAACTGCACTTGCTCAGACTCAATCTCGCCAAAATATTACTCACCTGGACTCACTCAAACATTAAGTGACGACCCGACACGAGTCTGAGTGAGTCGACTTGTGAGTGAGTTTGCCAACCTTTGCTCAAATAGTGTTATGCTAAAAATTTACGCTAGGGCTTCCTCACAAAAGTGGCTGTGACACTGAGTGTGTTCCCACTTTTCTCATGCGAAAATAACTAGATTCTTTATACCCACAGCATCGCAGTAGGCAAAGACAGTCCCAAGAAATGTTGAAGAAACAGTACAGATGAATACAAGTTGCTTCTTGCTTTTGGAGGGGATCAATGCAGACCCTGAAGCAAAAGATGACTCTCTCACTTTTAACAGCAAAGCTTCTCTTGGTCGGGGCTTTCATGTTTGGGAACTGGCATAACTCCCACTTCGGTGGGTTTTACCCACAGATAATGCGTAAACCCACTGTAGATATGTGCCACTTCATTCACCCATTACATTCAAATATACTGCATGCCACCAGCTTCTCTGCTTCATTAGTGTTCATCAATTGGAACTGGCTGAATTTTCGTCTTTCCAAAACATCATTAGCAAGGAGGCAATGACAGCAAGATACATCAGTGATGGCATCGGCTTAAGGCGGTTTGAATCTTCTGTAAATGGTGCCAGAGGATTGGTCTCATATCTGAGGACCATAAGCTGAGCATGAATTCCGTTACAACTGTAGGCACATACCCAGCTGCAACGACTGCAGAGTTATTGACAAAGATGTCGAATGGGATAAAGTTTGCCATGCCTGACCTCAAGGATGTGTACTGGCGATTGATTGTTGAACGAGGGGGAGTATGTAATGGTTAATGTACTAAAAGGTACGAGAGATTTCCTTTCGCAATCTTGCCTGTGCTGTCATCCTCTCGACGGGAGATGCAAAATCCTTCGATGTCTATGTCAACTCCTGCTGCAGCCTACTTTGACGGAATCCTGGTGGTAGGCACCAGTGGCAACGAGTATGCAGTCTCCCAAAGGTGTCCCGGCTAATGCACAAGACAGGTCTAATGCTCAGTTATGGAAAATGCCAATTTGTGGTATCCTCATTGGTATGTATCAAGATAACATCATTGATAACATGACAGTGGGCTGTATTGTGCCCTGTGTAAGGTTGAGGTAGTTTCATGCCTCTGCACATTCACATAGTAATGTTCAAAAGGAACCAAGTTTCCTTGGCTTGACAAATTAGCACAAGCTTAGCCTCTGTTTGTGACCCTCTAGCTGCGATATCCACCTATGCGCCAGCGGTGGACCTCTGCTTCGAAAACCAACCCTACCTTTAACTGAAACTAGAGCAGTGATATGCTTTGTGTACAGAATTCCTGTCAAAATCAGAGAGCACATGTCACTTTACAATAGGCATCCCTTTTGCCGTACACCAAGCAGCCTGCTATAATCTTCAATACAAGTTACTTCGGCCTTCCTAGGTTTTAATTGCACACCACTCACAGCCTCGTCATTTCTCGTTATCACCTATGCACTGCTGCCCGCTGTCTTCCTCTGAGAAAAAAAAAATCACAGCATATGCACGGAGTGAATGATGATGAGTGGGGCAAAAGCATCCGTCAGCCCGACCATTCGTTCTTGCTTGCAGTCTATCCGCGCGACATCCGGCGTCCGGTCGTGAGTCCGTCTATCCGTCCGTCCGTCTGCTAGTCTCTGTCTGTCCTTGCGTCCATCTAGTGAACACTCCAAGTACGTCATCTCGCATCCCCTGTGGCACATACTCGCTCTAAAGCGGGCATGTGCTACCAACTGCTACTACATACATCAGAGGATGTACAGACCCACGCCTTAAGAAGCTTCGTCTCTAAAAATTCAGCCAGATCTGCTCCAAAGAAAATGATGAAACAGCAAAGCTGGTGGCGTGCAATGGAGCTGAATGATATGGGAGAAGTGGAAGGAGCGGTAGTGGGAGCAGCGGTGAGAGTAGAGAGCAGTGGGAGTGGTGGCACATGTATGTAGGGGATTAACCCGCTTTCTGTGGGTAAATCCCACTACAATCCACGCTCACCGTACATGAAAACCTCAGTTAAGAACAGCTTTCCTGTTGAAATGAACTAAACACCATCAGTTCTCAGACCAAAACTGAGGTTGCATTGAACTGTCATGTTCTCATCCATCTGCTAACATGACTGTACTGTTCATTGACAGTGTCACTAAATATACCCTAGAGGACGCATCCTTTCAGCCCTTTGTCCCTTGTAGGAAGTGGAAATGCATCTATATGCCTGTCTCTTTGCAGGGCTACTACACTGTGAATTCAGTCTTCAGAGATGTGCACAGCCAAAGAGTGGATTCAAGACATCACGCAACATAGAGTTAGTCATCGTTTCTTCGTGTCCTTGAGAGATAAGTACAAGATGGTTCACCGTTTCAAACCACAAAGCTGTTACAGCGTGAGCACAAACAGAGGTCATGATTTATTCACTCTGAGAAGCCGTAATCAACACTGCTACTACTGCTGCATCTAAGCTCATTTGCATGATGACACTGACATTCCCCATCACTTATGTATCACTGTGCTAGTCACTTGCACTGCTAGTGGTGATGCTACAGTAACCTTCACACTCTCTCGCATTTTTGTAGCTCCAAGAGGCTTTCACCTGCCAGTCACCACCCAATCGCTACTCTTTCCAGCCCACTCATCCTCGCCGATTCGCAGGCCTCACCATCTGTCCTGCTTTGAAATGAATTCATAGGCCACAACCAGTCCATCAGCTTGGTGCAAAGGGCCATGCCAGATTCAATTCACTCACCGTGCTTTCCTCTCCTGACAAGTCTGAAAAAGCATCCATTTTTCTCCCATGGCTGACAACCTCACTGCAAGATTTCAGATCTTGAAACTTGAATTTCTCTATGAATAAATACTCTTTCTTACCAACATTTAGATCGGAACTAATCTGTAAGAGCCGCTACATACATACATTACTAAACATAACTATCAATCAATCTACACGTTCAACAAGACACATTGTTGACTGGCACACTCCACGGCCATCTACAAACTATGGGCCACAGGTGCCACAATATACAACCTTGTTATAGTTCTATAGATTATGGCAAAATAAAACAAATCTCAAATGCCTGCATACCAAATGCAGCTTCTCTGTGCACTTATCATTTCTCCTAGTCCCTTGGCTTCCTTGTGATGCGCATTTGCTGTGAAACACTGCAAGCAGAAACCACCCCCTGTGCCAAACACTGTATCATTTATCATCTCCTAAGTGCCGCACTATCAATGAACAAGTTGACGAGATCCTTCATCACAGCATAATCCAATGTTTCAATGAGCTTCCCCAATTACTTCAAAGGATCATTCTATTGAGTTTTGAGTTCGAAGACTTCATTATTTTTTTTACTTCAATCGTTTTATAGTTGACTTCTTCGAGCCTGAACAAGTGCCCCTTATTTTCGTGCTCAATCATTTTCATTCATCCTTTGACTTTTATCAGCCTCCATCGTGATGTGCATGCACTGTCAAACGCTCTATCAACACTAGCACACACCACCTGTTGCACCAAAAATAACACTGTGTATCATCTCCAATGCATCGTGTTTCTAATGACCTGATCAATGAGATGCTTTGTCACAGCACTGTCCTATGTAGACTTCCCCACTTATTTAATGAAGGATTGCTTGAATGGAGTTTGCATTGATCATCATCATCTTGTTGAATAATCACACTTTTTGATACACGGGGATAAATTAGAGATTATCAATTGAAAATGATGACACGAAAGAATGTACATCTTTGCCGGACACTCAAGAAAACTTGTCTTCTTACAAGGTGACGATTTCTTCACCTCAGATTTGTAGTCAGCATATTGGTAAGTGTTGATGGTAGAAGTAAGTTGTGTGAAACTGTACTGAGCATGCCTGATAGCTTATACAAATTCATTCTTATCCTCTTTGGCCTGGGCAATGCGCACCCAACACTCGAAGGAATGATACGTAATTTATTGTGTGGTTTCAAGTGGAAAAGCATTACTTGGAGACAAGTTTCTTCTCGGTTTCGTTTTTTGCAGCTTCAGCGTGTTTTGACATGCTTGGCAGCTGCGAGTATAATATTAAATTAGAAAATGATCACTTTACCGCTGCCAACCAATGATTTTCATTTCAAAAGATGGTATTCTACCTGAACCCAGCAAAACATGTATGGTCGTTGAGCTCCTGATACCCCATCTCCGCAACTTTGTAGGATTGTGCTTGTACTTTCAATGCTTCATTTGTAACCTTGTGTCTGTCATATCAACAGGTATCACCTAGAACGCAGTTATTTGATGAAACGACTGACCTCTTATGGTCGCATAAATGCGATGATGCATTTAACACCCTGTGCAGTCTTCTGTTATTGCCTCTTATTCCATGTAATTATGACTGCAATGAGACTACAGAAGTGTTTACAAATGCCAGCAGTGTGGTACTGGGCACTGCATTTGCCCAGAAAAAAAAAAACTAAAAAAAATTGAGCCCACTAATTCTACTTTGAAGACTACTGTCCTCAAAGTAGAATGCTCAGCCATAATCAGATGCTTAGCGAATTCCGTCTTTACTGTAACACAGCCTGGCCCGTTTGAGGCTTATGACCTTTCTGACTGACCGGCCTGGTGAACGTTTCGCTTGAAAAAATTCAGCATGAAAATGGTGGACTATTCACGCTGCAAATATTTAGGTGCCAACTTTCCTCATTGGCCCAGCTAGCCTTTCTGCATTGAACAATGTGTTCTCGCCCAGAGATTAAAATACCCCTGCATACAAAAAGCCCATTAACCCTCAGTTCATTTCTCATGTCAACTGTCTTTCTGGCTTCCTTAGCAGCCCACACGTTCATTCACAAGCTTGCGACCACAGTTCACATTTGATGTTGTTTTTAACACCTACAGGCACCTGCACATTAAATATTGCTGGTGCGGCACGTGTTACCTCATCAAAAGGTCCTCAGCTCATTCCATTAGTGTCAGTGTATATAACTCTCTGAGCCTTCGGTTGGTGCCTTGCAACCCAATCTTCGCCCTGCCAAGCCATTTGAATTGGTGAGCACAAATTTCTGCGGACCACTGCTTAACGACTACAGCCACCAACTGATGAGTTAGTGCAGCAATCGATCTCAATCCTGTACGCTGAAACCATTGAACGACCAACAGCTGTGGCATGTGATATCGCACAATTCATTTATCATCATTTGGTTCGCGCACCACATTTAGGGAACCTTCAAGTGATGGAGGAGGTGCATTTTTATCGGAGGTTGTTGTAAGCTATCACGGTTGAGTGCAAAATGGTCCACTAGACAAGTGCTGTCTACTACCCACAGACTAATGGGCTCATAAACAACATCAATCGTATTCTGAGCAATACTAAATCCATGTACGGAACATACAATCTGAAAAGTGCCAGTGGTACGTGCAGTGAAACCCGTGGATGTTGGTGCATTGTTAGTGCATTTTCGAAGCACAATGAATGCCTTTGGCTGTCCACACCCTAATCTGTGGTTCACCTCAGTGCCCGTACTGCAATTCTGGCACACTTTCATATCAACGTGAAGTGACTCAGCTCTGCGCACTGTCATTTGCCAAGCACTTGACATGCAGTGCACTGTTGGCACTACGATGAGGCACACGATGGCTTGTTGGTGACTGGAAGCTGTTATCATGCTTCGGAACACTCTATCTTGCATGACAATTGAATAGCTTATTTCACCAATACCCACGGAAAGTGTTCCTCGTACCAGGAGCCAGATGATCCCACTGTCATGTTTCAATCTATAAATATTGATACGAAGTGTGACTACCAGGAAAAACGAGGGAAGTGCCGGTAGAGAATGAAAGCGACGTTGCTTCTTCGGTGATCACGGTCTCAGTGCCCATTAGAAATCACCTTAAGTTACCTCGCCATACGTAACAATATGCAGAATCTGAGCATACCAAGTGGACCCGCAACGTTGGCATGGTGGTTAAGGCGCTCCACTGCTGATCTGAGTAGCGGGATTGAATCCCAGCCGCCGTAGCCGAATTTTTGAAAGAGCCGAAAATGCTTGAGGCTCGTGAACGTTAAATAACCTCAGATGGTAGAAGTTTCTGGAGCCCTCCGTTGCAGTCTCTCTCATAATCATATTGTGGTCTGGGGTGCAATTCTAATAATTATTATCATACCAAGTGGAACCAATTTTTTCCACTCATAACAAAAGTCAACAATACTGCCACAGTAACCTTTTTTTTTCACCCTATGGACACAATCACATGAATGGCAGAGAGGGCTGCACTAGGCTCCTAGATGATGCTCGGGAGAAAGAACTGCCATGTAATGCTGTCCATTTACACCTAAGGTGCGCTAACATTAGACATCTCCAGTCACTGATCCGAACAAGAGCATGTCATCTGCAAACGGGGATTGGTTGCACCAATCGGGTGCCACCTCACCAATTGAGCAGCCACTTGTCATACGATGAGCACACTTCCCGAAAGAAGCAGCTAGTAAAAAATTTAAGACATGTTGGTGCTGTGTCAATATGTATGCTGATTGATTGATATGTGGGGTTTAACGTCCCAAAACCACCATGCGATTATGAGAGACGCCGTAGTGGAGGGCTCCGGAAATTTCGACCACCTGGGGTTCTTTAACGTGCACCCAAATCTGAGCACACGGGCCTACAACATTTCCGCCTCCATCGGAAATGCAGCCGCCGCAGCCGGGATTCGAACCCGCGACCTGCGTCAATATGTATGCTGTTTTTCTTACTATTTGTTGTGGACATCAATAAGCTGCAAATTTGAACAAGGTGTCTAGCAACAAAACAATTTTCGTTCACATATTCTGTTGTCTACTATTGAAGCCAGCAGACGTCTGCGGCCTTGACGTTGATGTCGATCATCAGTTATCCTTACATTATTTGTCATCTTCCTCTATCTACAGCAATGATACTGAATCCTGCCTGACACCGCAAGCCAAAAGTCGGACTCCACTGGCTGACACAAGAAGTACGTCCCAATTAACGAGACAAAAATTTGTATCAAGGCCACATCCAGTGTATTGAGTGGGCTGACCACATAGCTACTGTATCTTCTAACGACTGCAAAACTTAGTTTAACACTTGACTGATATTGCGCTACCAATTAATTTGAAGAAGCTTCACACAAATTAGCAGAGCCCAAGAAACGATGCCCGGCACTCTATGAATTTGTTGGGTTTGAGAAGAAACGGAACAAGTGGTCATAATAATTGATAACGTATGCAGACCTTTCTGTAGGTGCACGCCTGTTAAAAGTCCTGTAGAGCAATGCCACACAAGACTGATCTTAAATTTAAGCACAGTTACCTGTGCAGGGCCAAAACCGTACGACAATAAACTTTGTGTTTAAGCAGTGCTCCCAGCGACCATTACCAATCTTCACTCCAGTGGCGCCGCAAGGGTGGATGATACCAGCTTGGACGTCACGACAAACCTGCAACCAAAATAACAACACGGCCGGCAGGCCCTCAACTCACCGGGGAAGAAGGGCTAGCTTCTGTTCGAGCACCGTTTCCAGCCTCAACGCCTTTTTGGTCAAGTGGTGCTGGGGTCCGTAGAAGCGGTAACAGTTCTCCAAGATGAGCCGTACGTCGCGCACGACTTCGGTGATGCCGGCGTACGACCGGGAGTCCAGGCCGGCGCGCACTCGGCTCAGACACATGGGCTGGCGCACGACGCGCAAGTACGCGGGCCGCTGCTCGATCTCCAGGGGATCGAGGAAAGGCGCGCTGTACTTCCGACACGCCGGAGAGTCGAGCCAGTCTACGAGGCGTCGCGCGGCTTGAAGTTCGGGGCTTTCGTACACCCGCCGCCGCTCTTCCTCGAGCAACATGCTGGGCGGCATCTGCATCGTGTAGCTGTGCTCGCCCGTGCAGTGGTCGGCGGACAGGACGTCGATCACGTCGTACTCGCTGCCCGAGTCGTCATCGTCGTACCGTTCACCGTCGCCGATCGCTCCGACGGCGCCTGGCTGTGGCGGCGGCAGCAGCGAGCATTGGAACGACGTCGCGGCCGCATTCATCGCGCAGCCTCGGGTCAAGCAACGCGGGGGCCGACCGAAACACCGCCGACGGCGCGGCGGCTAGCGATGCCGCACGCGACGGCTCTGCGGCACGACTCGCAACTGACACCGACTTCTCTTGTCTCACCACCACCACGGGCCCGCTGAATCAATGGTCCCAACTGGAGGGGGGGTACACACACTAGTCCTGTCTCAACGAGGCTTGGCCCACGGAGGCCCAAGCGCACAATAGACGGGACCCCATGTCGACGTCGCGCACTTCCCAGCCGACCACGGTGGACGTGCCACTCGCTGCACAAGGATTCACTCCAGGGATGTCTCACGGCATCATCCACCACACAAGCACAGCTCTTGTACACACGCTAAAAAAAATCTCTATCGATTTACTCGCAGCGTTTTCATACCCGAGCTTCCGGATCCGGATGCTAGTGAGTCGGATTCGAAGCCGTCGAAGCAGCCAACGCAATCTGATGTTTTTTGTTTTTAATTTCTGCTAGAGCAATTTTCGCGAACAATTTCATCGATGCACCAAAATTTCCTTGGCGCACTATACTTGTTTTTATAAACGTGGACGTCATTGCAACTGCACGAAGAACAAAAAAAATAATTATCAAATTTTAATGGTTGTTAAACAGTAATCGGAACTTGTTTCCGTTTTCTCGTGGTGGCGACGATCGAGGTCGCGGTGTAGAATATGGCAGGAGCTACTCCTCAAAGTACAAATTACCAATGAGTTGATTATGCGTCTATTCGTTTGACGCGGCTATTTGTTCGGGCCCCCACGTTTATTGGAAGACGCCGCGTAAGTACACGCATCGTTTAACTCGACGCGGTTCGTTCTTCTTTCAATCTGCCGGCTCGGCGTAACTCGGAAAGGGGCCGGGCATTTAGGCCTAGCCTCAAGCTCGGCGGTGAGCGTGTGACGATATGCTGCCGCGGTGCCGATTACTCACGCCTTCGGCGGCCCCTTTTTTCTTTTTTTTTTTACCCTTCGAGCCGCCGACCGGCGGCGCCTATCGCTCGATCTGCCGAGCTGTGCTGCACGCCCGAGGAGCTCGAACACTACGCTCGTCAGTGGTTCAGACCGCGACCAGGAGACCCGTGCGACGATATGCGGTGCTGCCCGCAACGCCCATTCAACGGCTTGTTCGCTCACTGCGAGATCGCCCTGGGGCTCTGACGTCCTGGGCAGCATCGGAGCGTGGCGTCGCCGAAGCAGGTGTTTCTCTGCAAGCCCCTCCCTTCTATTGCAGGTAACGCGGCCCCGGCGGCAGACATGGGGAAGCTCCTGTCCAAAATTTTCGGGAACAAGGAAATGAGGATCCTCATGCTGGGCTTAGACGCCGCCGGAAAAACCAGTATCCTTTTTATCACCCCCATCTGTGTGCTAATCCTTGGTGCCGCGTCGATGTGTCCTTCGCCTTCTTCTTGAGCCGGTGTCGATGAAAGTCGGTGTGTGTACGCGACCTCGACGGACCGCTGCTTGCACGCCGGAAGCGGTTTGTTTTTGAGATCGTGCGCGAGTCCTTAAATGGTAGAGTGTTTGCATTCCGATCGCGGAGGGTGTCGCTTCGGATTTGTAAGCTGCTATTAGAAGCTTCTCGCGTAAGAGGCGCTTTCGCTGCATAACGTGCTTGACACAGCTCGACGCTGAGAACATCGCTATTTGCATCTCTGACCTGTCTGAGCAGCTGACGCTCTGTAATTGCGCCGTCGTACTTCATCACGCCGAACCGTGCCTCGAAACAGTGTGACATTTAGTGAGCATAATGTCACTTTGGTGTGTGATCAGTGGAATCTAATGACTTGTGTACTGCATTGTGGAATCGGTATGTTTCAGAATCTGGCGCGCGTCGATCACTGTGTGCCATCCCCACCATGCGCCAATATGCTAGGTAGGAACATTAATAATCAAAATCGCTGCTGGAATTATGACGACTATCGAATCAGACAATACGCAATGGAAAAGCTGAAGTACCTTACTGTAGCCCCAAAGTCTAGTTGTCACTTTCATGCAAGTAACAAGTTAAAGGGCCGCTAAAGAGCAAAATGGTAATTTCTCACTCACAGTTCCAAAATCAAGCTGGCTGCAATAACAAACGTGGTGAGGAAACTTCTGAAAAAAAGCCAGCTTGTAATGCCACATTGGAGCTGCCACGCCATAGGTAGCGAAGTTGCAGATTTAGACACTGTGTACTAGGTCGTACATGATTCCTAAATGCTATAGATGAAGATATTGTCCTCTGAGGGGGCTTTAGTCTTGACATATTAAGTGTCAGAAAATTTCGTTGAGCCAATGTCAGCAAGTTACAAAAAGTGTACTTTGAAATTTGTGACGTGTTGATTTGGGTGCAGAATTTTAAAATTGAAATTTAGCCCTTGATTTTCTCCTCTACCAGGAAACCTATGGGGATAACATCATTCACCATTTTCAGGAATTTGCAAGGTGGCTTTCCTGCAAAGTTAATTTCCCACCAGAAGGTCTTGTTCACAGACTGCTTTTCTCACTCATTCTGTTCTTGCCTTCCCCCACCACCACTCCCTTCTTAACGAATGACGGGTGCCTTGTCCACCATGCGATCCGAGGGTTCGTACGAGGACCACACAGTAATTGTTGGGGAAAAAAGTTTCGTCGCAGTCGCGCGCCTTCACTTGAATAGGAGTGGTAGAAGCACTGTAAGCGAGAAAAGCAGTCTGTGCCTGAGAGTTTGGGTTGGAAAACAACCTTGCAGGTTTGTCAATTGATAATGGAATTCTGAGAGTGCAGTTCTACTATCTAAACTGATTCGCGGGTTCACTTTGGTGTCCCTTTGATGTAATCATAGTGTGCATTGCTATCGTTCCTTGACTCGTTGCACGCACCGTAGCCATCTTGTACAAGTTGAAGCTCGGACAGTCGGTCACAACCATTCCAACGGTGGGCTTCAACGTTGAGACTGTCACCTACAAGAACGTCAAATTCAATGTCTGGGTGAGTGACACCCCTGTCGTGGTGAATTGTCCACGTACTCCATTATGCACGCGTTCAGATGGTGTGTGCCTGCCTTTTTGCATGTTTCCGCTCGGCGAGGAACTCTCGGCTGTCCGCAGTTGGGCTTCCATTGTTCTTTCATTCGCATAAAAGCAAAAAAAAATAGAGCAGTTAATAGTGCATACTGTGAATTACTATATAGCAACATCTGGCAGAGTGCGTTGACATCGATTGAACATAGTTGCAAAAAAAAAAGTGAAAAGTGATTGTCTGCCTAACAGTAGAGTCGTGACACGAAAAAGAGACTGCAAGAGTATCTGTGTAAAACTTGAAAGCTATTTAGAAAAAAACTGTTGAAAGAGATTCTTTATAACCTTTGAAGCTTCGGACTTCATAATATTCGTCACCTTTGATCGAGAATTTGACTCTGGACATTGCTAGAATTGCTTTTTCCTTGTCTCCTTTCTGTGGAATCGGTGAAGTTTTCCTCAAATTGTTGCATCGCCATTGATTCATTGGTCACAAGTTTAAGGTTTATGAATCTTACACCACTGTACCAATCTTTATCACTCTAAATTAACCAGAAACTGATTACTAATTGCTCAGAAACTTCTTTGCAAGGCTCCGTACGAAATTGCTCTCATGGTAATTTTGTACTAAACTACATTGTGACTGGCATCAATCTGCACCTGCAAAACCAGCGGAGCGCGTTCATGGGAGGGGAAAACATTTGTTCCCTATAGTGGAATCTGGTTAATACGTTTTTGATGCGAACAGAATAATAAACGCACTATGCAAGACTTTTATTTAACAAAATGGCTAAAAAAGAGAGAGGAGGGAAATATGGATACTTCTTCAGAAAATCACTTTTATTCAGCAATGTTTATGCCACACTTCCCTCTTTTCATCATTGGATGCCTTGGCCATGCATGGCAGCAATCATTCCGCCATAAATCCGATGCTGCTGTGAACTCAGTGGCTATGCAACATGGTTTAAGCTAGTGTGCCTAAGAGTAAACTTGCGATATATATATATATATATATATATATATATATATATATATATATATATATATATATATATATATATATATATATATATATATATATATATATATATATATATTGGTCAAGATCTACTTTCACAGTAGTATTATCCAATTCTGGGCAAAAATGTGGTTGCCTCAAAATGTATTATTTCGAAGGGACGTGTGCTGGGATTAAAAAAAAGCATAATAACAAAACAAATGTATTTTGCCTGTCTAAAATGGTATTCTGCCTTGCACTAACTCACCTGCATGGCTGTCATCTTCTGTGTATCACATTCATCCAGTGTTATAAGAAAAAAAATGACTGAGGATTCCAAGACAAGTGAAGCCAGTGTTTGTCTGTTTTCATCCAGCTCACGAAATTTTTCAGGTTTCGCATTTTTATTTCATAGTCGTGTTGATGCACGCATCTGTGCACTCTCTTCATCGGTGTTCACGTGTGATGTGTGCATGTACATCTCAGTACCTCACTTGTTCTTAAACCCGAGATTGAGAGTTGACCATGACGGTCACATTTACACACACTTGTACCTGTTCTATGCTTCTCATTCTCTTAGCGGTGGAGAGGCCCTAATGCAATGACGCCTGCCTACTTATGTGTAGGTTCACTTTGAAGAAACTCTGGGTGTTCAAAATGAATCCTGCCTCATGGTTCTAGCATGTCAAGCCCCAGAGTTTAATATTGTCAATTTCTCCTAATGGCTCCTGCCTGATTTTTCATGTGACGTTCTCTTTTGCAGACAAGCAATAGTGAAAGCTCGTCAATGCGAATTTCGCGGGGACTAGAAAAAGTGTTGGAATGAACCAAGCGGTGAATATCGAAAGTATCAAGAAAACAATGAAGAAATGTCTATTAATTACACCAATACATAATTCATTTTTTAGAATATGTAAACTTAGTAATTACCTTTAATGAGGGCAGTGCAAAAGCCGCAACTTTCACAACTTGCAACTTTGTTCACACAGTGTATGCGGCAAGATTACTACGTCTTGACACTGTAATGCCCACTGTATCATATTTGACACATTGAATATGATACTTCAATACTGCTACTAAAAGCTACCATAGGTGTCATAAGCAGCTACTGCAGATTTGACATGTTATGAAAAAGGTAGTGACCTACATATTATTTCCAATTAGCACTAAATAACGTACGACTCAAACAAAATTTTATCCTTATTTTTCTTAAAATGAACTCTAGAAGAAGAGTAAAAATAGTGAGCGTTATCTCACAATTTTTTTGAAGGCATAACTGTTGCTGGGCATTACAGGGTTAACCTGAAACATGCTCTGAATCCATGCCTTATTATGTACCAACAACTCGATTATGGATGGCAACTTCACCTTTCTAAAGGCTGAAGGCCCACAGCCATATTTGATCTCTGCGAACGTGGTTTTCATTTTTTGTGTGTGTGTGTCGCACGTCTACAATGCTTTGGGCTTTACATGCTCCAAGGAGCGCCCGAACTGATTGGGTTGAGACCATATGTAACCGAATTAGCTAGAGTTTGATGCTATTAAACAGTACATACCCTGGAAGGAAAAGACCTGAGGGCACATCCAAATGAACTTATTTTCTGAATTAATGACTGGGAAATTAATATGAATTGATGTTAATAGTTGATGACTGGCATTCAATGCCTCATGAGATTTTTTTCGGCTGACAATTTTACTATATGGCTGGAAAGTTATCTACTTGGTGATTAGAGTGTTCAAATGTGTCATAAATTTCATTGCTGTTTCGCAGACATGTGACCTCTGTTAGCGTATATATGCATGTTTTTTGCAGTTTTTATGTTTCTTTTTTTTTCACATTTTTGCTGTTATGAATCACTTGATGTTTCTTATGCCCCTCTTGCCTGGACCGATATGCTGGTCTGCAGTATGTTTAAATAAATAAAACAAATTTCTATTGTGTAGTAAAACTAGCTGGAGCTCCCACAGCTGGCGAACGAGTACTCAACTGGACTTTCGGGGCACTCTACAGGAGCCGTGACTCGACAGTAGACGTTGTTGCTCTCTCGTCCTCAGGATGTTGGCGGTCAAGACAAGATTCGTCCCCTGTGGCGGCACTACTACACGGGCACGCAGGGACTAATCTTTGTGGTGGACTGTGCCGACCGAGACCGCATCGACGAGGCGCGCCAAGAGCTGCACAAGATCATCAACGACCGCGAGATGCGCGACGCCATCATCCTGGTCTTTGCCAACAAGCAAGACCTGCCCGACGGTGAGCGCCTCTTTAGTATTGACTGCACTGAAACCACGTCTTCTTCACACACTCCAGTGACATTGAAGGGCCACTCACCAGGTTTGACAACTTTCGAAGTGACAAGTGTAATGCGTAGATGGGGCATTCACGATCACGGCTGCCAAAACTTGCAATGCTGCGCGCTGCGGACATGGGTCAAATTTCAAGATGAACACTGCTTCTCCTTCCTTTCGCGGGCGCGCACCCAGAGAATGAGGGCTTGATGTGCACGTATGAATGGCCCAATGTACATGGCATTGCCATGACGTTAGTCCTCTACATAGACCACTGTGCTCTGACGTTGCCAACAGTGGCACGTGACATGGCAAAAATTATTTAACACGGCATGCGTAATTATGTAACTTGTAGCTTGAAGAGATTAATAAAACTGTAGGTAAATAATCGAGATGCAATAAGGGAATGTGAGCATTTTTTTTTTTTTTTTTCTGTGAATTGCAACAAGATGCAGGGCTAATGTGCCGGCGTTTCGCATGCGTCTGGTTCCTACGGCCACCGCATCGAGCAGACGACAGCCATGGAAACGAAAGTAACGCTCCTGCTAGCTACTTTACTGGTGGAGTAGATGAGCACTGAATGGTCTCATCTACTCCACCGCATCTAAGCCAGCATTTCTAAACGAGCAGAAACAGGCAATAGACCACAATATAACGCTGGTCAAAAAAGAAAACCGCTTGCGTGCTTGGTAGTTGGGCTTGTTTGGGCACGTCATGCTTACTTGACCTCTTGGTCGGATGCCGTAGAGGGTAGGGAAGAGATTTGGCTTGTGAAGGCTACGCGGTAGAGCAACAAGGGTTTTGAGCTTGCCTCCTCTCATCTTCGTTTCGCGTTGCTTCAAAAAAGCAGTTTTCTCAGCTCTTATTGAAGAGGTCGAAAAAAATTTTTGTTGCAAAATGCTCCTCATTGGACACTCAACAACTTCCAAAGTCTTACTAAAATTTGTTATGGGGCCTGGTGAGTGGCCCTTTAAAGGTATCACTGTTGTAAAGCAGGGTTGCAATTTGTTTTTCACAGGCATCACAAAGATGTACCAGCCTAAAGTTTTGAAGTTGGAGCCATTTAAACAGGCTTGTTCCTCAGTGAAAATTGGTACTTATCAAGTATCACTGGAGTTCCACTTCGAAAATATTTAACTGTTTTCAAACTTCAAAAATATTTAACTCTCCTTGTTTCTTCCTTTTAGCTGTAATATGTAATGGCAGGCCAATCGTTTGTTCATAATGGGGTTAAGCCTTCCATTACCTTGCAGGTTGCCACACTTGTGATTTGCAATAGTAATTAATTGTGGCAGTGCACATCGCAACAAACATGACAGTGGTAAAGTATGTGCTAGTGTTCATCTATTATGTGTTTGTTGTCATTCTTTATACATCTGTTGCCACTTTTCATTGTATTTGTTGTTGACAAGCTTGTGTTTGTGCAATTTCTTTTTTTCCACATGCTTAGTGTTTGCTCTGGTTTATCCTTGGTAGATTTTTATTGAGAAAGGCAACTTACACCAAAGAGTGCCAAACACAGGGTTGCTGGTTGACTTTGTTATAAGCAATTACTAAACTATTACCCTTCAAAAAAGTACTATCCTACATAGGCTATGTGCACAAATGTGTGCACCAAGACAATATACTGAAAGCAAAAGAAGTGGTGCAAGGGATATTCAGAAAGTCGCATTTATTTTGAAACGCTTTGTGATTGCAACTGAGCCACAAGGCTGCAAAAATACACGGGCAGTTTTTTCAGCAACGATATCATTGCCTGTTTTGTTGTCAGAATGCCACTATCATACTTGCCAACTCTAATTGTCCGGGAGGCTTCCGAATTTGGACAAAATCTCTCAATTTTACGAATGCTAACTCAAATCTCCCTAAAAGTGGCAGTCACAGCAAAGGAGCTTTGTTTTTAGTTGTTGTTCTATCACTTGCGTATACGTCAGCCTTTTCTGCTGCGAGTTGCGATGCTGTGCAAGATCACTCGCCGCTACGCTTATAGTTTATTGTAACCATACCATAGAGTGCCACGCATCTTTGCGAAGGGTGCTTGCAGCGAGACCCGCTCGATCACTGTATACCGAAAGTAGGCGATGGGAAAGGTATCACAACTTCTTCATCTGTCTGCCTTGGCCTCTGCATATTGTATGCTAGGCCTACGTCCCTTGCCTCAGTTGTTTGTTACGAGGTTGTAGCGGTCGTGGTGGTTGTGTGTTCCCCCAGTTAAAAGGCTGATGGACGGTACCAAAAGTAAAGTAATAGTACTTGCAAGTGTTTCTGGACTCATACGCAACCGAGTTTCCGTGCTTTGTGGTGTTGTAGAAAGGTGGCAATTACGGATTCTGTACCACGTGCGCCTGTCATATAAGCATTTCGCTCGGCGGCAAGGCTGACACATGGCTTCACAGAAACATTGGAAGTTTTTTTCAAAAAGGCTGCCAAGACAGTGCGATCTGCGCAGAATGCCTATCCACAGGATTTCTTAGGAAACACAACTTGCCGCAAAGCGTAAGTGATCACGCAGGCCTGTTGTTTTGGAAAATGTTGCCAAAGTGCAAGGACGCGAAGTGGTACTTGAGAGAACAACTGCCATCATCTGGGGAAATGACTGCAGTTGCAGAAAACACTATGGTGGGGGCTCTGAAACGCCATGCTTTCACAATTGCAGTGAACGCAGGCAATGACAGCGCGTCGCCATTGTCACGGTCTCAATTATGTCTTTTATGCCCCCCTCCCCCTCAGCGGCAGTCTCACGAATTTACATGCTGCTAGGTTGGCAGGTATGGATAGTGGTAGTAGTGGGTTCTGTTGCGCAAAGGTGGGCAAAATGCTTCGATACTGCCCAGCCCTGCTCTTGCGTCATTTTATGTTTTTTGCTAATGTTTTATGTCGCTCTTTATTTTCATGTAGCTGCATGTTTTTTCAATTTTGAGATTCAGGAGTGGTGTTGAAACCTCATTTCCTCTCAACATGAAGGACTTTATTTTAGTCTATATTCATGAGAAGCGCATATTATTGGCTATAAGTGTAATTGATTCCATTTGTTATGTATTTATGTTTTTAAGTCAAAGATCAGATGACGAGACAGGCTTTGTCAGTCGGTCCAATGTTCAACAATTGTCACCAAACAAAAAAAAATTCAGTCGCAACCCTGAAGTTGAGTTTTGTTGCTACATAACCAACTTGACCACTGCATATCGCCTCATCTCTGTTTTAACTTTTGAGAATTTTTATCAGACGTTATTTACTAGTGACTGCAGTTGTAGTTTCACCAGTGTGTGAAACTAACAGACTGATAGAATACTTCATAGCTGAAATACGTGATAGTGACCATTCGCTTTTGATCAGGTTGCTATGCTCGCGGACAACTTTTCGTCGCAATAAAGAGGAAGGTAGGAGGTGCAGCTATTGCACATGTACTTCTCCGCAAAGTAGTCCAGTACGGCTCGCTCTTCGAATGACGCCCGTGTTCGAATAATAACATTGCATACCACCTGCTTCATCTGCTTAGACAGTAGTTTAAGTGTGAAATTCGTTGCAAGCTCCTTCGGCGAGTCGTTGGAACAGCTGCAGAGTGACAAGCACTCCCTTATAGACTGAAGACCCCATTTTGACTGTGAAATGCTCATAAAACATGTAGTGCTTTCACCCATGCAAAAACATGAAATGACACTGCCCTAAGACAAATATGAATTACTCCGTGGTGCGTGCTGTCGCTCTTTATAAACAGCATACCACAGAAAATAGTTCTATGATTTTTTTCGGCGGAAAACGCTCATGCAATTGTGGGGCTCTGTTGTTCAGTGGTGACACACGCCCACTTTGGTTACTTTCCTTCAATTCCAAGAAAAGTTGGTAAACACACACTCATCGTAAGGCAAGGCGCGCAAATACGGACACAAGGGAAGCGAGAAAAGACAACACAGGCGTAGCGTCCGTGTTGTCTTGTTCTCTCTTGCGTGTGCATGTTTGCACATCTTGTAAAAATACAGCACTTCGATGTCTAATGGTGTCTGAGAAAAGACTCGGAACTGAGTATCTATGTCAATGAGCGTGGTGTATCTTTACCGAAACATCATCTTCCCGTAATTCCATGATGCATGTGACTTCCCTACTGGCGGCGTGAGCATTTTTACAACATGCCTTGGCTGCTTTCATGATGAATCCGTAGCAGCTAGCTCAACCTTGAGTTCTTGTAAACAAATGGGATTGCAATCCGCAGCCATGAAGCCGCACGAGATCCAAGAGAAACTCGGGCTGACGAGGATCCGCGACCGAAATTGGTACGTGCAGCCAGCGTGTGCCACGACGGGCGACGGACTCTTCGAGGGTCTCACGTGGCTCACGTCAAACCACAAGTCCTGAGGCCGACGGCATCGAAGACGGCATTGCAGAAAAAATTCCCGCCGCGTTGCCGTTGCCAGCGTCGCCATCGCCCCCACCGTCATCGCCATTCACCACCGGTGCGGTGCCAGGCAAGGAGGACGCCTGAGCGACAGGCAGGCTGGCTCTGCCGGAGGGGGGAGGGGCGGGCCGCCCGGGGTTCGCTCAACCTCTCCTCCAAGTCATCGTTGCCGTTTGCGGACCAGCCACGATGGGATCCTCGTTTTCCTAGTGCCGCTTTCTTTTTTTTTTTTTTGCGCTCGTTTTTGTATACTGCCACTGTAAAGTTCAGTCGTCAAAAGAACAGGCAGGGTCTCGCCCCTTGCTGTTGTAGGGGGCTTGGAGATGTCTACGTGCCGGTACTGTTTGCCCCCATGAAGCTGCCTTGTCCCTTCTGTTGTTTTTTTCTCCTTGTTTCTTCCTTTTAGCTGTAATATATATGTGTGCAAGTGCTGTTGAGAACAGTGATGCTGCTGCAACAGTGGACACTAGTGCATATCTCTTTTTTCCTTCAGTGGTGGAGGACGTGGGAGGACCTTGGTAGGGGCCCACACTGCTTTCTTTTAGAATGTTTGGGGCACGTGCTGGCGCTGCAACAGACTCTTGGAGGGGCTTTGGCGGGTGGGGAGACGAGAATGAAAGAAAAAATTGAGTGAACTCTCTTTTTGTCCCGCTTTGTCGTAGACTTGTGCGCTTGTTTTGGAGGGGCGTCTCGGCACGCAAATATGCATTCACCGCAGTTCTTTACTCCTTGAAAAGTCGGAACTTGACACTGAAGCACCACGACATGCCGATATGCGCGACACGGAAACAGTGTCTTGAGGAAAGCATCTCTGCAAACATTGCGACGAAGTGCTCTTACCGCCAGCGGTGGTTGTAAAGGGGGGGGACTGGGAGTTTCCGAGAAGGATGTCGGGCCGGAGCTCAAAGTGAGGGATACTCTTGTGTCTGGTGGGGACCTTCTCAATCTTTTCCCCTAGACCCCGTCTCTACCTCCTCTCCGAACACGGGCCACTTTGTGCAGGCAGGGCGAGGGAGACCGGTTCCGTTTGTGCCTTTCTGGGTGCGCCACACGACGAAGCATAGACTTCCCCGCGAGGGATTCCACGGAGAAAGGAATTCACAGACACGCGAGATGCAGCGACAGCTAGCAAGCAGACCACTACCACTCCCCTGCATTTAGTCCAGAAGGGTTGGGGAAAGGGGACACTGTGTCCTCCCCCACCGTCCTAGTGTCACCCAAGTTTTTGTGTCACACCGCTACCAGGCTTTTAGCAGGCAGGCTGCCTTTTTGGTTTGTTTTTTATATTGTTGGGTTGTACATATCGGTTTTCAACCAGTGGGCAAATAAAACTTTGTTCCCGAGCTTCCAACAGCCTGTGCATGCCCCTCCCCCACGGCTTTTTGCAATAGAGGGCATGGCCAGGATAATGTAACGATTCTGTTCCCATAGTATTGTATTCCTTTGTTCACTTGGTCAGTTCAAGCAACACGACGATGTCCATGTTATTATCGACTGCTTGAAAAGTTAAAAGGAATCCTTACATTATTTTGGCCCATGTTTGAATGTGTGTTCAGCCAGCAGCACTGTCAACTGTGGCGTCTTAAAGAAGACTGCTTCTTGTCTGCATATTACAGCACCGTACATGCCTCAGCATCACTCACCACCTAGCATCGAACTCTTAAGTTAGGGCAGACCAACAAGTCTGAAATTTGTTTTCTTTCCGGAAGCCCTAAATAATAAAAATGTCATATTTATTATCACTTTTGGCTATGTGACTGCGTAATTTGTGTGTGCACAATTATAGACTGATCATAAAAAGCTGCGAAGTGAACTCGTGCACATTCGTTAGTAGAGCTCAGCCACAAAGTTTGAAGGGGCATCGGCGCTTAGATGAACACAAACTTAACAGCTCATCAGCACGGAATTCCCAAAGTTGACCGCATCAGAAGAAATCACGACAGCAGATGCACAGAATCTCAAAGAGCATGTTCACCTTCATATTATTAGGAAGTGCTAACCTTCCCCCCAAAATTTTTTTGTTGGGATAGTGGGACGGTTTTTTTGTTGGGGAAGTCCTGCCAGCATTGATTGCAAGAATGGCGAAAGACATTCTGAAACAAAAGTCTGAAAACAATTTTCAGCAGTATATTACAATTACCACCAATCCCCAGCTGCTGTTAACAGTTGGTGTGCCTGCCGTTCCTATGAGATGATGGCGTGCTGGCCAAATTGATCATTCCCAATCTGATGCCTCGTATATATCAAGATCTTGAATAACAAGTGTAGCCAAGCCACACTCCCTTTTTACTACACTCGATAAAGAGAGCAGAAAATAATTGACCAGACTTGAATCCAGTTGACCATCTTCATAAGGCAAAGTATTCCTTGTTACGATTGGGTGACGAACCATGTGAGTGTGCATATCATGTTTTCCATAACATTGCTATAAGTAAGAAGCAGCAATCATTCCCAAAAATGAACATTCAAGTCAAACCAAAAGCAATCCTGAAAATTATCAGCTTACAATGAGGTTTTTGACAAAATGCTTCAATCAAGTAAACATTAGCAATGGATACAGGCTGCGCCTGTTGCGGATGAGCAGTTTGAGCTATGGTCTCCTGGAAGCATACAAACATTTGCAGTTTGGTTGCTTTCTGCCAGCTTGGTAGCAGTATGGAGTTTTCAGTCAATTGAATCGGGTAAGCATTGCCAAAGTAATGCTCTCTTATATCATTTTGTTAAGCAAGCTCTCGAAAATTTCTTTTGCCATTGTATATTGTTAATAGCAGCACACTCCAGCATGTTCCAAAAGTTGAGAAAATGTCGCGACACCCTTATAGTGAAAAAAGGTGTTTCATTGCATGTGCACAACTTAAGAACTCTATACACATCACACCTGACCACTGACGCAGTCTCATAATGCTGGCACATTGAACAGCCGTAACAAAATGTGAGCAACATGCTTCCAGCAGCGAGCATGTGGTGACCATGCGTGCAGAAGACCAGGCATCTCTGCTAACTTAGCTTCTTTGTTTCTACAGGTTGCCAAGTGCATGGCATTGATGGTGTGAATTGAAACAGTAGTGTCCACAGCAAGTGGTTGCTTGTAAAGTCCTTATAAATGCTGTCTCAGTTAAGAAATGAGGGCAGCTTGCGCTGGTGTAAGACTGGACCAACAGCAGTGCTTGTGGCCAACCTAGGCTATTAGCAAGGTCTTGTTTTAAAAAACATATATATTGATGTGGTCGTAATGACCAAGATCATAGTTACAATGACCCCAATTAGTTAGATTTTAATTAACAATAGCCTAATTAGTGCAATGAAATGTTATTAGTATAGCTTGGCTTAATTCGCTTGACAAAAAGCATGCAGGAGACTATAAGGGCTTGTGCACCTGTGACTAATATTGATACTTTCCTGTCAACTGCACAGGCAAAGCCACCAGTCATTTCTGCTCACTTTGGCGTTGTTTCCACAGTCTGCCAAGTGCATGGCGTTGATTATAGGGCCTCGCTGTACTCAGATTGGATGTGTGGCCGTGTCATGTGTTCACTTGCAATGCTCTTATGAATGCTGTCTCAGTCAAAACATTTGGGCAGCTTGCTCTAGTTGCACGAGATAGAACAGTGGAGCTTGTGGTTGGCCTGAGTTGTTGGCAAAGTCATCATTCATCTTAAGAGGTCTTTATTAGAGTAGCTGTAATTGGTGAGACCATAATTATCATTGTGCTAATTAATGTCTTAATTAGCATAGTGGTAATGACATTAGCTTAATTAGCTTGACTAAGCATGAAGTTTGATGTAAGAACATGCAGAAGAGGACTAAGGGCTTGCACACCTACCACTGATGATACTTGCTTGTCTACTCCATGGCATAATGAAAAGCTTAGACAATTTTTCTACCATTTGTAAATTACTCTTTTACATTTCCAAACACTCCATGCTTGTTGCAAGAAGACTTTTGCATAAAAATTAAATACTGTTGGTGACGGCCAGCTTGAAGTTCCTGCACCAAACGTCGTGAGGTCAACGATTTTGATGGCATGTATTTACTAAGCTCCTAATCAATAAAAATGCATTACGGTGATCTCTGAGCAGGCCATACTCTTAACGTATAATGCTTCATTAAATCTCGTTGAGCCAATGTTGTCAAAAGACGAAAGCGTTTGGACATCTATGACCATGCAAAAGGATATCGGCATGAAATTTTAAAATAGAATATTGGCCTTGACTTCCTCCTTTGTTAAACTTTTGACGGTAAAATTAACAACATTAGAGTTTTCATAGAGCACTCTGTCAATTTAAAGAGATTCGGCTGTCTCTTAGGGGTCCCTTTTATAGCTCTGTTGTGAAAGAAAAATACCAAAGACACAGTAGCTTCTGGTGTTAACTTATACTGAACCTACTTCACGACAGTCATCTCTGCAAAACATCAGCATTAGGCCTGACTAGCTAGTTTTGCTTGGGAGCCTGAAATAACTTGAAATAGGGAGGTGCAGCACCACCCAGATTCTCACTAGCACAGGCTGAGCTTGTCCAAGATGCAGTGTTGACCAGTTGACAAATAGTGCGCTCGAGGCAGGAGCAGCTTCCTACTATGTTACCAACCCCTGCACAGCAATGTCCTCCATGCTTCACTGCCATCTTCAAAAAAGGCTCACCTAGCGTATTTGCTCGCACGTTTTCACCTAACAATGCTGATAAACATCCATCTTCACAGTAACAACATGGTAAGCCAATCAGTTTATACCACATGTTGACAAAGTGAGGATCCGCAGAAAACAAAAAACAAGATCATGCGATCAGCTGGGATTCATCTTCAGACCACTGCAGATGCGTCTCCAGTGTCTAGTAGAAGCCTCTGGCAGGCCGTACGTGGCAACAGCTTCTAGAGGTGGGTTTAAAGCAATGTTATATGAGCCTTGCAATAAGCAATGACAATGAAACCTTGACCTGGATGCTTGATTGCCAAGGGGGGTGTGGGTGTAAACAATAAATTTGCCCACAGTAGAAGATAATCCAAAGCACTAGTTTTTCGTTCATTCTATCGTCTTTCTTATCAGGGTCCACAGTTCTCGCGTGTCTTGTGCTAGCATGAAGGGTCTTGTTATGATGAGTGGTAGGTGAACGACTCCACAAAGAAGGAATCTTACGATGCACGTGCAGTGGTCTCAAGTTATACCTAATTAAGCTACTACGCACTGGGTTGCCTTGCAGCGACCAGGCTGCCTTTTTCTGAATCTGGCAGAAATGTGATCCGGCCGAGAAGGCCTCTTCGAAAGCCCTGGATAAAGTTCGCAGCTGCTGCCTCCTGGTTGGGGCGCAGGCTCCATCCTGGAACGAGAAACGATTTGGCTCAAGTCCACTTATCCGCACCTCGCAGAGCCGTCCATTGCCCCAGTGACGATTCCTGACCTGTTGTCACTTTCCGCATCAGGTCAATATCTCAATGTGACACAAAAATATGCTTTAGGTTGAAAACTAGGTAATTATTTCAAATAACCAGTGAAGTTTGTCCTCAGAAATATCGAAACTTTGTCACTAAAAGCACCAAGTAAGGTCACAATGGAGTACAATACTGTCATAATTATGTGGGAGCGGCCACTTGTTTGCAACTTCGTGATACGAGTTTCACTTGATATCATTCAAAGATATGGCATACAGGACAGAAAGAAACCTGTGGCAGCATTTGTCAACACCTTCTACTGCCTTAGTTAGAGGTGATGCATCACTACTGCCGTATTTTTCATGCGTTGGATAGCCACCACAAATATTCTCAACCTTGTACTTTACTTCAAAACAGGGAATTCGTTGAAAAGCAACACTGGAGAGTTGACAGAGACAAAGGAGGCACAGTTGCACTACTGTTCTGTTGTTAAATGCTAGATTAAACTTGCTCCATCATGAGATAATGCATTTACGTTTGAATAACATAAAAACGTACACACGTGTACATGCACATTCTTGTGCTAAATAATGTGCCAAGTATGTACAAACAATGCAATCCACCCCTGCACCTACGTGTCAAGACTTTCACATTGCTCTAGAGTGCGCAGCAAGTGAATATTTAAAAATACGGTGACTTCTCTATCCTGAGAGTCATATCTGCTGAAAGTCTTTTTGCACAGTGAATAATTGTTGCGCATAATGACAAGTGACATGTTTGTCTCCACATACCTTCGTAGGTGCGCACTTTGTTTAATACACGCATGTTGATTGCAGTCTTGTACAGGACAAGTCGAATGTCATCACATGGCCCATCTAGCCCCAAGTAGTCAACGTAACTGCAACAGAGCGAAAATAGCCAGACAACATGACAGCACTACTTTCTTATCCTATACAGAGTGGCTACACAGGCGTACAATCATTATTCCCTTAATTAGAACAGATATGAGGCATTGTACTACCAACTCAGATATAACCATTTTTTAATATGATGACCTTTCATATCTTTCCCATTCGTCTTAAGTAATGGAGTAGAAGATGTCCAAAAAAAAATTAACCAAGCCTCGACAACAAGATTCACTAGCATGCATGAGGCGACGATTAACAAGAACAGCATGAGTCACATTTTCGTACATCGACGCAACTTCTTTTTAATTACCTCACCCCAAGATAGCAGGGACAAACTGTACATATCTAAGTATGTAACAGAAATCTGATAACTAAGCCGCCTAAGAATCCATCCTAAAGCTGTAAAAGTATTTAGCTTTCAATAAAGTCCTGTGGTCCTTATGCTTTTGCAGTTGACTACACGTTAGTGTTTTCTATTAAAAAATAGTCAAGTTGACACACTTTGCCCGGGTCGTAGACAAGTTTTAAAGAGGTGTTCGCAGCATTGCAAACTTTGCTAGCTCCAATGCATTTTGGACCATGCTGAGATAATGCTGTTTTCAAGTAGTATTGACAGTCCTGAAAAAGCTCGGGTGGTTCATTTTGCCCAGGCACTCATCAAAAAGTTCAAGCAATAAACAGTGAGCTAAAACAGAAACCAAAACAAGGAGCTGCTCTGTCATCCATGGTGGGCATTGGTCGAGATCTGCTACACCCCGCCACAGCTGGCCAGAGTGTAAACAGAGAGGAAAAGCAAGTTGACGATGTCACCCGACGCGGAATCAAGCTGTGCTAGCTCGTCTGAACTTACCAGTGACAAGTTCGACGATGATTGCAGCTGCTATCTGAGCGCGGAAGCATCACTTTTTGATTTCGACCCGCCGGCGCGTGAAGCATCTGACATGCCCCGAATTGCTGTCCTGCTTGCCCAATTATTGTAAGAACCGATGTGAACGACAACTAACACGCTGTATGCAGCTGACAGAACTGAACCGTTCTCGCGTTGTCGTCACTTCGCAGAAGTAAGTGCGCTGCATCCGTCAGCTGGGAAAGCCAGGGTTTTTGAAAAAAAGTAGTTCCTTAAATCACATACGCAGGGTGGCATGCACCTACAAGTGCGATTACAGAATCAGCTACCTATTTAAAAAAATTTTTCTAAAAAACTAAATGACTTACGGTTGTATAATTTGGCACATATCACCACGGTACCAACTGAAAACAGTGTTAAAAGTTTTAGCGAAATCGGTGCATATCAAAAGAATGCCGGAGTTCCCCTTAAATTAGCCCTTAGATGTGAGAATTGTCAGAACAAGCCACGTGATTCAGCTAGTTCAACGCACAGACGAAGTATTGAAGGCACTTCGCTAATCAATCGAACCACTGTGCCCACCTGTAATTGTGCTGCTGGTTGAGCCAATAAAGCAGGTAGTCAGCCATTAGCACGTTTCCAACCAGGTGGTCCAGCATACAGCCTGCGTACGAACACTGTTGAGGGTCATGCTTTACACGTGCCAAAAGTCGTCAGCTGCAATGTTCACATGCTCACTTGACCCCATTTAAACCCTGCCACATTTCTCCCTAATCAAGCCAAAGGAGAAACACCCAAAGATATAGTCTGAAACATCATCACAGCTCCTTGTAATGAAGGTTTATTTGATAGTAAAAACATCTGTACTAATTTTGATGTGTTGCTATTGGCAAGAAACATTTATGTCTATATCAGGTGGCAACTATAGCCAAGGCAAAGAGGCCACAGAGCCTGAGCACAAGCAATAATATCAAGCTTGGCACTGGTGGCTATGATTCCTCAGCATTTGTCATCTTTAACACATACGTTGACACATTTTCACTACAGTTTGTTACAGCATCTGCATTTGTTACATCAATGTTCGTCTTTATTAGTTTTCCAGAAATGGACTGGCTATAGCAGAGAAAGGATTCGTATGAAGCTTTTTCTTTTTCTCAAATATTCAGCGTCTGACCTGCTGTAGTAACTGGAGTGTTCTACTAATGACCGCAAGGTCATGTGTTCAGTTCCAGTCGTGACTGCCACATTGTGAGTGGTGCAGAATGTGAAAACAATCACGTGCAGTGTCTTGCGTATACATTAAAGAATTCCAAGTGGAACACGTCTGTTTAATGTGGCTCATTTCTGTTTCAATTCTGTATAATGCATATCCTTCTGTAGTCACACATCAGCATGTAACCTGTCCAATAAAATAACGCTGATTGTCATTTTACATTGAACAGGGTGTACACAGAAGCATTTTGCCACACTGCTATGCACTCGCAGCGCACTCTCACTACACGAGAATAGTCAGTTGCTCGGACGACTGGTGTTTGGAATAACACATTTAATCATGCAACAAACATGCCTGGACTAGGCCACTTGAATCTCCACCACATCGAAAGCACAGAAACCAGTTGAAGCTTTCTTTGGACAAGCCAGTTGTGCAACAATGCTCGCTGTACTTTCCTCAGTGGACCTACCTTTCTCGAAACATGATGCAGTGTTCTACGCAAATCGGCACAACACCGCCCCGACAACATGTCCCTCTTCTCCCTACTTCTGCTTCAACCAATAAACAGCAGAACGCTTTCACTACTTCAGGTGCATACCACATTTACCACCCTCTGCAGTGGACTATACTTGAGATACAACTGAAGAAAAAAAAAGCTGTTTTTTTGCCATCAAACGACCTTCAAGCCAATGGCATCGCCGTGTCATCAAGAAATTGTGCCAAACCGCCTTCACGCCGCGCTCATGAAGTAATCGAAGAGCGTGTTTTTCCTATGCTGATGGACCTCAACCAAATGGCCACCTCCGCTGTTCGTGACAATCCACCAGCGCTTTCAGTGAGACCAGCGCTCTCACAAGCTGACTTTATACCATGAACTCTTTCGTGTGTTTTATCCTAACAGGAAAATAAAAGAAATTGTACTAAAATTTTATCTCCGCTCAAAGTAAGGGCTTCTAGAGTAACTACTTTTTGGCGCAAAAGCACTCAGTAGAACTGAGGGGAACAGCACAAAAAACAGAACAGCAAAAGATTGAACACACGACACAAGCGCTGACTAAAAAACATTATCTATTTTTCCAGGAGGGCGAAGTGAAGGCTCACTGACAGCACATGTTCCCTTTTGTCTTGATATTCTTACGCTGAAGCGGCAACATGTGAAGCGTGGAAGAGAGACTGAAGTGGTTTGTTTGGGAAGCAGCTCAGTGTCGGCGCGGCTAGCCTTCGCCATTCGCTCTTCAATAAATACGCCCCATCGTAACAGTTTTGGTGAGAGGTGCTGGGTACGATAACGGCGCCCCCGACGAATGGCGACTTATCGACCGCTGAGGTGCAATATGCGGAGCTTCGCCGAAGCCGGCGACTTGCTGGTCTGCCACCTGCGATCGCGTCTCACGACAACAATGACAACGGGCCACCTGCTTCCCGCATTCCGTGGCAGCCCTACATCCAGCCTCCATCCTTCGCTAGACAAGCTGCAGAAGATGTCGACTCGTGACTCAGCTCCTACCAACGGGCGAGTCAGTTTAATGGCTGGGATGCCACCGGCCAGCTCAACAGTGTGGGACTCTTTCTCAAAGGAACTGCATCTGTATTGCCTGAAAACCATGAAGCCTGAGGACGTGGCAGAAGTTCGTCGATGAAATCAAGTTGTGCTTTGGGGATCCGGCAGCGAAGAAGAAGCATGCCGAACAAACTCTTATGCAACGAGCAGCAAGTCCCCGGAAAAACCTGCACGACGTATATCGAGGAGGTCCTCAAGTTGTGCAAGGAACTGGACCCCTGGATGACAGAAGAGGACAAGGTTGGTCATCTTCTAAAAGGGATCGCGGAGGATGTTTACCAGTTCCTCATCGCGAAAGAAAGTTTGGAGCGTGTAAATGACGTTATCAAGCACTGCCGCACGTTAGAAGCGCTGAAAGCGCGGCGAATTACACCAAAGTACGGCTGCCTGCCTAACGTCACTGATGTCGCCAGTGTCAGCCTGCATCCAACTCCATCGGATCTGGCGTTTATGATTCGCCAAGTAGTGCGCGAAAAGCTCGATCTACACGAGGGGGCTTCTAGGCAGGCACCTACTGTCCGAGAACCCTTTTCCCCCAGTGACTTAAGCGTTATGACTATCAACGCCGCCTCCTATGATGCCTACAACTATACGCCTCGTCCTCGAGGGCCAAGCCAAACTATGCGTCCGTACTACCCATTGGATGACGAATACGTGCGCAGACCACCTACCGGTTATCAAGCATGGAATGGCCGGGCCATTCATCCTTCTGCTGACCTCCCACAAAGCACCCCGCGAACATCCCATATGCTTTCACTGGCATCCGCGGTCACGTCGCCCGATTCTGCCCCCATCGCCGTCGCATGGCAGCACCGCCCTATGGGCGACCACGCACTTTCTACGGGCGCAACAATCAGCACGTTGACAAGACACTCTGGCCCCCAGACTCTGACAGCAGGCCAAACCATCGGGGTATCATCGCAGTGACTCACCGGCGTCTGTGCGGAGCTTGGCGCCACCACGTTCACGCTACCGAAGATCCTCATCTCCTCGACGACATCCCACTTCACAGCCGCCGGGAAACTAGGCGGCGCGACCAATGGAGGTGAGGCGGCCAGTCATCTTCAGCTACACGCCGCTTCGCCTCCACCAGTGACTATAACAGATTTGTGTCATAACAAGATTTGTGTTTTTTTGGACAATGTTACGACGACAGCTTTAGTGGACACGGGAGCAAGTGTCTCTGTTATGAGCATAAATTTCAAAACCCAATTAGGTCATAAGGTGATGCTCAAGTGGGATAATGCGAGCACATTTCGTGCTGTGAGTTGAGAATTACTACGACCTCTTGGTGTGTGTACTGCGAACGTCTACATCTCTAATAACGTCTTTCAAGCCGAATTCACAGTGCTCGCTAAATCAACGCATAATGTGATTCTGGGTCTAGATTTCCTGCAACAGTGCGGTGCCACTCTTGATTGTGGTGCCGGCGAGCTTTTTGTCTCTCCTTTTCTTGCCGACCAACCTGCTGTTTGTTCGCACACCCTCGCCGTCTGTGAAGATTCCATCGTACCACCCCGTTTGTTATCCAGCGTTCAGGTTACTGTCCCTAGTGCCGAAAATGATGTATTCGACCCTGTTGTTGAGCCGACGACATCAATTATCGCAAAGAAGGGTATGCTCATGCCTTGCTGTATTGTCTCTGTGGCCTGTGGCACAAGTACATTGTGGGTGTCAAATTTTTCTAACCAGTCTGTTGTGCTTCCTAGTGGTATGCGACTTGCCTCATTTGAAGCGGATGCAAGCCTTAATAATGTTATGAATAACTTGTTTAATGATCTATTTACAGCGCACAGAACTCGACGAGCAAGATGGCACCAGTCCAGCATCAAACCAAAACTCACTTCGTCCTTCTCTTTCATGCAGACCTGTTTAGCGGCTGTTACGTACCATAACCCCCCGCGGTAGAAGCACCGTCCCGGTGCTTCTACCGCCGATGATGTTGAAGATGTCGATGATGTCGAAATCTACGCAGATGATGTCGAAGGGGAGTAATAGGGCCTAGCCGAGCCACGTGAACGGTGTCGCTCGGAGCTGATGATGACTTTGTTGGATCGGTTGGAACAATCTCGTACACTTGTGACGTTTGTCACTTGGCGAACGATACGGAATGGTCCAGTGTAGGGCGACAACAGTTCTTCAGACAGTCCCACACGCCGAGTAGGTGACCAGAAGAGCACGGGAGAACCAGGGGAAAAGTGCACACATACCGCACCCTGTGTTTCAGTCTTTCCTGCGTTGGGCATGTCCTGAAGCCACGTTTCGAAAGCTCGCTCAGTAGAATTGTTGCCAAGGCACTGAGTAGTTCAGTCGGGTAGACAGACAGAAAATTTCTGTCATCCCTTACGTACACGGTGTGAGCCATACACTCAAGAGGATTGTTGGCAAGCCAGGCGTGAGACTTGTTTGCTCGTCTCCTCGTAACCTCAGCCGCCTTCGCAAGAAAGTGAACGATGACAATCCCAAGGAGCATGCGTGCATCCAGAAACACAGGACGCAGTATGTTGAGTGTGTGAGCAACATAGTGTACGACATTCCGTTGTCCTGTGGTCTGTCCTATACTGGACACACTGGTGGCTGTTTGAAAGACCGCCTGAGGGAGCACGCAAATAATCTCAGGACTTCGACAAGCAGCATTTTGGGAGCCCATTGCTCCTTGTGTGACTGCGTCCCGCTCTTTCGTGCACGCAAGATACTCTCAAGTTATCGTAACAAGACAGAGTGCGAAATTAACGAGGCTTTTCATATAGAGACAAAAGGGAACATGTGCGTCAGTGAGCCTTCACTCGCCCTTTTGGAGAAAGAGATAACGTTTTTGAGTCAGCACTTGTGTCGTCTGTTCAATCTTTCTCCGTCCCGTTTTTTGCACTGTTCCACTCAGTATCATGTACCAACTGGCCCTTCAAGAAACCCTTCTGCACTCGTAGAAGTGTGGGTCCAAGCGCTTCTTGTAGGTGCAAAGCAGTCGGTCGCGACATCACGGTGACACGGCAACGCTTTCGGCTGAAGCAAGGTCTTTTCATGGTGAAAAGCCGCTTTTTTCTTTATTTTTATATGAGTACAGTGGCCACGGTGTTTTACTGCTCACCCAAAGGTCACAAGATCGAATCCCGGCCGCCATGGCCACATTTTGACATAAGCAAAGTGCTAGTCTCTCGTGTGCTCATCTTTATGTGCTTGTTAAAGAGACCAGATGGCGGGCATTTGCAAAGCCCTGTACTACAGATTCCCTCATAATTAGATCCTGCTTTCGGGACATAAAGCCCCACTATTATTAACAAGTGTTCACCCTTCCATCAACAATTCCAAGACAGGCGAGTGCATTTCGATACATCATGTGTGCAAGTCGCTACTGTTCTTCCCCATAGAATGCTTCCTAAGAAAATACCGACACAATATTATTGCTTAGTGAAATTTTGTTTAGTTAAATAAAGGGGAAGTACCTGAGAATCCTGAAAAGGAAGTGCAACAATGCTGCAATGTCCCTTTCCCACGTAATTCCAAGCATGGCTGTATGGATCGTATGCTCCGATTACACCAGGAGTTCCAGTGTTTCAATAGCAAAAGAAAAGCTTAGTTCGGAATTTCAATGCGAATGAAGGAAATATCTGAGGTTGAAACTTTCTCACAAAGTATTTCATAACTGAACAGGTCTGGTGCCGTCACGATACTCTTGTAAACTGGATTATGTTTCGCAGCGACTAGATCATGCCAATTAGATAAAGGAAATAGGCTACCGGACTGATGCACTTAAAATGTCATTTCTTTCCAGGACAATAAGCCAGTGGAATAGGTAGTCTCCTGAAGTAGCAGAAATTACTTCACGTGAAGTATTTTCAAGTTCACTGCTGGGTATTCAGCATTGCACTCGCACGGTTGTGTGAGGACAAAACTTTAACCTGCTTTATGTTGTGTACATCCCATGTATCATTTCGTCAGTTGACAGTGAATTGCGTTCAATGTTGATGTTGTTGGAATCCGCATTTCTCTATTGTAATATTGTATTTTCTCCCGCCCCCATCTGTAATACCATTAGGTGCTGTGGGTACCAGTATGATAAATAAATAAATTATTTTTCAAATTATGATCTAACTAAAATCTCTGAAAAAAAGAAACCAATGATGGTATTCAAACACCTTGATACTTCACTAGATTATTTAGCATGTTCTCAAGCTTGGCAATATCTTTTTTAGGGTGTTTAAGCCCACGTCTTTGATTTCAATATGGTTGGAAGAAGAAAAAAAACATGCCGCTACGACTTATACGCAAGGTGCTGCCAAAACGTTGTGGTGAAGGGTCATGTAGAAAAGGGTGCTCAAGTTCCATTAACGCAAAACCTGGGGAGTTGCAGATCATGCAGTAGTGTGCCGGTGTTTGCCACAGCAAAACCTTTACTCTCTACTGCTTTACTTGCCACCGGTTCACTAATGCACCATCAGTTTGTGAATACAGTTTCAAGAAGCAGGCGTTTCAGATAACTTTACTGTAGAGATCCACATTTGTGTCTCTGGTTTTAAATAAGAGACTTGAGCGCCTTGGTAAGTTTCGGTCAAGAATTCCGACACCACTGCTAAGACAAACGTAATGTTTTAGGCAGTAACGACGAACCTTTAACTCGGGATATGCATAGGGCGAAACGGTGGCGAATAGTGAGACTTACCCCCCCCCCCCCCCTTTTTTTTTTGCGGTGCATACCTATTTATGATAGACTGTGATAACAACCTGACATGCCGACAAGCCGAGACTCTAAGGTGCTTTACCCCTAAATTAGCAGATGAAAAGGTGTTGTAGTTTACGAAGCACGTGTGCACAGTCCAAGAGGTGGCTTGTTTTGATGTGGCCCAACGAACGGTGTAACTCTTAAGGGACAAGTGAGCAGAGTGTATCAGAGAACAAACGGGTGTTAAGGACATCCTAGTCAAAATTAAAAAGAAATGGTCATGGGCAGGGCACGTAGCGTGAAGGCAAGATAACCACTGGTAATTGAGTACCATAGACTAAATTCCAAGAGAAGGCAAGCATGTGAGGGGGCGACAGAAAGTTTGGTGGGCAGATGAGATGAGGAAGTTTGTCGCTATAAAGTGGCAGCAGCAAGCACAGAACCGAGTTGACCGGTGGAAGATGGGAGAGGCATTTGTCCTGCAGTGAGCATATTCAGGCAGGTGATGATGATAACTGAACAGCTGCACCACTATCCCATCATCTATTTGCGACCCACAGCATTCCTTTTGCATTCGCCTAAGACGACTTGAAGGGGCTCGAAGACACAAAGAAGCTTTCTCTTCTCAGTTCATGTATTTGCTCTATTCCTCTCTCCTCCTAAGGTTTTCTGCATCTAACGTGTTTTTGCACGGCCTACAGGGTCAAAGGCATTGCAAGCTTTCTTCACATCGTCTAGTTTAGCACTGCCTTCATGATCGGCCCACTTTAGGCCAAGCGACGATTTCATGTGATGACATCACAAACTGGCTTGTAGCATAGCGCAGAAAAAAATTTAGAACTAAGACGACCACAGGCACTAACTTTCAACCTCGGCGTTTCTCCTGTATTGCACTCAAACCTCGATATGTAACGAACCTAAATATAACGAATTATTGGTTATGACAAAGCAAGACATAATAAATTATTGGTTTTAACAAAGTAAATGAAGAATATCTGTCATAGATACAGTGCTACAAATATATGTTTATAACAAATTTTTGGACTTAACGAAATGTTTTTGGAGCAGGTGTGACTTCGTTATAATAAAGTCTGATTACATATCTCTTTCCTTATTTGTCCTCATTTGTCTTTACACTATGGTACAAGCCAGTTCACGATCAACCAACAAACCCACATTGCATCCAGGCAGACAACAAAAATTTTGGTGACTGGTCACGGCACAATCAAGTCATGACGTGATGATGGTTTCTTGCTTCCCTTGTGTTGATGCCGACGCCAAGGCACGCCAACTCTGATGGCCAATTTTTGCGTTTCATGGGGCATGTAATGAACTTCGCTGCTGGCTTACCGCACAGTGCCAACTGCAGCGCCGTCTGGGGGTCGTTTGTGGCAGGACTCAAAATGCCAGGTGTGTCCAGCAGATACATCAGTGGGTCCTCGCTGATCTGCGGTGTATGGTCACTTTGCGTCACTCATACAGTCAGTTAACTGCCAGACAAAAAGCTACAGTACTGAAAACACAGAATGCTGCTACTACGTCACTTTAATGTAACTGCATGTAATGGGATCCCAGATATCTGCTTCTAATAAAACTCGGTAAGTCATAAAAAGCCATTCTGTTTCTTTTGGAAAAATAAATAAATAAATGGCGAGTAAGTTGACATTCAATGAACATAGGTAAGTTGGCTTGTGGTTACCTGAGAAAATACTAAAAGCATTGCTTAGTGCACGAGCATTAAGATAAAATCCCAATCTGTCAAGTGTACAGCCTTGTGAATTTCTTAGTGTCATGCCTTTACTCCTGAAACCCCATGCAGAGAATGGCAGAATTTGTGGTAGGGGGTCAACCGATGTACTGAAAGCTTTTTGTCAGTCTAGAACATGAGCAAAATACCCAGCTTAAAGGGGCCCTGCAGCACTTTTTAAGCATGGTCACAAAATGCTGCAGATTGGTAGTCCGGCCTACCGAGAACATGCGAGCCAAATATTATAGTGTAGCATGTGTCTTGGAATTGACAATAAATTCTCAAAGTCAACTAAAGTTTCTTTCGCTTCTTTTGACAAATGATGATACAAGCGCAAAAATCACTCGTTACAGCCATTGCATGAGCCATTGGCCAATTTGAGAATGGTGCACTCGGTCATTACCGTGGCCGCCACAGGAGTTCGTGAGTTGTTCATGCGTGTGCACTTGGTCGCACTGAAAATCCACATATTCAAAGAAAAGAAGTGCTCAAGTTCACGAGGCACGTGTGAGGTGTGTTCTTTTCCCATGCCACATCTAGCTGCCTGGGCCAAAAAGGTCCCTACCCATGCGAAGCCACCCTAAGGCCCGCGTCTTCTTATTAGAGAGAGAGAGAAAACTATTTAAAAAAATCAGACAATAACGTCAGGCATTAGCCATCGCCCCTGACCATCGGTTGGAATCCCTTGAGACATGGCAGCAGCAAGGGCTTGACTGATGATGTCTTGCTGGGCGTTGGGGTCAGGGCTGCGGAGCAATAAAGTTGACTCCCCCTCCTCCCCACGCTATCCCTCCCTGCTTAGCTTCCAGCACTTTCATCCGGACGAGAGAATGCAATTGCAGCATGCGACAATTCTCTGTAACTCCGCTCTTATTGGACAGATTCTAAAGATGGTTGTGGTGTTGAATTCATGACGTCATCAGCTTCTTTAGTCAATCCCTTCCATGGCTACTTGGAAAAGTGTCGCTGGCGGTCCAGCCTTCTTCAGAGGACGTAAGTGAAATGGCACATCTCGTAGCAAAGAGCCGCCAAATGAGTTTAGGGGCCACAAAAGAAGGGAAAAAAAACAAAAAAAAATCACAGACGTTGAACTAGCGAAGGAATCGGCAGTGACTCTTTTTTGCTGGAATGTTAATCAGGCAGGAAAAAAATAAGAAGAAAAAAGTGGAGACGGAGTGTTTCCGGAAGCGGGCGGGTTGTGCGTGTATTGTCACAAGAGGTAGACAAATGGCCGACTGACGAAGCGACCAAAGAAAAAGGGGAAAAGTAAAGAAATTGCGCTTCTTCGCATCACGCACATGGTTTGAGGCCAAGTTCAGGAGGTTCAGTCACTTGTTGGTTGGCTCACAGCAACGAGCCGTACACACAAAAGAAGATACATACGATCGACCCGCTCCAGCCTATGGAAAACATTGGCCATGATAATACTCAAGTAAAAAGAAATAGAGAATCTTTAGAAATAAGCAAAAAAGATCATAAAAATGCATAAAAACAGAAAAATATATATATTTGCAATACCATGCGCCGGCTCACGCCTGTAGCATTGATTGCGTTTATTTTCAAGAGCTAGATTGATTGTCCTTTGTGTCCGAATTAGTGTATAGGGAATGAATTAAATAATTCACTTTATGTTTTCTACGAGAGGTTGCAGAGGCATGCAGCCACTAAGGACTCTGCTGAATCCATGGGTTAGTGATTTGAGTTTGTTTATGAAGTATGATATCCGCTGTTCGCGCTCCCTTGTGTTCTGAAAGCCGCATCATACTTGACGTGCCTTTGCGACCTCTCTTAAAAGATAAAGTGAATTATTTAATTTATCATTTATACATACGTGAATTCGGAGCCACAGGACGATCAATCTAGAGCTTGAAAATAAACGCTATTGATGCTACGGCTATGAGTCGATTCTATGGTGCCAAGGATTCTAGAGACTGCCTTATGAAAAAAGGTGTAAATCGCGTACTTCTGCGGTTTGACACATAGTGCAGCAAGAATACGTTTTTTTTTTAGCAATCTTGTACTTGCATTTCGCCTTAATAGTTTTATTAGTAACAGTAGTAAAGCTGAACAGATGACTGAATATTGAAGGCTTTTGTTTTTTTAGGGCCCGCATCTTACCGTGACAAAAAACATTTAGATTCATAGGCTAATAAGTTCCACAGATGACCCTGAATTACATGCAATTGCAGTACAAGCAGGCGACGACACGATACGTAAAAATAGGCTCTTGGGTAGCCTGTGCCGCCAAACTAGCGACGGTGAAAGACGAAGCCTTCCGAGGCGTGTGTCGAGCGAGGAGACACGAGAGACAAAAGGCTCAGGAAGGGGTGCGGGAGGACGAGAGCGAAACAGAGTACAATGTCTCGATGAGTTCCTGTCACCACTTGCTCGGGAAGCGCAGCGCGGGCACAATTTTTGACTCAGTGGTGGCACCTAGTGGCACACTTCCTCAACTGCCACAATGTTTGGAATCTCTAACCATGGGACTGAATTGCGCTTCCCTCCCTACAATGTCAATATATGAGGCTAACTGTGACCCCCTCCCTGTAATATCAATGCATGGGGCTGGCTTTGCATACCGCTCTGTATAATGTCAATGTATGAGAGTGAATTGTGCCTCCCTCCTCATAATGTCAATATATGGGGCTGACTGTGCCCCCCTTCCTATAATGTCAATGAATGGGACTGAATTGCGCTTCCCTTCCCATGATGTCAATGCATGGTGCTAACTTTGCGCCCCCCCCTCCCTTCCCACCATCGAGCGCATACCTATGTACACCTATGCATGGACTGCGGTGGGAGGCCCTAACTTGTCCATGCGTGCGCGCACAATCGCATTGAAAAACCGCGTATGTTAGCGAAAAAAATGAGAAAAAAGTACTCAAGGTAACCAGGCACACATGAAATATTTTTTCCCCATGCCATCCCTCCCTGCTCAGCTTTCAGCACTTTTGTCGGAACAAGAGAAGAGAGGATGCAATTACAGCATGCGACAAACTTTTTTAACTCCATTTGTACTGGACAGATTATAAAAAATCTTTGCAGCGGTGAATTCGTGAGGCAATAAGCTCCTTCAGTGAATCCATTCCATGGCTACTTGAAAAAGTGTTGCCGGGCTCCTTTAACATCGACACATTCTTGAAAGTTCAGCACGCGATAACTTGTGTTCACGTGTGTTCAGAACATCCACTTTTGTCCTAGTGCATGAAGTTCTTATTTCATAGTATTGCAATATGCTCATTTACTTTGCAACTCTGCCCCGCCGCGATGATCTAGTGGCTAAGGTACTCTGCTACTGACCCGCAGGTCGCCGGATCGAATCACGGCTGCGGCGGCTGCATTTTCGATGGAGGCGAAAATGCCGAGGCCCGTGTGCTCAGATTTGGGTGCACGTTAAAGAACCCCAGGTGGTCAAAATTTCCGTAGCCCTCCACTACGGCGTCTCTCATAACGATATGATGGTTTTGGGACGTTAAACCCCACATATCAATCGAACACTTTGCAACTCAGTTTAGAAAAAAATCGTGCTCTCAAAGAGGCACATAAAATGTTTTATATTTCAATAACTACATGAAGTGCTAGAAAAATGATTGCATATTTGAAATAAGCATGCAAATATAAACTACTCAAGTTTTATAAAACATGATTAAAATTTTTTTTTAATTATAAAGAGCAGTTTTTCTTCAACCATTCGAAGGCAACCACACTTCATTTGGGAACTTTTTCCTGTTCAATTCTCAGTTTGCACAAATAAAGTGAGTAGTAGTAGCTGAATAACCCCGATTCCAGAGATGCCTGTTGCTACAACCCAATGATTTGCATGCAGCATCTCTAAATAGCTCATTTACAATGCAGTTGAGATTACGCACCTTGATGCGTTCCAGGACACGCATGGTGACGCCTGCTGTAGCACCAACACGCGTGGCGGGGCCTGCGACAACATGTGTGACAGGTTATCGCTACTAATCTCACTGTTACTGCTGGCTTTGCAAATCACATTCAAGCCAATTCAAAGAGATACTCATTTTAAATGTTAAGCCTTGATATAAAAAATGTTTGAAATAATGCGATTCTTGATTAAACGAATTACTTCACTTTTTTTTGTTAGTACGGCCAAGCTATAAGAGTACTTGACTATAGTTAATCCATATGGTTTGTGTTGCAACTAGAGCTCACAGTGGCATTTGAGGTTATATGCCAGTACTTCATTATTGCTCGTTAGCTCATTTCACTTATAAAATAATGCAATTCTTTCATCTTCATCTCCGACTTTTATTACTATCAATGTTATTGCTGTTCTGTGCAAAGGTGTAGCTGTTACCATGACAGGGCGACTATAGTCAATTTCTTTTTATTTCTGTTACAATACGTAACAAATAAAACACAATATACCAAAGCAACCACCCTGGAGAACTTCACAAGAGTTGACTGTTGGGCAAGTTGGTGCTTTGCAAATAGAAACCATCGTGAGGGCGCAACTAAACACAACACACAAGAAAAAACAGATGAGGGCAGGCGCAAACTACCAACTAGTTTGCACCTGTCCTCATCTGTTTCTTCCTGTGTGTTGTGCTTAGTTGCGCCCTCACGATAGTTTCTACACCCTGGAGAAGCTGCCGACGAACAAGGCTTGCCTGTCCTGCCCAGGTGCATCTTCCGGAGGGCATTGATGAGAGACGACTTGCCAACGTTTGGAATGCCAATCACCATGATGGTGTAGTCAAACGCCTGCAACGAGAATCACAGTGGGCCTGCATTGGCTAGCAAAATATAAATGAATCCATAAGGCAGTGGAAGTCCATTTTGATGCAGCAGCAGCGAACTACGTCAACTATTTTTAAACTTAGGACAGATTGAACAGGAAAACATTGTCACACCAAATTGATGAACTGTTAATTATTAGTAAACATGAGCATAAGCATGAACCTTCCTAACGTATCTACAAAACACATTTTGTCTTTAATCAACTGCTACGTTGACTATATAATGCCCATTTTGGATTACACTATCTTAATCAAAACCAGCAGATGATGAAGCCAAGGATGGCATAGGGGAGATTCATTGCACTATATTTTTAAGTGTATTGCAGTAATTACGATATATATGTGAAGGAAGTCAAGGTGACCAAAAGGCTCCCGAAATTCCATTCCTTCATCCATTCTGTATTGAGAGATTGAGAAGATTGCAAGACGTTGCATCATGCTTGCAATCAAGTTCTGTGAGGAAACTTCATGATTATACAGTCAACATCTGCTAGTTCAAACTATAGGGATGCACACAGTTTTGTTTGAATTACTGTACACGGTAGTGTCACACAGTTACAAGTTGCTGTATGAACAGTTTCACAGGCTCAGTTGCATAAAACAGGTTTAATATCCATACAGGCACATGAATGGATGTATTACACTAGCGCAGAGGCTCAACAGTATAAACATGGTTATAACAAACTGCTTATTATCACATATCAGTGCCTAACTAAATTGTTCTCAGAAGATGGAAGTACCAGCCATTCCTTCATGAAAAAACTAAGCATTCATAAAAGTAATCTTCGGTCAGATGGCACTACATACAGCACTCTTGCATTGGTATGGGCGAACTATGCTCATACGTCCGAGAGGTCAAGTGCAGTAATACAGTATCAAAGGGAGCACATATTGCCAATAAAGCACAGCTGCCAGGAATGCTTGTCTGACACGACTGATAGAAAGTGTCTCGTTTGATGCGTAAGGTCAATGTATGTGTGTGGTTTGTGAAGACACCTGAACTCTGCCATGTAGATGTTGACTGCAGTTGTTGAGCAATTTTCAAGAAGGCATTTTCTGGAAGAGTGGACTCTATATTCAGAGAGCAACTGAAGGTGCTCCATGAACTCTGGAAAGCTTGCAGTACTGCACGAGCCAGAAGAGATGACTTGACAAGAAAATTTTTGGTGAACTCGGAACTTCAGGTGCACCGACAACGCAGCGAAAATTTGAAGATGTGTTTTATTGACCTGTCACTTGAAATTGTACGTAACGTTTTACTAGTGGCAATTGAACTGCTTGTTGGTGGTCATTGACTATAAGTGACTCTCTGACCTGTAAAAATGTTTTGATAAAACTTACCTCACTGGTTTTTATGATAATGTGAAATAAACTATGATTTTCAAGTACATATCTCTTACGGTTAATAAAAGCTTCTAAATAGGGCACTACTGTATCTTGTTCGAACTAGAGATGTGCAAATTTAACAGTATGTACGCTTCTCAGTTTCTTCACAGCTTTCTTCTTGATCTCCTTTATGTCATAAATACACGGTTCATGCATTTAATGCAGGTTTACCATTACATTATGAGGAGGCTTTGTCTAACTGACAGCACCAGCGATGAAGCGCACACTTTCTTAAAATCTGAATGTCTAATCCCTATGTAACAAAATTTCCATTACCCCTGTTTCTTACAGCTTTATCGGGCCATGCTTGGCTGCACCTTATCGAGGCAGCTAGGTGAGCAACATGCAGACCCCTACAATACTCACCTCATGCCGGTTGTAGCGCTCCGACTTGCGAATTAGGTCTGCAACCATGGGCACAATCTGCAAAGTATGTTTTCATATCCCTGACACACATGTGAACATTGAATCAATACAGATGCTGTCACGAATTATTTACACATGCATTGAGCTGAGAGGGAACAACATAGGACTAAGTAAAGAGTGTGTATATTAGTTGCCACCGCCCTTAATATACGTCGAATTGTCGTAATGCTGGCAGGCACACCTATATCAGAGCCAACATAAACTTTAGTAACCAGTTTAACAGCTCGATGATGATGATGATACGTGGAGTTAAAGTCCCAAAACCACCATATGATTATGAGAGATGCCGTAGTGGAGGGCTCCGAAAATTTTGAACACCTGGGGTTCTTTAACCTGCACCCAAATCTGAACACACGGGCCTACAACATTTCCGCCTGTCACAATGCAGAAACAGCAGCAGTCGAATCCAGGAAACTCACTTTAATTGTACCAGAACACTGGCAAACTGATCGGAAGAGAACCTCGTCTTTTTCTCTCGCTGCGCGTGTTCTTCGTTGTTCTCTTGGCGCTGCTTATTCACTGTGGCATTTGCCCCCCTCTAGAGAGCAGCGTCCCGATGCTCTTCTACAAAAGACGGTGGAGTAGATGTATAGTGTAAATCAGTCCGAAAAGTAGGGCTTCATTCGCACAACGTGCACGATTTCTGGTTTTTGCTGGCGAGTTGTCGAGGGGCTGTCAGGAACGACCACGTAATTAACGTCGCTCAGGCGTTGCAAAACTGTGTAGGGGCCAAAATACTTCTTCAGCAATTTTTCGGACAGTCCCCGGCGGCGGATAGGACTCCATACCCAGACTTTGTCACCGGCCCGATAGACTACATGTCGGTGTCGCAGATTATAACGTTGGGCGTCATAATTTTGCTGCTGGGTGATTCGGACGCGCGCAAGCTGCCTCGCTTCTTCTGCTCGTTGGGTAAAAGATGCAGCGTCCAAATCGATGTCATTGCAGTCGTGCAGTAACATGGCGTCAAGCATCGTCGTCACTTCACGGCCATGAAGGAGACTGAACGGCGTTCTTCGTGTAGTTTCTTGCTGCGCTGTATTATAGGCGAACGTGATGTACGGTAGAATGTCGTCCCAGTTCTTGTGATCCACGTCAACGTACATACTCAACATGTCGGCAAGAGTCTTGTTGAGGCGTTCTGTTAAGCCGTTGGTTTGTGGATGATAGGAAGTGGTTTTCCGATGGGCTGTTCCACTGAGCTCAAGCACTGTCTTCAGGAGCGCGGCCGTGAAAGCGGCACCTCGATCCGTTATTATGAATGTTGGAGCACCGTGCCTCAGGACGATATTTTGTACGAAGAATCGTGCGGTTTCAACGGCGGTGCCACTTGACAAAGCCTTTGTTTCCGCATAGCGCGTAAGATAATCAGTGGCGACTATTACCCACTTGTCGCCAACATGGGAAGTCGGATATGGTCCAAGGAGATCCATTCCAATTTGGGCAAAAGGTACCGTGGGCACTTGAATTGGTTGTAATAGTCCAGCTGGTTTTAACAGTGGCGATTTTCGTCGTTGGCAATCTAGGCACGTGCGCACGTAATGCTTCACAATAGCTGGAAGTCTTGGCCAGTAGTATTTCTGTTGGATTCTGGCCAATGTGCGTGTGTATCCGAGATGACCAGACGTTGGCTCATCGTGGCAAGCACAAAGTATCTCCTCACGAAGTGACGTCGGAACGACAAGTAGGTGGGTGCTTCCTCTGGGGGAAAAGTTCTTCTTATAGAGAACACCACTACGTAAGCAGAATGACGGCAGGCTCCTTGCAAATCTTCTAGGGACAGTTGTTGTCCGGCCATTCAAAAATTCAATAAGAGGAAGCAACTCACTGTCTTCTTTCTGCTTGCACGAAATCGTAGTGGTGTCAACGACTCCTACAAACGCCATGCCCTCATCGTCTGTGTCATCGTCGCCCTTTATCGGTGACCTTGATAAGCAATCGGCATCGGCGTGCTGCCGTCCGGACTTATACACGACCGTCATATCAAACTCTTGAAGGCGTAAGCTCCACCGTGCGAGCCGACCAGACGGGTCTTTCAAGTTGGTCAGCCCGCAGAGGGAATGATGGTCGCTGACCACGTGGAAGGAACGACCATAGAGGTACGGACGAAACTTCATAACCGCCCATACGACAGCAAGACACTCTCTTTCCGTTGTTGAGTAATTGGACTCGGCGCGGGAAAGCGTCCTACTAGCATATGCGATCACACGCTCGGCTGAGTCTTGCCACTGGACGAGTACAGCGCCTAAACCCACGTAGCTGGCATCTGTATGGACCATGGTAGGAGCATCCTCATCAAAGTGAGCAAGCACAGGCGGAGTCTGCAGGCGTTGTCGGAGATCGCCAAATGCCACCTGTTGATCGTCGCCCCATGTGAACGAAACGTCTTCTCTTGTGAGTCGTGTTAACGGCGAGGCTATGTGGGAGAAATTGGCAATAAACCTTCGGTAGTATGCGCACAGGTCAAGGAAACGCCTGACTGCTTTCTTGTCTTTTGGTACCGGAAATTTTCTGACGGCCGCAATCTTATCGGGATCAGGTCGAACACCTTCATGGCTCACCACATGGCCTAAAAATTGAAGCTCCTTGAAACCGAAGTGACACTTCTCGGGTTTCAGTGTCAGGCCGGCAGATCTTATTGCCCTGAATACTGATAGCAGCCTGCTCAGGTGTTCCTCAAATGTTTTTGAAAAAACAATGACGTCGTCCAGATAGACCAGACATGTCTATCACTTAAGGCCTGACAGAACGGTATCCATCAGTCTCTGAAATGTAGCGGGGGCTGAGCACAATCCAAATGGCAAGACTTTAAATTCATAAAGCCCGTCAGGCGTTACAAAAGCCGTTTTTTCTCTATCTCGCTCGCCGACCTCAATTTGCCAATACCCACTTTTGAGGTCCATTGACGAAAAGTAGCGTACATACCTCAGCCTTTCGAGTGAATCATCGATGCGCGGTAATGGGTATACGTCTTTCTTTGTCACACGGTTCAGCTTGCGGTAGTCGACACAAAATCGCAAGCTTCCGTCTTTCTTTTTAACCAGCACTACCGGCGATGCCCAAGGACTTCTTGACGGCTGGATGACGTCATCATCGAGCATTTTCTTCACTTGTTCTTGGATTGCTTCACGCCCTTTTGGTGCTACGCGGTATGGGTTCTGTCGTATTGGCCTTGCCATCTCCTCCGTTATTATCCGATGCTTCGTCAGTGGCATTTGACTGACCCTCGAGGTCGATGAAAAACAGTCTTTGAACTGGTGAAGAAGATCTACTAGACGCTGTTTCTGCGCTGGTGACAAATCCGAGCTTACGTCAATAGGTGGTGGGGCTGACGTGGCTTGCGGCTCGTCCTGTTGTACTACACAGCACTCGCGGATTTCGGTGATCTCGTCGAAGTAGGCAACTGTAGTGCCTTGTGTAATGTGTCGTCGCTCGTTGATAAAATTCGTGAACAGAACCTCTGCTTCATCGCACACAACATTGACGATACTTCTGGCAATTGCAACACCGCGAGAGAGTAGGAGCGTCAATACTTGTTCAGCGATTCCTTCTCCAGTATTCTGCTCGTTGCACGAGACTGAAACAAGGCGGCACGATAACGGAGATACGGTCACATCGTCAATGACTCGTAGGGATTTTCGGTATAGCGCTGCGCTTTGATCCGCTGAAAAGGTCAGTACATCGTCCGGAATATTGATGATGGCACCATATTCACGCAAGAAATCCATTCCCAAGATTGCCTGTTTGCAACACTCAGAAAGGATAACAAAAGTTGCGACTAAGGATGCATCCCCTATCTTCATTCTTGCGGTGCACTTTCCGGTAGGTGTGAGTAGCTGCCCTCCAGCTCCTCTAATCTGCGGTCCGGTCCATTCCATTCTAACCTTCCTGAGCGTGTCTGCCAGACTCTCACTCATTATTGAGAAGTCCGCGCCAGTGTCGACCAATGCCATGACGTCATGTCCGTCAATCGTAATTGCAACTTCGGCAGTAACAACCCCATCTTTCGTCGATTCATTGAAAATGTGTCTCTCTTCGCTCGGCAGTAATGGGGGATTTTCAGCACTTCGACGATTCGCAACCTTCCCCCCTGAGGTCGCTGCTTTTAGTTTCCCTGGCATGGACTAGGAGATCTCCCTCTTGGCATGTCAGTGGTGCTCCGTCTAGAAGATGGAGAATAACGCCCAGGGGAGGGTGAGCATGACCGAAACAAAGGAGGAACATCCCGCGGGGTCATGACATTCCTGTCGACGTCAGGTGTTCCGTTGAAATGGCGCCGAGGAACCGTAGAAGGAAACCCTTGGTACCCTGCGGCGCGATACGGGCAATACCGAACGATGTGGCCTGCTTCCCCACAGTGAAAGCACAGGGGCCTATGATCAGGGGTACGCCAGATGTCAGTTTTGCGAAGTGGTGGCCGCCTCGGCATCGAAGTTTCTCTGTAGTACCAAGGCGCTGTCGGCGGATGTTGCTGGTGGTACTGATGTGGTGTCGGCACGTTCGCTGGCTGTCGGCGGACTACGTCTGCATAGCTTGCCCTGGGAGTGCTCGTGTTCGGCTCAGGAAGCGAGAGCGCTTGCCTGATCTCCTGGCGTACAACTTCCGTTACTGAGGCGATCGTGCAGTCGTTCGGTTTGGCGACGAGTTTCTTGACCTCTTCTTGTACGATTTCTCGTATTAGTTGGCGCAAAGAACTTTCGTCGGGTGTTGTAGCTGTGGTAGTGGCTGCCACGCTGATCGGTGCACTGTGGGTTGGGCGGTTATACTGGCGATAACGTAGATGCAGTGCGCATTCGATAGATGTCGCCTCCTTGGAGAATTCATCCACACTTGTAGGCGGGTTTCGTACGAGACCAGCGAACAGCTGCTCCTTAATGCCCCGCAAGAGGTGGCTAACCTTTTTGGCTTCGGGCATATTAGGATCTGCTCGACGAAATAGCCGCGCCATGTCCTCAACAAACATCGTAACGGATTCATTTGGTTTCTGAATCCGTGACTCGAGGAGACGCTGTGCGATTTCTCGTCTTTCAGTGCTCGCGAACGTGTCGAGGAACTTCTGCCGGAACTCGTCCTAAGACGACCACACGCGATTTGTGAACCATGTTCGGGCTCCGTCTTGAAGCGGAAAATAAACGTAGCCCAATTTCTGTGTGGTGTTCCAACCGTTAACATTCGCTGTGTGCTCGAATTCCTCGAGCCAGTCATGTACATCCTCATATGCGTTTCCGTGGAAGTCAACCGGAAGTCGAGGGTTCAAAACAGTCACCTGTGTCGTGCTTGGGCTGGACATGTTGGGGCCAGTGCTTCCAGGCGCCGTCATGCTTTCTGGCACAGTCACGCTTTCCGGCAATGGACCAAACTCCGGGCTGAGGCCTAACAGGCGCCGGCTGCTGCGGTGAACGGGGGTGTCGATGCGCAGAAGTCTTTCTTGACCAGATGCGGGGCTGTTGTCAGGCGTCCCGAACATGTACCCAGCGCCTCCACCAGTGTCACAATGCAGAAACAGCAGCAGTCGAATCCAGGAAACTCACTTTAATTGTACCAGAACACTGGCAAACTGATCGGAAGAGAACCTCGTCTTCTTCTCTCGCTGCGCGTGTTCTTCGTTGTTCTCTTGGCGCTGCTTATTCACTGTGGCACCGCCTCCATCGGAAATGCAGCCGCCGCAGCCGGGATTCGATCCCACGACTTGCGGGTCAGCAGCCGAGTACCTTAGACACTAGACCACCGCAGCGGGGCCAGATTAACAGCTCCAAGGCGCACTTATCTCGAGCACCTCCACGTAAGAGTTGTTCTGTCGTACTGTTTCATTTCGTGGGCATTGTATGTAGATTTAGCCTTCTTATGCAGGCGAGACACACGTCTGAGCAATCATTCAGAAATATCAATTCTCTGTGGCTACTGCACCCTACAGTTCCAAGCAAATTTACAATTTACGGAAAAAAGGCTAGACAAAGCTTTGTACTTGGCTCATTCCCACAACCTCCTGCATCGCTAGCCTGTCTTCGCTTCTCAGACACCCAACTCCCTGTCTATGGGTATGGTTCCATAAAATTGCCATATCTCTTATTTTTGTTGGGAATTGATAAATCAGCGAATGTTGGTGCTTCAACATTTCTCACATTTATCGACTTTTGAGCTGTTGTTTCAAGAAAATGGCACATGCTGTGTAAAATTTATCAGCTGCACAATGCAATGCATGTACACAAGCGTTCAGGCACTTGGTTGCCCATTAAACGCAGAGATCACAACCGGGATTCTACCCACAACCTTGAGTTTAAAAGAGTGCTGACATGATTTCAGTTAGCTTGTTGTTCTAAATGAGAACACTGGTGTAAAGAGCACTGAAATGAGTATTGCAGTGCCTGGAAATGCATTCAATGTATTTGAAATATTGCTACCTTAAAAAAAAAAAGGTTCGGTTTTAATATTGAGGGTGCCGTTTCACAGTAGACATGGTCAGACATCACTGGCTAGCAGCAGAAGCTTCATCATCTGCTGTTTATTGCACACAAACAATGATGAGTGGCATTAAAACCACTGCTTGGGCGAGCTGGCTTATCCTTAAGACAGATTAACCAGCGCAAAAAGACGCAACACTTAAGAAAGTATGTACTGCATACACGCAGTGCTGGTGAGTGGGGTGTCGTCTAGCGATTTCAATTATCTATGCCTGCATGCAGGACGCAACCTTTGCAAAATCAGTAAACTGCGTTGTCTGGTTCATTGCAGTGGTGCTGGCATGCAGAAGCTATGCGACGAAATCTTTGAAATGAAAATGTCTCTTGCAATGCTTCAAAATGGGGTCAGTACTGCTTTAACAATGCACTAAACCGTGGCCGCTCACCTACTATACAGCGGATGAAAAATAATTGTTAGTACTACAGACAAAGCTTTCAGTTCTTTGCACTCAAAAATTTGAAATATGAGCTAGTATCTAGGTGTGTCTAGAGTGTATTATAAGTTGGAGCATTGCAGGGTTCAAAGACATTGCTCAGCATTGGTTGTGCAGATCCACCAACCTTATCAACGTTGCGGCTCGGCTCCGTACTGCGGATGTGGAGGACGTTTTGTGTGCCCTGGTCACGCAACTGCTGGGCAACAGTCGCCTTGAGGTTGGGGTCGGCGAGGTCGGCCTTGTTGAGAAGCAGCACGTGTGGTTTGATGGCCGCAAGCATGGACAGAAAGTGCGGATTTCGGCCGCTCAATGGAACCTGTCGCCATCGGCAACAGTTAAGGAAAAATTTCTGCTTCACCCACAACACATGCAACATAACGAGCAACATGTGTGGAATTATGTGCAGATTATGTACAAGATTATACCTGACGTAGTACGAGCAGGATTATTTGTAGACTATGCGAGATAAGACACATGTACGAGAACATGCACTTGTGCGTCATATTGTGCAAGGAATAACATGTGCAGGAATATGTGAGACATGATGCACGCAAAATTGTACGCAGTAAGTACTGCATTGTTCCGTGCAGTATAGAAGACGTATGAAATATTGAAAGTAGATGCATTTTCGGCAACTACCTAAAGGTTTACTTTAATTTTGTAATATTCAAAATAAGATCCAGGGCATGCATTGAAATGACTAAACTTTCACTACACTGCCATTTATTTTTTATTAGTAAAATTTCAAAGTGATTACAAAAATTGGGGGACCCTATAAAGCTTTGTCAAAGTTGAATGCGATAGCGACATCTAGTTCGCAATGCGCACTTCAAACAGTGCATGAAATCTTTCCGAATTTGCTATGCACCCACTACGTGGACTTAAGGGAATAGGTGCAGTAGCATGTGTACCGTATGTACTGGTGTACCGGCTTTCAACGACAGAGCCATTATGATAATCTAATATTCTGACTCCCGTTGGCAATGGGCACTTGTAGCACTCATTATTACTGCAATATATCATGTTGCATTGTGAAACATGTATACAAGACACGTGCGTTTGTGAAGCATGGAAGCTACTTTCACTGCATTTACAAGCAGAGAAAGTTCTTTTCACTCTTTTCATTGGCAGAGGCGTAACCGTGTGGTAGAACATTCGCTTGCCGCACAAACGACCCAAGTTCTATCCCCCAAGAGCCCTGGTTCGGTCCCCACTCTGCTCTAGGGTTTTTACATTATTTATTTTATTTGCAAAATTCTCGGTTAGGCATAAGATGATTTTTCGCTCACAGGCAACGACGCCGACAAAAATATTTCTGCAAAACGAGCTCTTTAATGCTATCTTGTTAAAAACGATAAAAAATCCAAGGTTAGCTAGTAAATAACGAACCCTACCCCCAATGTGATCTTTCCCTTAAAAAAATGCAAACCTTCAAACTTTCCGTGAGCGGCTGAAAAATGTTGCAGCAGTGTACTACAGAATGCACACATTGCCAAATCAAAGTATACTATATATGCCTCATTTGGGCAATATAGGTCCATGATTTCGTTTATCACTACTAGAAGTCATGAAAGCTGGGTTCATTAAAAGCAGGACTTGTAACACTAATAATATATGAAGACCAAGCTTTGTAAAAACAACGGGCCGTAATATCTGAATGTGCGTCACATGTGAGTCCACTGTAACAGATGCGCACTGATAGTTTGTTGTACACAATGTGGCTAACCTCCAGCTCACGGCGACACTGAGCTAAATGTAGAATGGCAAACTCCCAAACACTCAGGATGTAGTAAGGAATAGACGGTGTTCCAGAAGGACCAAAAAGACCACAAAACCGATACGTCATCGGTTTATTGTTGACAGAACAAGATTAAAAAAATATATACAGAGCGTGCCCCTGGTCACTTCTTCCTCGTCTCCGGGCTCCATCTTTGATCTGTTTTCTATATCTTCCCCCCGGCCAGATTCAACCAAAGCAACCTTCGAGCGAAGACAACAGTTGAATCGGCCTCTTGACTAATTTGCCTTCAGGTGTACAAAGCAAGCATGTTCTCACTAGTCCATCCTTGCCTGAGCAAATCTTTTCGACCTTGCAGAGTTTCCACTGTGTTCTTTTGCGCGCTTCTCCAAGCATAAGTGCATCTCCTTCTTGTACACTTGAGTGACCCTCTATTTTTCTGCTGGCACACTTAAGCTGCCTCAGGTACTCTTTTTTCCATCTGGTCCACCATCTTATCATTGCCTGTTTTTTTTTGCACTCCAGTAATTCAACAAACTGTATTCTCCAGTCTGTTGTCTTCCTGCTTGTTCATTGCTAGCCTGCCTCCTATGACGTCCACCGGTGTGATGGGTTGTGGCTCGTTAGGATCATCATACACATAAGTAAGAGGCCGGTTGTTAATTATTCCTTCTGCTTCAACAACCACAGTTCATAGTTCTTCATCCAAAGGTTGAGCACCTATAGTTTTTGCCATGGACGTCTTAAATATTCTGATCAGTCTTTCATAAAATCCTCCCCACCATGGAGCTAACTCTACAATAAACTACCATTTTATTTTCAGGTTACTGGTATACTGTTGCACCCTTTCACCTTCCATCTTTAATATCTTATTCATCTTTTTCTCAGATTTCTTGAATGCTCTTGCGTTATCACTGTATATAGTTGTACACAATCCTCTTCTAGCCACGAATCTTCGAAATGCTTGTATAAACGCTTCTGATGACATCCTCTTGACTGCCTCCAGTTGTACGGCTCTTGTTACTGCACATGTAAATATCACAATGTAGAACTTCGTAATTTTGTCGTCTTTCTCCTCTCGAGAACTTAGCAGTCCAGCAAAGTCTATAACAACTGTGTCGAATGGCCTCGTCTGCGTTATCCTGTCAGCCGGTAGTGGAGAAATTTCTTGTGCCATTGATCTAGAATTAAACCTTCTACATGTGATGCATTTATTTATAACATATTTCACCATCTGTCGGCTACGCACAATCCAAAACCTCGTTCGTAGATGTGTCAATATTGTCGCAACGCCACCGTGCATTATCACTTGATACGCGTTCAGAACTAGGAGTTCTGAAAAGTGACTCTCTCTTGGCAAAACAATAGGGTGCTTCTCATCAAAGCTCAAATCACTCCACTGAAGCCTCCTTTTTACTCTTAGGACACCTTAATCGTCTTCAAAGATGTCCGTGCCGTACAGATTCATGTTGTCATACATTGCTGCGCAGTTGCAAACAGATCTTTCGTCTTGTTTGACTTTATTCAGCATAATACAATTTGAGAGTCAGTCCAGAATTTCACACTCCTTAGTTTCCTGATGAAATTCTCAGTTATATGACTGGCCAATCTGACTGATATTGTGGCAGCCAACAACTCTATTCTTGCTAGTGTAATCTTTTTGATTGGAGCGACTCTACCTCTTGCAATGATTAAGTTGGCTTCATTGCTTCCATAGGAGTATTCTGTTACTGATGTATGTTGCTGCTCCTTACGCCATTGAACTTGCATCGGAAAACACGTGTAGAATTGATGCTTTCACTTCAGCTTGCCTGTTGTCACAGCATCTTTTAACGGTGAAGTCATCCAAGTGCTGAAGCTTCTCCGACCAGTCCTTCCAAGCTGATCGATGCTGGCTTGGTAATGGGTCATCCCGTTTCAGTGTTTCCATCCAAATTTTTTGCAGCATTATTTTTGCTGTAAGTGAAAATGGTGTCAAAAAACCTAGAGGGTCGTATAGCCTTGCCGTAGCTTGCAAAACCTGTCTTTTTGAGAGTTGTCTCATGTTTTGTCATTTCGCCATGTAGTGTCGGGAAAGCTCAACACGTCGTCTACGAAATTCCGTTTCAGTCCCAAAATCTTGATTTGTCCCTCTTTTCTTATCTCTCCATCCAGATCATCTCCTTCTTCATCAAATAGTTTTCTTAGTTCGGCATCATTTGAAGGCACTTTTCTTAAATTCATTCCAACATTACGAAAAATGTCTCTTGCTTCTTTGTATATCTTTGTCGATGTCGAGTATTCATCAGCCCCTAGTAAGACGTCATCGACGTAGATTCTTTTCAGGAGTTGCGCCACAAACTGCAGTATATTTCTATTCGAATTTATCTAAATGTCAATGAATTGTGGCCACTAGAAGAAAGCTACTTGGTGTAGTTCCGAAAGTAACCCTCGTCATCCTCCGCCTTTTTATCTTCGGGCTTGGTATATCTTCGCTGGGTATTCTTTCCCACCACACAAATCGCAGTGCGTCTCGGTCATTTTCATGTATTTTGATCTGTAAAAATGCCTTTTCTACGTCAGATGACATGGCGATCTTGTGGTGTCGAAAGTTCATCAGCAAACTTGTGATGTCGGGGTTTAGGTTGGCCCATTTTCCAAGTTGTCATTGAAGGATTCCCCTGGATTCTGGCTTGACGATGCATCAAAGACGATCTGTATCTTTGTCGTTGTTTGGTCCTTCTTAATTACCGCTTGATGTGGCACGTAGTATACAAATTTGTTCTGTATATTTGATCTGACATCTTCTTCAACATTTTCTGCTATTTCTTGCTCGAAGTACTCTCGGATAGCTTTGTAGTAGGCTACGAAGTCACCTTTATCCTTGTGTAATTTTTTTGTCACCTGGATAAGCCTCTTCTCTGCAATGGTGTTGTTGTCGCCCAATGTTACGTTTTCCTTCTATGGTAGCCGCACTTGGTATCTTCCTGCTTTGAAATCCATTGTTTGTCGAACGTACTCTAGCACATGGTCATCTCTCATCTTTGTTGCTGGTTTCTCCTTGATTCACATGTTTTCAAGTCCCAGAATCGCTGCAGTTCGTCGACAGTCATGTCTGACTTGGCACTGACCTTGAGTACCATAACATTCGATGATTTCATTGGCACACAATGAAGTCCTACAGGACCTTGGATTGTCCATTCCAACATCGTTTCTATTGCCATTACTTTTGGATGAATTTCGCGAATGCGACTAGTGACTACGGTCCAGTAATAATCTTCTCCAATTAATATAAAGTTTTCCACATTTTTTCTTCCTTTGTCCTTCTTCTCACTGTCATCAGCCAAACAAATTCCCATCGATCTTGCTCTTTCGTGTATTGTCAATGGTGGGGATGGTAGCACGTCACAGGATATAACTTCTATCTCAAGCGCCTGAATCGTGACTGGCTCTGATGAGGGGTCCTTCCTCACGCTGACGTCGACGACTTTCATGTCTAGTTCCATCTCTCCTCCTCCAAATGATCCTACGATAATCCTTTTGGATCTTTTTACCTTGCACACGAGTTTTCTTGACAGTTTTTTGAGGATGAATGTCCCCTGGCTCCCATTGTCCAGCAGAATTTGTGCGTAGCACCCGCTATCTTCTCCCTCCGTCCACGGAAAGGCTGTCTGCAGCAGTATGCACTTGTGTTCACAAGACTGCTGTGCGTGCATATTGCAGGACTTGCTGGTGTCTAACCGGTCAGGTTGCATGCCTATATGTACTTGCTCAACATCATCACCGCTTTGCTGCTGTGCTGACTTTCCTGCAGGCGTACGCGGTCGACACATGGATGCCGCATGCCTTCCCTTGCATGTTTTGCAGCGTACGTTAGCGCGGCATATCTTCGCCATGTGGTGAGGTCTGGTGCATCTGAAGCACCTTCGCTCCCTGTTGCAAGGCTTCTTTCTTCTGTTACATAGTAATGCTTCTTTTGCAATCTTTCGTGTAATGTCCAGTCATATCACAGGAGATGCATTTTTTCATTGAGGTGCTTTGAAGCATAGATGTTCTAGTCCGCCTCGTACTGCGTGGTGACTGGGTCACGTCGCATTTTTCCTCTCGAGTTTCTTGTCTGCTGCGTATTTATAGCTTTCAAAACTGCATAATTTCTTTCGAACTGCTCGTGCTGTCTCTTAACGCTGAGTCCGGTTCCGTAGTTACTGGTCTATTGTCGCTTTTCTATATCTCCTGCATATTCATCTCAGTCCTCATATCCACCGGTAGCGCAGATTTCATAACAAGCGCTATCACTGTGGCGTAACTATCCATTTCCACTCCTAACGACTGCAATGCTCGTGTGTTCACTTGCAACGTTTGGAAAAGTTTCTTCAACCCATCTACATCTTTAGGACTCTTCACTGCTTCCACGTTTACTAGCTCTTTTATGTAGGCCTCTCTTAAATTATCTTGTCGTCCGAAGGTTTCTTTCAAAAAAGTGACCGCATGCTCGTAATTCTGATCAGAAAACTGCAAACCTTCTATTAGAGATGCAGCCTCCCCGCTCAGAGACGCCAGAAGGTAATTAAATTTTTTATTCTTCAGCATGTTCAATCTGTTATGCACTGATGTCTCGAACTGATGCCAAAACCTTGGTCATGCTGTTTTTTTTCCCATCAAACTTGATCATCTCAAGACGTGGCAACTTACCAGCTCTTGCGTCTCCGAGATTTGGTTAGTACCTTACACTGAGCTCGTCTGTTCTCTGACTAATCACGTAGTCAGTTGCGTCGCTTGTTCTAATACGCGCAATTGCTCCTCTATTTTTGTCGTTGCGGCGAGAATTTTTATTTCATACTGCAAAACTCTTTCAAATTCTGCCACCGCGTCTTCTTCTTCGATGAGTGGTTCAATCTGTTCGTTAACTTGTCTTAGTGTCTGTGACACGCTCTTCATCTGGTTTAGTAGCGTAATAAGCTGCGTTCGATTGGCATTTTCTTCTATCTTCTTATCAATTTCGCTCATAAGCGTTGTCACATTTGCTTGAAGTGTCTTCTGCTTCTTCTATAGGACCTCTTTATTCGTGCTTAAAACATGTTGAAAGAGCTCTTGCCTGTGTCTGTGCGTCGCCAACAGTCATCAGTCGTGGTCCTTCCCTCGACGGTTCGTCCTCGAGCCAGACACCACTGTTTCGTTCTTCAACCCGTTGTTGCGAATGGGGTTGAAGTCTTAGCGTTTGTCCTCAGATATCCTGTTCACAGCCCCATGTTTCAGAAGGACCAGAGAGACCGCAGAATCGATAAGTCTTCGGTTTATTGGTGACAGAACGAGATTAAAAAAGTATATATACAGAGCGTGCCCCTGGTCATATCTTCTTCCTCCTCTCCGAGCTCCATCTCCAATCTGTTTTCTACAGACGGTGTTAACCATTAAGAAACTACCTCGTGTGTTCTAGGTCAAAGTCCTCAACGCAAATGTCCCGTATGGTAAAGCAAGGTCCCAGTCAGAGTGGCCCAAAGAAACAATATTCCGCTGGAGTGGAAGCACACCAGCAGAATATTGCCCAGCCAATACTATTTGGTAAAGTAACTAAGAGCTGATCTTTTTTTGTCTATTCGTCATCAGAAACTGCAGCAGACACCCAAAGTCCTTTCAATTTCAAGCTTTTAAAAGGATACTCGGGCATCGTGAAGTTCCAGGACACAATCCACTGACTTGAGCTTGCGCTGCATGTCCTTCATGCCTGCACAAATTGAAGGCATTAGTCTAGATGGTAAGCATATGTATTCAAGTACGAATTAATTATAAGTGAAGTTTGCAAGACAAGGCGGTCTTTCTTGCGCGTGCGTTCTAGGCAGATGTAGCAAGGGATATGTAAAATGCATTCTCGAGTAAGGGCTCATTCCGAGAAATAGCTACCAGGTTTCATCAAAGCTTCAAATACCTGCACCATAAACGAAGAATTCATGTTAAAGGTTAACTGAAACTGTCCCCAGAAAGATATGATGCCAAAAGTAAGCGAACTCCTTTCTTTCTTGAACGAGGCAGCTTGAAATTACGCCGTGAATCACCCTTAGCTTAACCTGTGAACTTCTTGCACACCAAACTTCAATAAAAAAAAAAAAAACTTTCCAGAACGGTCGATCTTAAGCTGTGTGCGATGTGTTTTGAAATAGGTCTCATCGGAATTTAGCACAACGTCGCTGGTTCTGCGCTCCTTCTTCATGTAGTAAGCGCATCTCGTGACTGCGCTTTTTTAGCATTGCAAAGTGAGGTCATGTTCTTTCCCTATGGTTCCGAAACTTTGATATCACAGCGCGCGAATTGCGGTTTCCTCGGTCCCCACGGACGGACGAACGTTCCGGTATGCGGAACATACACGCACCTGTATACATGTGCGTAGGAAACCATTTCGCTATGTTCTTTGGCGCTACGTCAAAAGCCTTGCGGAAAGCGGTCGTCGCAGCTTGAAAGGACGAGCTGCTCATCTTTCATCAACTTAAGCAGCATGAAGCCATGTGCGTACGGACTACTATTATGGATGCAGATGGCCAAGAACCAAGCTTTCAATGGCTCTGAACTGACTCTTTTCAACAACAAAAATGATGATGATAGGTAACTACCGACGCGTCATCTTGCGTGTTGTTATGTTGTTACATGATCAAAGACTACGCATCACTACAAAATCTGGTGCCAATCTTGAAGAAACACTTCACCGAGCTGAAGGAGAAATTCAGAAGGCAAATGCCACCAACACAGAGCTGCAACTAATAATACATGTAGGTACTACTGATCTTTTAAATAAAGCAGACATTAAAAAGACCACTGACCACCTGAAGCAACAACTGACTTACTGGAGCCAAAAGACACCCAAACACCACTACATAGTCAGTGCCATCCCTGAACCGAAAGCAAGGGGTCAACAATTTGCTACAGCATGCCAAACATGGAACACGGCAGTTCAAACGGCGTGTACAGCCTTGGGCCCCAGTGTGCGGTTTATGTCAGCAGCCGCCCAGCTAACCGCAGATCACCTGGATGATATCCACTACTCGGAACAGGCAGCGGACCAGGTTGGCAGCCAACTAGGTGAGGCCATTAAATCTTTTTTATGGGACAAACAACCAACGCGCCCACAACACTGGAGACGATCAACAAGACCAGATCAAAGGACAGTGCAAACGCTACTGAAAGCAATGACAACAGCCCTAGGCAAACTAGGACAGAGAAACCGGCACTGGTAAGCAACCAAGCAGGCAAAACCATACGCACAACCCCCCCCCAATTTCAGTCCTCCAGAGATCATTGTCAACCACTTTCCAGAAAAAGAAGAAACAGAAGAACAAAGCAGAGTGAAGTGAAAAAAGAACTCACCATATGCCTACTAAACATGCAAGGAACAAACAAACTCAAGTGGGCTGAACTCCAAGACCAAGTGAACAGACAAAAAATAGATATCTACGCTCTAACGGAAACTCACCTGCGGGACGACGAACAACCTCTGCTCCCGGGGCTAGTATGGCAAGGAAAGAACAGAAGTAAAGGACAAAAACGGGGTGGAGGCATTGGTTTTATTACACCGAAGAGAAGCACTGTAAATGGGGACTGCCAGGACAAGGAACACATGTGGATAAAAATAAAGATTGACACACGTGACCTGTACATTTGTGTCATATACATGGCAACAGGCCTCGAGGAACAAAAGTGGAATGACAGCATTTACGCATGCCTCAAGAAAGACATTGAAGAAACCTACAAAGGCCAACCGGTACTACTGATGGGAGATTTCAACTGCCACATAGTAGAATTGGATGGTCACGAAAAAGATGCTGCTGGCTTCCGAAAATTAATTAAACAATGCAACCTACAAATAGCAAACCTCCATCCAGCTTGTGAAGGCACCTACACATGGTCACGCAGAGCTAACAAATCTGCTATAGACTACATACTTTACAATCAAGAGGTAGTAAGGCAAGATATAAACATCACAGCTCTGTACATAGACGAAGACAAAACAAACAGCTGTGGAAGTGACCACAACCGAATGAAACTGTGCCTCAGACGCCATCAACCCCATCGAGTAAACCGGCCTGAAACTACAAAAGCTCACTGGCGAGTGAAAGAGCAAGAGCGCCTGGATGAATTTTCCAATAAACTCGAGTCAACATTAACAGAACCTCTAACATACGAGGAATTCGCAGAAAAATGCCTGTCAGTAGCACAAGAAACCATTGGGAAAACTAGTGAAAAAAAAAGGACCAGAAACACACCTTGGTTTGATGGAGAACTGAAGACAGAAATTCGCATTCGCAAAGAATTATCCAGAAGGCACCGTCATACGCCCAATGAGTCGACAGAAAAAGAGGTAATTTGGAAGGAATACCTGGCCCAAAAAAGAAAAGTAAAGGAAATGGCCGCAAAAAAGATAGACCAGAAATTCCAAAAAGAAGAAGAAAACCTGCATAAGGATCGTAACCATTACAGTCAGAAGTTTTGGGCATACATAAGGACACTGGAACCAAAGGACACCCTTCAGGAAGATTCACTCATACTACTTACTGAAAATAGCATTCCTCTACATACCAAAGAAGAAATTGAACAGCACATAACTAAACATTTTAAAAATATGCAAACCAATCCAGTAGATCCACCACCCCAGATCAGCAGTAGAAAAAAGGACAAGACCAGCACACCTGAAGAAGAAAAGCTGACTGGACCAATTTCTAAACTAGAACTAAAGAGACGCATAAATGATCTAAAAAACCAGAAAGCAACAGGACTCGATGATATACCCAACGAATTCCTGAAAGCATTCAAAACAGAGGCAAAGGAAATGCTACGCGGCTGCCTCAACGACATTCTGGCAAGCAGAAAAATACCAAGAACTTGGAAAGAAAGCCGGGTAAAGCTGATTCACAAGGGAAAGGGAAAGGAAACAAGTGACATTGGGGCGTATCGCCCCATAACAATACTGAGTAGCATTCTGAAACTCTTCAATACAATCCTGAATCGCAGGCTACAAAACCACTGTGAAAAAACCTTAATCTTGTCAGAATCGCAAAATGGATTTCGCCCAAACAGACGGACAAGTGACCATATCTTTACCCTAACCCAGGCAATAGAAATGAAAAACAGAGACAAATCTCAACTATACCTGGCATACCTGGATCTACAACAAGCATATGACTCAGTGCCGCACTCACGACTGTGGGAGAAGCTAGAAAAAATTAATATTGAGGAAGACTTCATCAAATTACTAAAAGCACTATATGCAGAGTGTACGGCAGTGTATGAACTGGGCAAATATAAATCTAGACAGGTGCAACAAAATATTGGACTCAAACAAGGGTGCCCACTATCGCCAACATTATTCAATATTTACATTAACAGCCTACTAGAACAAGTAAATAGAGAAGGACCAGGGCTACGTCTTTCCACCGTAACAACTGAGCGCCAAGAAATCTACACTAAAATTTCATGCTTGGCATTTGCCGATGACATCGTATTATTGGCTGAATCCCCAGCGGACCTGCAACATCTCCTCGACATATGCTCTCGCGTAGCCCACGAAGATTGCCTCACATTCAACACTGACAAAACACAATGGATGGGCATAAACATTGATGACAAAGACATAACATTCACCATCCAAGGCAACACCATCAAGAAAACAGCAACATACAGATATTTAGGCATAACAATATCAGACCAAAAGAATTACCTTGACAAACACCAAGAATTACTCCTAAAACAATCCAACCGCCTAAAAGGTAGGGTGTGGCACCTGTCACGGCATTCCTACAACCCCTACAGGGTAGGCCGCACACTTTGGAAGACTCTTGCCGTGCCTGCAATAACCTACGCAGGTGACACATTGGCGTACTCTACCCAAACAGTGCGATGTTTGGACCGCCACCAAAATGAACTGGGGCGCTGGCTACTGGGAGGCAGCTTTGCAACAGCAAACGCAGCAGTAACAGGGGAGTTGGCCTGGTCAACTTTCGAAGCACGCGAAGCAAGGTCAAAAATACAATATGCGGGCCGGCTAAAGTTTCTACCAGAAACAAATTACAGCCAGCGCATATACCTACACCTCCGATACAGGGGCATAAAAACACAGTGGATGAAACGACTGGCTTCTCTGGAAAATAAATTCGGCCATAACACAAAACTGGAAGAAGCAAAATCGGAACGAGAATGGCGTATAATAACAAAAAACACTATAACCGAAGCCAGCACAGAGATGTGGCGCACGTCGGCGGCAAAGAAAAGGAGCCTACAGTTATACCTCGAACACAAGCAGGCTCCAGACCGTGAGCCATTTTACAGGGGCGACCGGGAAAGCGCCCTCCTGTTCCAAGCCAGGACGGGGTCACTGCCCACGCGGAAGCGGCATTGGGAACTGTTCGACACGGACCCGTCGTGCCGCCTATGCGGGGCCACGGAAGAAACCATCCAACATATCCTGATGGATTGCCCGCGACTCGGAGCGAGGGACCTACCCAAGATAAACCTGGCGGAATATCTGGGTCTCCCAGATGATCCCGTCGACACCCGAGTCGAACACACCGAGAGTGCCAAGCGACGTCTAAAACTCTGGGACAGACTGTGCTGGCAGGTGGACAAACACCCCGACAGTGTCCAGCGCAACGAAGGGCCGACAGAAAATATCTAAACGACGCCGACGCCACTGGATAGACTTGGCCGAGGGCACGTTTCCCCTGGTGGCGAAACGGGCAATTTACTACCAGACCTTTCTTTCTTCGAACAGTAAAGTGGAAAACGTGTGAGTGCGTGTTCGCGTGAAGTGCGTGTAAAACACAAAATGTTTTTTTTTTTTTGACGGTGGCGCGGCAAGCGCCTGACTGGTGATGTGTGTGTGCGTGTGTATGGATGTGCGTTGAAGCGCACAACTTTGTCCTGTGGCGCTGCTGGCGCCTGCCCTGTGCCAAAAGGGATTAGGAGCACCTACTTACTTACTTACTTACTGGCCTAGTGTTGTTCTGCGCAGTGCAAGTTATTCTATGGCGCAATAAAATCTTTGTAAGAAGCGACATACAATCTTTGTAAGAACCGCATAACTTCATTTTCGCGTTTCGAACCTGCTAGGTTGATCGTCGCTCGAAGATCGGACGTGCCCGTATGTGGGCACTTATGCGAGCGTTGCGCCGGACAGCCTCTCACCGAAGTTGTATGCATGCTGCGATCTGCGAGTTAGCAACGCGAGTATCTGGTGAAAGAGTCGGTTAGAACGTCGAGAAGGCGTAGTTCGGCGACGGAAAGATGCCGGTCTGCGAAGCGTGGAACTGCGATAACAACAGCGACGACTGTCCCCCCAGCACAACTTTCCACAAGTAAGGACATCCGTGCGCGCCACGCCGTCCAAAGCGGAAGTCAAGTTTTCCGCAGTCATGACCTGCCGAAGAGCAGCGCGCATTTCGAAGTTTTCGCTTTGCAGCAACGCTTTAAGAAGGCCATCGTTATGTGCTTTACTTTTAGATAGCCGGTGGAGACACATTTTAGGAACGGCCTGGTTTATCTGTCGATAGAACAAAAAGGCCGTGAGATCCGCAATCAACCGTCGCACTATCGGCTGGTTATGGCACCAGTCGGTGGCCAGTTGCGTTGAAATCGGATCCCACTTAATTCCAGTTGCAGCCAGCTGGCTTCCCAGTTACTAATTCTCACCTGGTCGCGCGGCGGCCGCATTCCAACGGAGGCGAAAGTTTGGATGCCCGTGCACTTGCGATGTCGGTGCCCGTTAGAGGAACCCCAGGTGGTCAAAATTTTCAAAACCCTCCGCAACGGCGTCCCTTATTAATCATATTGAGCTTTGAGAGCGAGAATCCTCAAAAAATATTATTCCTTCAGTCGGCTGTGTAATCTATTTTCTTATTATGGATTCAAAGGAACACCAGCTGAGTGTGACATTGATCAGGGCATACGTTTGTGTTGTCGCAGACTCTGTCGTGCCTGGCTTCTCGAACACGGTGTGTTGTTTAAGCTGACAAACGTGCAACATAAGTTCGACCTACAAAACCAGCTGTCAGTGGTGAATAAATTCTAGATCCTTCACCGTCGTTTCCGGTCTTTGCTAGAGGTGGCCAAGTGACTTCCCTTTTGTTGATGTTCATAATTTTTTCTTTCAGTGCATTTCTTGCTCCTAGAGCATTTCTAGAACTTCTGTCAAGAATATCAATGTCTTGTTTTATTTGTTTGCTTCCAAGTTACTGGGCATGAGGAAGCTTATATTCAATAACTGATGCAGAGCCGCGCATCCTGTTGTGAACTCAGGCAGCCATCAGGTGTAGTGGTCTGGCTTCTTTTGAAATCAAGACGTCAATTTCACTGCCAATTACAGCAAAGTTGACCGACTGCTGTAAAAGGTTATGCCATCGTGCGTGCAGGTTTCCACTGGACTCTCCGCTGCTCCTGAAGGCGTGGGTGTACAATGTGAACCTGCCGGAACCTTGGGAACCGACGGCAGACTCGGCGCTTTGCTCGGACCACTTCTTGGAGCATTGCTTTGTGCGCACGGGCAACACTGTCAGTCTGCGACCTGATGCCTTGCCAACTATCTTCGCCTACCCGGACGACAGGCAGAAGGTAGTGGCATACGCACACCGGCCTTCAAATTTGCTTCACTGCAATTCCAAAATCTTTGTAAGGATATTGGAATCACAATGTAATTTTGTCATTTTTACACAGGCATTCCCATAAATTTATCTTTCTATTCAAATTCTATAATGTCATTCACTGGTTTCCTAAGAGATTTCTTGTTGAGGCATTACTTGAGGGGTTGTAGTGTATGGTGGCTAACATGATATTATTAAAGGGACTCTGCAACACTTTTTGAGTATGTTCAGAAAAACGTGCCGATCGGTAGTCAAGGTTCTCAAGAGCACGTGTGCCAAACATTGTAGCGTGGCTTGGAATTTACAGTGAATTCTAACAGTTAGCTAAAAGTTGCTCCCTCTTCCTACTAATGATGTCATATACCCTAATTCCTGCATCATACACCCACGTCCACGGCGGTTGACTGATTTGAGCACTACGACCCACTTCTCGTCAAGCTTGTGTTAACGAGAAGTGGGTTTATAATAGCCTGTTTTCTCAAGAAATAAACAGTTGTAAGTGAGCGCCCGTGCTATGTTTTTTTCCTCTGCGTGGTTGTGAATTCAGTGCGAAGTTGATTAATTAATCCATTGTTAGCTACATATACTTCAGGCATGTACAATATGTATATACATGCGTCAGACTCCAATGTGTGCCAAATATAAAAAAAGGCTTTGCTCTTTTTTTCATTCATTTAACTTGTGTTACGCCAACGTATGTAGCAAGATGATCTCTCAAGCACTTTCTTTGGTCTGCTGCATTTATTAAAGTTTATAGTTGCAAATAACTCAAATTATATCGTTATTTCTTGGCATAGCTGATAAAATGGAACGATTTGTGGACTGCTACGACGTTTGGAGAAGCTGACATGCCCTTTGTGCCGTGCATTCCAGGACGTTGTGGAGATGGTGTTGATGGACAGTTCAGGCGAACTGGCCAAGCCCCGCGAAAGCAGCGAATTTCTGGATCACTGCTATGGCACCCCCCTGTCCACCGTACCGAAGACCACGGAGGCCACCACACCGCGTAGAGTGCGCCTTCCCGAGGAAGGAGATACGCTTCGCAAGAAGCTCAAGCTGGCCAGGCAACGAGTACGCCGGCTGGAGGAGCGCGTGTCCATGCTCAACGACATGGTCTACTCCCTGCTCAACCAGACCATCATGGAGATGTAGGCTGCACGGGTAAGCGAGCATGTGCGGAGATGTTCTCGGTGTGTCTATCTAAAAAACAATGACCCTTACTCTACAGCATGCCATGTTGGACAACTCTACACTACGCCATTCATCTGGCGGCTTGATAACGGCAACCTACTTGTACGCACGATACATCGCAGGTGGTATGCAGGTCCCGGAGAAGCTTGAGCGTGTTCTCTATTACGCAATGCTACTGCAGTGCATTTAAATTTTGAAACTGCCATTGAGATGCGCACAAAGGAAGTGGGCTCTCTCTCTACCCACTCACGGTGCAACAGACATTTAAATGGCTCAAATCGAAGCGTTTTCGTTATATTGTGTTCGTTTGCTTAAATGTGCATGTCTATTTCGACAAAGCCCATTCGGTAACCCTGAGAAAACGGCAAGCTGTGACGTCATTGCGCTCTTTACGAAGTCGACAGACTGAATCCACCCACACTCCCAGCGCAAGAACAAAGTGACGAAATGTGCAGTAAAGCTGTATTGACACGACGGGTAAAATTGCATCATGTACCTGCGGATTGTGTACCATGCCGCCATAAGTCAGCCGTTTCCACACCCCCGCTTCGGTCTGCGCTAGGCAATTCGTGAAATGACGGTGGAACAAATCACAGTTGGGGTTGCCAGGGAGCAATGCCGAAATCCTCGCTTGCAGCGTGGATTCTCCCCTGTCGTGTGATTGCAGGCTACAGAGGGACCAGAATCGCGTCGCATGCCATGTGACTGATTCATCCGCGACCACGTTCGTCCTGTGAATACAGCTGAATAGAACATGCTGACAAACTTCGTCCTTGCATAGGAGCGTGTCTGAGATGTTCGAGGATGATGCAAGATAGTATACCGACCTTCACAATTGTGTTAGACAGGTGGCTGCACTAAGCCTAATTCAAAAGCTAACATGATCACTGAATCAGAGTTCAGATATGGCCTCCGAGATTCATGCAGTCAAAAGCAGATCTTGGATCAGAGGCTGCACCCATTTTGTAAAAGTGCATTTGGATCCCTTTCATTTGTGTCAATAGCTGTAAAAGCTTGGTAATGTCACACGGAAGAACTGGAAACAGGGGGGCACACTGCTCACCGAGCTCAAGCCAATCAGCAGTGCCTAAAATGAACGGCCCATCGAATGGACACATTTCGAATAGCTCCCCTGGTTTTCATGTGTACGAGGTTCGATTCTGTCGGAATGCAGAGCATTTCTCACCTAAGTGACCACAGATTTTGTCTGATCTGTTTGCGTATTACAGTGGTGATAATTCACTGCCTTGACTTTACCCCTTGTGGTGAGAAGTCGTACCGACGAAGTAGCACACACAGGTGATGCCATATGTGTTGAAGCATATGAACCTCAATACAGAAAAGGCAGACGACATCAAGAGAAGCGGTGGAAAACAAGAACAGACACTGCACAAACTTGTATAACAGAAAAGCTGTAGAAACATCTGTAGCACCCAAACTGTATATATTTGGCGTCTTTGTAGATGTGCCAGCTGATGACTGTTCTCTTGCGTAATCAAACTTGGTTCCGTGAGCAATCAGAATGCACGCAGCCAGATCCTTCTTCGAGTTTAGCGCACTGAAAGTCCCCATACAGCCACTTAATATCGTTGTGGTTCACATGCTACATCATGTACTGGCACAATTTGGCCATCGGTGGCCCTTGCTCGATAAAGCACCATTGCAATGAAAAATATTCTTTATCGGTGCCAAGGTTCGTCAACGCTTGTTTTGCGTGTTGTGCAAGGAGAAATGGACTTTGAGATGACGTGGTAACAACACACATAACGTTTATGACAGAACACGGAAACTAAACATAGAAAACACTTAGACAGAAAAGGGACATAGAATGCAACAGAGAGAACTAATCTTGATTAAAAATGGCCAATTAGAGTTCGAAAACCTGAGGGTCAGGTCGGCGGTACGACAGACGCCGATGAGGTGCAGGGCAGGAGGCGGTAGAAAAGCGCTATGGAATGCGCTCACTTGCCGATGTGCGACGCTCTGGTGACGCCGGCGCTTGATGGCATGGGTGCGACTACGGAGCAGTCAACCCGCATCGGAGACGCGATACTCCATGCGGGGAATGGCCAGCCCGTCCAGCGAAGAGCGTGCGCCAAGACGCTCGGCGCAACCGTGACCATTAGCTAGGCCACGTACGTCGCTGTGCGGAACGTCTGACCACGGAGACGCCTCGCCGAGATTCGCGATGTCCTCGGCAAGGAAGAGAACAGCAGGCCAGGCCGCGCCCCGAGATGCAGTACTCGTGCCGGCAACGTCACTCCAGGCTGTAGTTCGACGGCAGTAGCGTGGACAGCCGCGTTCCCCGACCGGAGCCTGGATCGCCTGCGTCCGACGCTTCGGCCCGCTGTCTTCCGTCTGCCGCTGCTTCGGCTCGTCCCCAGCCACAAAGCTTACCGCCACCTAATGGTCACTCGTGGCCCAATCGTGGCGCGCCACCTCTATGGGCCACCACAGGTCATCAGCTGATTGGCTGACCTCACGCTCGCAGTTGGCTCGAAATTTCACGTGCCTTGCCCCCCACTTCCGTCGTTTTCTTCACTCATCACAACCATATAGCATCATCAGATCCAACTACCCTTATTGAATAAATGGGGAACTTGGTATTCCAACAAGTAAATCGGTACTGCATTTTGGATATGCCCAAAAGATGACAAGCTGCATCTGCCTATTGAGGGTCAGTGAGCAGCAAATGTAATGACGCACAAAAGGCTTTGCAGGCATGAGCATTTCCTATTTTTTTTTAAGTGGAGTGGGATATATGTACGATCTAAAGGCAACAGCGTATTACTTGCATTTGTGACGAAAGCATGATAGGTTTTAGCATATCGAAAGTGCAAATGATATTTAATGCGGCACAATTGTAGGTTCGTAAGGAAAGCAGCTGCATCGGCAAACAGTAAAATGGCTATCAAGTTTGATGAGTGCCTTTAGTAGTTGTGCAATACAATGTTAAAAAATATGAGTATTGAATAATTTAGTTTCTTTCATTGTGAGGTCATGTTGTCAATCGCTCTGAATTCAGTCCTAAACTCGTTTGCACCAGCTACCTACCATAATATATCTAGTGGCTACAAATAGTGCTAGACTGTTAAACCTGGAGGTCACAAGATTGAATCCCGCCCACGACACCCTCATTTTCGATGGAGGCGAGATAGCTTTAGGCCCATGTACAGTAGACTCTTATTAAACAGAACCTGAAGGGACAGTAAAATATTTACAGAGAGATGACCAGGGGTGCAGAATGCATGAATGAAACCAATCATGTCAGATACAGCAGTTTCATTTAGCAGATTTCCATTTACTGAGAGTCAACTGTATTTAGATTCAGGTGCACATTAAAGAACCCCAGTTAGTTGAAATCTCTGGAAGCCTTCCACTACGGCGTCTCTCGTAATCATATTGTGGTTACTTTTCCAGAGCATTGCATTTGTGACTGAAACATTATACTTTGTAGCATGTGGAAAGTGTTAAAAATATTAGGCAGCTTTAGAATAGAGTACGCAATGCTTTGCATTAACGTTTGTGCATGCACCATATGCTATTCGCTTATGTAGGCCCGTGTGTTCAGATTTGGATGCACGTTAAGGAACCCCATGTGGTCGAAATTTCCAGAGCCCCCGGCGTCACTCATAATCAAATGGTCGTTATGGATGTTAAACACCATAAATCAATCAATCAATCATGCTATCCGCTTGGTTACCCATGTTAAGTGACAGAAATAGTGTATCACACCCAAGGAATGCTTCCTCTGAGGACCATATTCTAAAAGTGCCTATTACGTAATGCAGACGTTATCGTAGTTTCATACGGAAAGCAGCTGTATTGGAAAACACAGCTAAGTGTCTTGTACAAGTACATTACATGTGAACTTAAGCAGGATTTCCTGCCGAGATTGAAATTATTGACCGAAAAGACGTTTTTTTTTTACATAACAAAAGAAATACAAAAACGTGTTCTTTTTATTGCGTGCCCTTCCAGAAATTGGGGTTCTGCTCGAGTCCTGCGCCGGAAGTTGCTGTACCACTGCTCCAGCGCCCGCATGGGAAAGAAGCTCTCGCCCGGATGCGTGGGCACCGCAACGGACCCACCGTACGAGGCCAGGTGGTTGAATAGGCTCTCCGCCATCTTGGTGCAGAATTCGGTGTGCGAGTCGACGGCCGTCGCATCCGCCGGAGAGGATGCCTGGAACTGGATCTGGGCCAACGGCTCGACCGAGATACCCAGCTGGGCCACGCTGCTGAAACCGTGCGCCGAGAACGCGTGCATCTCCGAACATTCTGCAACGACATGCATTGTTCAACTCGGTGCTCGCTCGACAACATGCGCAACAAGCAGGAAGGGATGTGCCTCACTGTGACCCTTCCCGCCCCCCCCCGTCTTTGCAAACATTTAAATTTCGTTAGCTTGCACACATCTTCTGGATGCGACTTGTGCTGATGGTCTCTCGACATTGTGACGAGTCCTCCATTGCTGCATGTGCTATAACTGCTGTGGGGTTACAGTGCCACTCGCAGAACGCCGACTGTCTTGGTCTGGGGTCGAGTGTTTCACCATTACACCAGAAACTTTGTATGTTCTGAATGTGTAGACACAGCAGACACCGATTATGCTTCTGCACACATGCTACGGAGGGTGCTATTAAATATACAGTAAAGCTACTTCTGAAAGACTTTGTTATTGTGGTGTTGTGCATTCAGCAATGGCAAATCTTTCAGTGCATTACAGTCCATTATTTGCATCTCTTCTGGCACAGTGCTTACTAAATAACCAATACAATTGGACGATAGAAATCGACGTTGATAGCTTGTACGACAAGTAATCTAGACATCGTCGTTTTAAGAACGACATTCCAGACGCAAACCAGTGCGGTATGTGTGCCTATCCAGTGTTTTAATAAAAGTAAGTGGGTGGTTAATGATAAACTGTCTTAGGTGCATATTGCAAATACTGTGGTGCCATCTAATAGTCTCGTGTGGCAACTGCTTTATTTTGTCACCCCTTTTGCCATCCTCTCCGCATTTTCTTTCATCCTTTTCTGTGTTTGTTCTCTTGGTTATGATGGAAAAGGCATGCCGACACACTAAGTGCATTTAAAATCTGCACCCTAATAAACTCCCAGTTGAGCAAAAAAAAGTGCTGCAACAGTGCACGTGGAAGCAAAGGGAGTCACCTTTTCTGTGCTTGGAGATACGGAATATGGCACTCGGCTTTGCGTTGGAGATGAATCCGAGAAGCTGCCAGTTTCCCACAGCGTCCGGGCTGGGGTAGCAGAAGTATACTGTCGAAAGAGGGAACAGCCGAGCGGGCATTCTTATGCAAAATGTGGAGACAACAGAGACTACACTACATACGCAGCAACGAGAATAATTTGGAGCCTGTTGGTTGGAATTCACATTTCAACAGCACAAAAGACGAGGCAAAGAGCAGACACAGTCACAGAATGAGTCACTGAATGTGAAGTGTGCTGTGTGTAGTATTTGCAAATGTGGTAGCTGTATTTACTTACCAGCACCAGCCAGGTCTGTTCTTCGTTTTCTTTATCCGATAGATGTACACATTGTACAAGGGAGCAGTTATTCATTTACTACAAATCACAAGGCTTCAAAGAAGCACAGAGGAAAGGAGGTGTAGAATTCGTAGATTGAAGCAGGACAGTTTAGGGCTAAGTAAGGCACTTTCATTTCCAGCATCCTCAGTTCTGGTTATGTAGGTGTAATTTTCACTAATGCGTACATCGGAGCCAACATTATTTTTACAGACCAGATTCATCGCGACAAGATGTGGTCATCGAGCAATTGCACGCGGCAGTCATACTAAAGAAAAAAAACGACTGTGTTTGAATCTGTGAGTATTAAACATCATCATCAGCAGCCTGACTACGTCCACTGCAAGACAAAGGCCCCTCCCATATTCCGCCAGTCAACTCGGTCCTGTGCTTGCTGCTGTCACTTTATATCCGCAAACTTCCTAATCTCATCTGCCAACCGAACCTTCTGTGCCCCCATCACCTGCTTGTCTTCTCTTGGAATCAAATCTGTGATCCTTAAAGGGGCCCTACAACACTTTTTGAGCATAGTCAGAAAGCGCTGCCGATCGATAGTAGAAGCTCCCGACAGCATGCGAGCCTAATATTATAGCGCACCACACAGCTTGGAATTCAGAATAAATTATTAGTCAGCTAAATATTGCTTTCTCTTCTCTCAACAAATCAAGGAATAAGCCCAAACATCACTCGTAGTAAGACCATCTATCAGCCATTGGCTGATTTGAACATGGCGCGCTCTGTCGTTACAGAGATTGCCGCAGGAGGCCGCAACTTGTCCACGTGTGCACGCACGATCACACTGAAAAAGCCGCCCATTCGAAGAAAAAAAGAGAAAAAGTGCTAAAGGTCACGAAGCTTGCGTGATGTTTTTCTTTGCGTATACCATCCCTCCCTGCTTAGCTTCCAGCGCTTTCGTCTGGACAAGCGAAGAGAGAGTGCAATCGCAGCATGCGACGAATCTTTGTAACTCCACTCGCACTGGACGGATTCTTAAATTTCTTGCATTGTTTAATTCATGAGGCAATAAGCTCTTTCAGAGAGTTCATTCCATGGTTTCTTGAAAAAGTGTTTCAGGGCCCCTTTAATGACCAGCGGTTATCTTGCCTTCGCGCTATGTGCCCTGCCCATGACCATTTCTTCTTGATTTCGAACTATGATGTCTTCAACAACCATTTGCTCGCTGATACACTCTGCTCTCTTCTTTTCCCTTAGGGTTACAACTATCATTTTCCTTTCCATCGCTTGCTGCGTGGTCTTAAACTTAAGTTGAACACTTTTTGTAATCCTCCAGGTTTCTGCTCCATAGGTGAGTTCCGACAAGATGCAGCTGTTATATACCTTTTTCTTGAGAGATAGTGGCGATTTACCATTAATTATTTTAGAATGCTTGATAAATCTGCTCCACTCCATTCTTATTCTTCAATCAAGTTACTTCGATTTCGTGGTTTGCTCTGCAGTTACTACCTGTCCTGAGTAGACGTAATCTTTAACGACTTCAAGTGCTACCTGTATTGAAGCGCCATTTTCTTCAGAGGTTGTTGGTACTTTTGCTTCCGGCAGATTAATTTTAAGACCTACCTTTCTTCTCTCATTCTCTAATTTAGTAATCATTAATCGCGATTCGGCCTGAGTTGCTCAGCAATGTAAGGTCATCGTCGAAGTGCAGGTTATTAAGGTACTCTCCATTAACTCTTATGCCTCACTGTTTCCATTCTAAGCCTCCAAACACCTGCTGTAAGCACGCAGTAAATGGCATTGGAGAGATTGTATCCCCTTGTCTTACACTCTTCTTTATTGGTATTCTATCGTTTTCTTTAGGGAGCACTATAGTGGTGATTGATCTGCCATAGATTTCTTCCAGGATGTTTATATATGCTTCATCGACGCCCCGATTTCGCAGTGTCCGCATGACTGCTGATATCTCTACTGAATCAAATGCCTTCTCACAATTTATGAAGGCTTTGTATAGTGGTTAGGCGTATTCTGAGCATTTTTCTATAACCTGATATATAGTATGAACGTGGTCAATTGTTGAGTAGGCTGTAAGCAATCCTGCTTGGTCCTTTGGTTGATTTAATTCTAATCTTGTCTTAATTTTGTTAACAATTACCTTTGTAAACAGCTTGTATACTATGGAGAGCAAGCTGATCGACCTGCAATTCTTCAAGTCCTTGTGGATTAAGATGATGTTAGCAATCTTGTAAACAAGGTGTGAATGGTTTTCTAATGGTTAGACACTTTGTAAACAAGGTGTGAATGGTTTTTCTAACACAATCTGTCCTCCACTTTTCCACAGATCTGATGTTACCTCATCCTCACCAGCAGCTTTGCCTCTGTGCATGCCCTCCAAAGCTTTCTTAACTACTTCTGTCATTACTGGTGGGATGTCATATGGGGCACTGCTAGTTTTTACATTGTAGTCGTGGCTGTCCCGGCTACTTTACAGATCTCTGTGAAACTCGTCCGCTACTTCATCCTATTTATATTGGTGGTTACTTTGCCTTCCTAATTTCTTAATGCATACATTTGGTTTTTGCCTATCCCAAGTTTTGTCTTCGTCGTTTTGACTCTTCTTTCTATTCTTTAGAGCATGTTCAATTTTCCCATCATCCTGAGGTGCTGCCTAGCTCACGTAACATATCGATTCACATATCCTGCATCATATATACAGAACTGCGCGAGCCTGTCGTGACGTGAGCGCATCTACGAAGAGTGTGGCGTTGTTGTGGCACATCATTAAGTGCGCCGCTGGGGGGGACGGAGCAGACCGAGAAAAACGAGCGCGCTTTGGCTGGCTCTGGCAGCCCGCGGGTAGCCAGAAGTGGAAAATGGAAGAGCCCCATTGCATACGTTAACCAAAACGGCTGACCGTAACGGTGACGCTCACTTGACAACTACGCCCACGCGTCATCTCTCGTCGCGCTCTATATCTTTTTTTTTTCCTTTTAATCATTTCTTTCTGCCGCATACCTGAGCCACCGAAGCCGTCGGGGAAGGGTTGGGTGCCGGTGAGGAAGACCACTATGTGGTTGATACTGTCCGGATCGGGTATGTTGATGAGGAACTTGGTCTGGTCGACGGTCTGAAAGTCCGTCTGCACCTGCATAGGAAACGACCGTTAGCGCACAAGGTCTCGAGAAGCCTCGGCTCGCCTACCAGGCGTCCCGTTACGATGGCCCCGAATATGCTCATGTTGCTGCCGAGACAGCGCACCGTGCAAGCAGTCGCAGATGAGCCGCAACAAAACGGGAGCGTGCGTGCTTCTGAAACCACGCTTCGCCCATAAACACCGGTTTACGTGCGGCGCCAATGATGATGATGAGGGGGTCAGCTACCTCTTACAGCGAAAAAAAAAACTACAACTACAATCCGTAAGTTGTAAACACGTTTGATTAAATCAAGCACTAGATAATTTACTGCTGATTTTCACGTTTAAAAGAGCGCAAAACGGCGCACTCGCATCACATGCACGGTACCAGCGGGGTTTCTGGTTTCGTGCGTGTATGTCATACATCATCATCATCAACTTTCAATCAGCTGTTTCTTGTTTCGTGTTCGGTGATGGAAAGGCGCCGACCGTTCGAAGAAGCGTAGTAGCTCATGCAGAGGATGCCCGTTCATCGATGAAACGCTGCTGCCATGTCGCGGGTGGAAGCGAAAGGTAAAGCAGAGATCCGTATTACGTGTTGAAACGTGTCTATCGTGCGGCATCGTTAATTGCGCAGACCCGATATCACAACAACGTTAGTCAACGTTGTGTGGTCTTGGTGATGTCCGCTTATTAAAAGGCTATGAAAACGAAAACAACGCGGAATAGCTATCAATAAAGCGTACAGGAAGAGGACGATAGAAACGGGATAACGAAATACGAAGCCAGACATAAAGTTGTGTTTTCAAGATAATCGGCAGTGGACTCACTTCAATCTAATCATACGGATCGTAGTGCTAACCGTATTACCTTGCAGTGGTTTTCCATCGCCCGTAACCATTTGTAGTTTGTGCCTGCGGAAATTGCCACAGAGAGAGGCCTGGATAACAGGGGTGACCTTCGTCCTATCGTTTGTTTATAGCACACTCAACCGATATATCCAGGTTGTATGTCAAGGACGAGCAGCAGTGCCATCAAAGACTGCCGAAATTACTAACGTTTTCCGTGTTTGTTTAGAGAGTGTATTCGTTTATATTCGCCAAATTGAAACCAAGCCCTCAGTGTGAAGAACGGTGCTGCTAACAATAAGATATGGTGTTGTATGGCACCGAGCAGTCCGTGTTTTCGTTCAGCTGGCTTGTCCATGTCGAGAGAAGGCCTTATTTTATACTTGAATTAAAACAAGGTGATGTACTGCACATTGCCGTGCGTTGCATTTGAAATTAGTTCGCATTACCGTAAACCATCCGCTAATTAGTTGAGTGGACATGTACACCATACACACACTTCTGAGGAGCACCTCTCTATCATCAGCCTCTGCATGGCATTTTGCTGTGTTCTAGAGTTTCAGCGAAATCTGCATGCATGCCATCTTCGTGGTGAAGCATTCTCATGCTCAAAGTTTACAAGTACAGAGGGCTAAGTTTTTATGAAACGGCGTGCATTGAGACTTAATTATGAAGACACGTACACATTACCCATGTCTCACTCAGTCTATCAGTTCGTAGTGTGAATTTAGATGAAGTAGTTTTCTAATGCGAAACCATTACCCTTTATCAGAAAGCTGAGGCAGAGAAAGCAGCTCACACATTAGGTATTAAGTCATATTTGAGATTGTGTGTGAGCGGGGTTGTTTCAAAATGGAATGCCCAGAAACCATACATATATAGGTAGTCAATTAGACAGGTTCCAACAACACGAGCCCCAAAAGCGCGAGTGGCTGAGTCATCAGTTGCAACGAGGCAGTGTTTCGGCCAGTGCAAAAGATCTCCGTTGTTGCGCCACTGCCACCGCTCTTTACCAATGAGAAATGAAAAGGTGAATGAAATATTCAGAGGTTACCCAGAGTTCACGTCCAATTTACTACCCTTACTTGAGAAGGGAAACTGTACACAAGAAGGAGAAGAACATGCAAGACACGAGGATTTGAAAAAGTCAATACGACACGATCCTTGCACGTCTTTGGAGAACACCATCCTCAAGCTGAGCAACATTTCGTCGGATCACCAAACTCAGCTACGAGCCTTGTTCTTGCCTTTACGCAGTGTAAGAATTGCTTAGATGTCCCCATAGTTTTGATTTCAACATGTCTGTATTCCTTTAAGATGATTCATGTCACTGTGGCCTTTAACTCGATTACCACTCACTTTACAATGGGTGCAAATGTACCCAGTATAGAACAGAAAATTGGCACGCATCTTTACCAAGTGCGGTGTTTTGTTGTTTTTGTTCAACTTTTTTTTAAATGTTTTATTCAATGTAACGATCATGTTTAATCCATCTTAGCCATAAGCATTAGTGACGTGTTCTTTTTTTTTCTTGTGCATGCACAAATATGTTCATTGTAGTGCAGAGTTCGCTTTTGTTGTGTCAGTTGTAGGTTAGTTTTTGTGTTGTTATGTGTGCATAGCGAAGTTGCCTCATGTGTTTCACCTTATAGCTTTGGTGCAAAGTGACTCGTTTTGGTGTTGAACCTTCATAAAGATCATAGGTGTTGTTATATCTGAAATAAATCATAATATCATTTGCATCTATAGAGAACCGTGCATCACATGTTGAAAAACATTTGATATGCTGTGCAGTAAGTTTGTTGGGGAGGTGATTATCGCAACTTTGTGGTTAAGGCAGGTTCCAGTCTTTTGCTACTCTAGAAAACAAAGGCGAAACTGTGTCAGTACGGGTACACAGGCAGAAAACTTGCTGTGCAAGACCTGTGTGATGTGACACACAAACTGCCACGATAATGTAGGGAGAGCGATTGAGAGGTGAGCTTAATAGCTTGCGAAATAACGAGATGGTTGCAGTAAGACGACAAGACTAAAGATAAGTACACTTGACTTTGAGGAAGAATCACTAATGTCATATGAGTGTGGAAAAAACGTGGGCAGCTCACACTAGTGATACAAAGCTGGACCAACAGCAGAGCTCGTGGCTGACATATATTATTATGAATGTCTTCATAGCATGGTCTTATTTAGCACGGCCCTAATTAACTAGAAGAATGCTAATGAGAGTTGTATTTATGACAATTCATAATGTATTTATTATAATGTCCTTAATTTGGAGGGTATCAATTAGCAAGGTCATAATTAGCAAATTAGTCTCTCTTCTTTTCCTTCCATGTGCCTGTTCTGTGCGTCTTTTTTTTTTTTTTTTCAGAATGCCCAAGCATTGAAGAAATGCCTACATTGCACATTCATTGGGTCGACCTCAGTTGTTGTGCTAACCGCAGGCCTTATTTTCTGCCAAATTACTAGGTAATACAGAAAAGCATTCTGAAACTATTAACATTTCTCATAAGTACACCGCCAAGGGCAAACTGTACTTATAGCCAGTCCTAAGATGAAGAAGACGACGAAGAGAGTCTGCACCCTGCCGATTTGTTGCATTGCACATGCAAGGTGCATCTTACTTTTCTGGTCAAGCAACATGACAAAACGAAAGCTTAAGCAACTCTGATCTTAATATGTGTGCACATTGCAGTGGAAAATGCGTTCACTGATGTCTGACCTTCTGATTTCAAGAAGGCATCCTCTTGTCAGCTTTGCAAATTTTTTTCCTGTTCTATCGTAGCAGATGTGGCGTCAGCAGCCTCAGCAGCTTCTGCGATGAGCGGTGTGTGCGGGCGCATGACGTCAGAATGTGGTGTGCTGGGTGTGTACCTGTCGTCCTGGGATCACGTGATGGGGCCACAGCTGGTGTTTCCGGTGGCGCATGCAGTGCCCCGGTGCAGTCGCCAGCGCTGGCACCCCTGAGTGTTCGGCCGACTGTGGCCCGCACTTCCTCAAGTGCCACCAGTTTCTGGAAAACCCTGAAGGCTTTCTCGCTCGAGGAGAGGCACCGCAGCAGGTCTGAATGTGTAGCCCTTTATCAGAGCGGTGATGTGTTGGCAACACTCTGTTAACCAAAGAAGGAGACAAGCTTGAAATTATAAGCAAACAATCATGCCCCCTAACTTCCTTCTCAATACTTCTCTTCCCATTTTTGAACAAATATCCGCTCCACGATTTGTTCATTGAGGTGGTATAATGGTTACAGTGCTCGACTTCTGACCCAAAGGATGGTAGTTCAGTTCCTGCCATGGCAGGTTTTCTTTCGAATGGAGGCAAACGCTGTGGGTCCGTATAGTACTGTGTAGTGTCAGTACACATTAAGGAACACCAGATGATCAAAATATCCAGAGCCCTCCGGATGTTTCAGAGACATGCCTCATAATCATAATACTTTTGGGACATGAAGCCTCAACAGTTGTTAATTAATACTACCCTATTCCCCCACGTTCCCTCCACAACTACAAACAACTCTCCGTCCTCCAATTATGAACACTCTTATCCCCCCCATCTCTTTCGGTGCCATCTGTGGGGGTGGCGTGAGGGGTGGCCAGTCAGACGCCAAACTAAATGATTGAAAGAGCTACTAATTAACTTCTTTTCATGATCAAAGTGTTGTAGTATGTACGGTTCACTTTAGCGAAATTCATTCCAGCAGTGCAGAACATAAAGCAGCCTGTAATTACCCCCCCCCCTTGGGTTTGATGCCTCTGCCTCTGTAATTGACGCTTCTGCGTGCAGGCATCACGGCGTGATGAGGAGTTTGACGTACACGCGGCCAGTGTACTGCAGCTGTTGCACGGAGGTCTGGAACGACGAGGTACGCGGTCGTGCCTGCTGCTGCTTCCGGACAAGCGGGCCGCCCTGCATGCGGTCACCTTTGACCTCTCGGCCGGGGCACCCGTGTGCCTGGCCGCACTGTTCCCAATGAAGGCACTGGCCGACCTCTGGCTGCTGCTGCCCCTCACTGACCTGACCCTGGCACGAGTAGCACTAGGTCTGCCAAACGCCTGGGGTATGTAGCACCCAGTAAACTAAATGGAGTGGGTAATAGACTTGTGGTTTGTTTGGTACGCCTGATATTTGGAAGGCGTGCTCTTGCTGCACACATGGCAAGCAGAAATAAAAGGCTGTCACATAGTGACTGTTTCATATAAAAGCTTAAGAAACATCTCTCACTACTGTGGTTAAAAGGATAAGTATTCAACATGTAATTCAACTAAACCACCTGGTGTCGGTTTTCTGGTTTTACAAACTATGCAATTTCTACAATTGGTGCCTACGGCGTTCTGCTACGCTTTGTGACTGAAACTTAGAATGTCACATACTGGAAGCGAAATGGTGCACATGTAATACACAATTTGAAATTACATCACCCACGCCGGCAAGTAACAGTTGTGTAAGATGAAGTGTAGCAGCTATCCTCTAGAAACTCTAGTGTGGAACTATCCTCTAGACTTTTTAGAAATTCAATGTGGGACGCAAGACGTGAGACTGGCTAGTTGCCCATCAAGTATGAAAAGAAGCAAGGTAGTTGCATACAAACTTGCGAAAAAGAATGGCCATGCACACATCTTACAAGAGGGTTGCTAAATGTTTTATGAAGCAGGCGTTGCATCGGTGTAAAAATGACCAACTTTGGGCTGTTTGGAAGGTTCGGGTAGATGGATGAATACCAAGGGTGTCCTCTTTCTAACACGACTGTGACCTGCACTGCACCAAGCTCAAGATTGTGTTGTTATTATTATTATTATTATTATTATTATTATTATTATTATTATTATTATTATTATTATTATTATTATTATTATTATTATTATTATTATTATTATTATTATTATTACACTATTGACCAATGTGGTCTAGCTGAATTCGAGGTTTCTTTTCTAAAAAAAAAGCATTCTCAGCTCGTTTTGCACTTATTACAAATTTACCTTAGTTTTCCCATTATTTCTTGCTTTTTGCTTATTTTTTCACCACCTTCAGTCGTCTTTTAGTCATTTCTTTCACCGATCCTTTTTTACCTTTCCAAATTTGTCCCCTCAAAGCCCAAGCGGTCACGTAGGCTAGTACCCCCACATATATTGAAGTGGATACCTCCACATTCAATCGGAACATGCTCCATCATTTTCTCACCTTCCTCCGCTGCATGTGCATTTTTCTTTGCTTTCTTTACAACTATGCTTTCTAAGGCAACCCAAGCTTGCTTCAAACAGCAAGGCACTTTCCCTTGAATTATCATAAAATTCATTCCTGCTTATTTCATCTGTACCCTTTTGGTTGTTAATCAGAGCTGGTTTTCTTTCCATCACTGCCATATAATGAATCTTCCCCGCTTCTCTGACTTTTCTTCCCTTCGTGCTATTGATTGCCATGTAATTTACACTGCCACCCGTATATTTACCAATGGGCCTGCTAGTTCTTTTTCTCAACTGTTGGCCGATGCTATTGCCATACAAGTACTGCAACGCCTTCTCCTCCCATGTGCTTCTTGGGTGTTCCGTTGTCTTTCTTTAAAAATATCTTCAAACAACTGAAGTCACTACCGACTTCAGCACCACCAGACATTTGCATGACGTACAGTGACGGGTAGTCCGTACCTTATTATTGCACTGCACTATTTTTCGGCTGAAGGTATTGTGTAGGGTAAAGTGGGGTTATTTTAACCATGACTTGAGGTATTTTCTAAAAGTTAGTTGGCAACACTGAGCAGCGAAAATGCCTACTCACATAAAGTTGTCTATGAATACACTAGAGGGAACACTAGATTATTGCAGGCTGCAACGCACAGCTCTTCAGCTGGCACTAATCCTTGTACTTTCGGCTACATTTGACTTCACGTGGCTTGGAGCTTCTTTGTCATGAAATGACAATCAGGCAAATGTTCAGCAGTTGCTTTTAGGCTCAGCCAATTCAAATTGAGTCACAATGGTTCATTATTTTATTTGAAGCGAAATCGAAACACAACAATAAACAAAGCCACAAGTGTGTTTGAAGCCCTCAAGAGGAATACTAGGCAGATTCGTGTGCTACTCATCATTCCCGTGGTCGCTGAACGATCACAATGCCAGAGTCTCCTCTAGTTAATTTTAGGAAATTCTATGTCCTGCAGTACGCTTTTCAGATGTAAAGGCATCACCGTGCTGGTTTTGGAATGACACCTGAGCTTGCTGTGCTTTCGGGTCAGTCTCTTGACTGCCCTAGAGAAGCAGGAGTGCATCACATGGTATCACGAGGTTATGTAATTGCGCATTGAACGTATTCGGTGAACTGCAGCATGCTTAGGTCTCATTCTCTTGCAAAAAAAAAAAACCAAAAAAACACCAGTGATCTCTTTTTTTTTTCAAACTTAAGCAAAATTGCTTCCTTGTTCTACAAAGCTTTGAATGTTCTTGCATTCCATACATACTATTACCTTCATGACATTGTTCTTTTGTACCATTGAGAAACTTGTGCTTCATGTGTTTAATGTAGAATTTCAATAGAACTGTGACTTATGTAAGCTGGTAATGATTCTAAATCAACTAATACAGCAGTCCAAAAGCAAATAAAAAAATCTAGGACTGAAAAAAAAAGGCGACAAAAGGAACAAGTGCTCATGTGTTCGTTATCGTTTCTTCAGTCATAGCTGTATTTTCTTGTGCTGTGTAAGTTTACGGTGGAACATTTAACGAACTCATAGTTGCTTGTACATAGCCACTCTTGTTCTGTAGGTCTGCAGCGCTTGTACTCTAAGTTTGTCGTTGTTGTATAACCTGCTGGCTTTCCTTTCAGCGGGAGTTGATGAAAAGCCTGAGCAGTGCAACCTCATTGTTGCACCGTTACTTCCAGTTAGCCTCATCCCTGCTGAGTACCAGGATGCTCGATCGAAGGGTGAGGCACATCTCTTATCAGACGCTGTCGATGTATCGTGCCAGTACAGTTTCTTACAGTTGGTGTCTGTATGTGAGACAACGATTTGGCTGAAGTATTGTTGTATGTACAGCTGTAATGAAAAGAGATTAGTACTAGTGACTGATTACCTGAGCAGCATATGATGCATCTACATCAAGCATGGGAAATGCTGGATTCAGGACAGGATACTTTCTGTCGACCACCCTTGCTTTGAAGAGATCCTAAACAGCCCTTTGTGCTTGGTAAAGAAATTTATACTGTGGAAAGCATACACTTGCCACGAACAGCTCATTTAAGCCTTGCTGTCATATGCGACAAGGAGTGTTCACAAGCGAAGTTTAAAGGTTACTACTCTTCTGTTCATGCACAGGCTCTTTGAAGGACAGTCGTACACCAGATCTTTCATAATGCAACAGACTACTGCTAATGGTCAATAGCTCATATGAACCAAGAATGGAGTTGGTATCAAATTCACATCTTGCCAAGAGGGTGCTGCCACATGCCGTGCTCTATGGTGTACTAAACTTACATAGTAGCAACTACTCGCTATGCACCAGAATTACCCGAAAAAGCAGTAATGTTTCCTGAAGCACGCTCAACATCATGATGTAAGTACAAAGTAACTTCTTTTGCCCTTTTGTTCCCTACCCGTGTAGCTTTCAGCATGCTCGTCGGGACAAGAGAGGAAGAGAAAGCGCTTAAAGCCTGCAACAAAACCCTGTAACTTCGTGAGTTCTTGAAGGATTCGGGAAAATTTTCTGGAGATCAATTTGTGATCTGGAAATAAACTCTGATATTGGGGTCAATCGATAGTTAGTTAGAAATGTGGTTTTTGGCCTCTTCTAAAGTAAGACTAACATGTGCTTTTCATTCTGGAAATGCTCAGCAATGACATGCCATGTGTCATGATTTAGCTGTTCATATCAGCGGGTGCAATATTTTAGACTGTTTTTTAAGTGTTTCACTACAGCTGAACAGGAATTCAGCATAGTGGTGGTTTGCGACATGCTCCTTTCTTGGAGATTCATAAAGTGTCTGCCATTGTTGGTTTAGATTTCTGTATTACCACATTTAATGGGGCTCTGCAACACTTTCTGAGAATTGTCAGAAAACTGCTGCCGATCGACAGTCGAGGCTCTCGAAAACATGTGCGCCAAATATTATAGCTCAGCACGTAACCTGGAATTTACGACAAATTCTTTAATTTAGCTAAAAATTGCTTTACTTTCTCTCAACAAATGTTGCTACATGCCCAATGTCACTGCTTCCCAGGCCAAGTGTCAGCCATTTGCTGATTTGAGCATGACGCGCTCGGTCATTACTGGGGCCGCAGCGGGAGGCCACGACTTGTCTGTGTGCATGCGTGCAATTGCACTGAAAAGCCGCGCATTTGAAAAAAAAAATTGAGAAAAGTGCTGAAGGTAACGAGGCGCACAATGTATTTTCTTTATCTATGCCGTTTTTCCTCGCTTAGCTTCCAGGGACAAAAGGAGAGAGACTGCAGTTGCAGCGTGTGGCAAATTTTTGTAACCCCGCTTGTACTGGACGGATTCTGAAAATTTTTGCGGCAATAAGTTCGTGACGCAATAAGCTTTTTTAGTCAATCCATTTCATGGCTACTTGGAAAAGCGTTGCAGGGCCCCGATAAGAGTTGTGTTCCTCTAAATTTGCATTTGGTGACGTTAGCTAAGAGATTGTTAAGAACACCTGAAGGATTTTATGCGTAGCAATTAATCCCACAGCGTGTGTCATTGCTAGCTGTATATGCTGACAAAACCTGAGGAAAAACTTGTGAAAGCACGAAGACTCTTTGAGAGACTCTTCTTATGATATGGTAGCTTTACTTCTTCTTTATAGTTTTTTCGCACTCTCAGACTGCCACATTTTGTGACATCCTAGCCATATGCAGCTTTGCTGAAAAAAAAAAAAAATTTTGAATATAAAGAACAAACCACTTAGTACAACTAGATACACCACAGTCTCCTGTGAAAAAATGCACTATGCTCTTGCAGGCGTCAGTGAATGCACTGAGCCGGGCTGATCGCCTACCAGAGGAGCTGATTCGACGAGCACTCCAGTCGCACTTGCAGACGCGCCGCTGCTCCATTGTCATCGGTGACAGCGCCTCTCAGGTGTGTCCTTACTTGCCGCCTGCCATCTTCCAATCTTTGTTAAACTATGTCTGATGTTCGATGAACACTCAAGAAAGAAAGGAACTCTTTTGCAGAACACCAGGTTGCCTTGTGTTAGCCTGTCACTGCACTGAATGTGAGCTTGCAGAATGTACACACAGAAGTCACATTTTTAATCTAATTAGTTCAAAAATGCATATACTGCTTTTAGTAGCGCCTTGGGTTTTTTTTTCTTTCAGCTTTTTCAGTACTGTAGCCCCCTTTTTTTTCTCTGGAACATTCAGCCATCAAGCACTTTTATTTGTGCAATATTTTTTGAAAAACCAAAAAGAAGAAAAAAGAAGCCGCCACTGCATGTGCGTCTTATCACACCAGCATTGTCGGATTATCACTTTTTTGTGGATGGCATCGCTTTCACAAAATATTGCGCCTTTTGGTACCAGATGTATGAGCCACCTCATATTTGGTGCCAGGTCGTGTGAGATCCACTGAAGGTGTTTGCGTCTTTTGCTCTGGTAGCACGAGAACATCACCTCCTGTGCATACCTCGAAATTCTGGCTCCGCAAAACTTTCATGCCAAGTGACAATGAGCTATTTAAAGTCTGCTCAAAATGCTGATGACCACTATTGCGAAATACCGAGCAAGTGACCACTTCTCCTTTTCGAGAGATCTGAAATACTATGTGCCAATGACCGAGCAAGCCCCCCACCCCTGTGCACTCTTCTCACCATTTTTCTTTTCAGGCTGTTCTCCATTATAGACTGCCACAGCAGTGGTTTCTAGGGACCAATGTTCTGAGAGTGTTTAGATGTGGGCACGATTTCTCGATACTTTTACAGTGTGGCTCCTCAGGGTTGCATTCCGAGTTGGCACAAATTGTTGGAACATTTGAGCAACACATAAAATTTTAGACGGGGACATTTTCTGGTTCAGTGAAAGCTGTAAATGCATGCATATTGTTTAATTTTTCATTAGAAGCACAGGTGTGCATTCTTCTGACGAGCTCTTCTGCTGCCGTATTTTTAATTTTGGTTCACGCCCTCCACAAGTTGTTCAATCATATTTCACTATGAGGTGGGGAGGGGTGCTTGCTCAGGATTTTACACTAGAAAGAAGATGCAATGTTGATGCCGCCAAAGAACGGCATTCTGGATAAGGCCACAGTTTGCATTAAAGTCCTACACTTATGAACTGCTTATACATCTCCCAATTGAGACTTTGCATCCGCCAACTGCACTGGTTGCTCACGTTCCTTGAGTGCAATGGCCTCGTGTTTTGACTGGATGACGAGGACCAGGCAACACATCCAGTCGCACCGCGATATTTGAATAACACAATTCGAGCCAGTTGGTTGTTCACACCGAGGCGAAAACAGCGCATATATTGACGAGAACGGACAGACACAAAAAAAAATATACATGCCTGCACCTCTGTCCTTCCTTGTGTCTGTTCGTTCTCGTCAATTCATGCTGTTTTTTCCTAGGTGCGATGTTTGAGCAGAAATAATTTTGAATGAAGTGTCGATAAATGCAGGTTTTTCGTCAATGCAGGTAGAGCCTGCGCTGAACGCCCTGCGAGGCCTGCTCGATCACGAGGAGCTGTTCTGTTCCCTGTGGGGCGACACCCTCGAGCCCTGCTACCTGCCAGGTCTTCAACTACAGGTGCACTTCTCATTAATGCACGCCTTCGACATTTCTGGCGTAGAGCAAGAATGTCAAAGCACGCAGCTAGCAGCTACAGCTTGGTACAGACCAAACAGTCAGAATTTTTTGACGATAGCAATTTCAACCTATCTCAAGAATCAACGGATAAACTCGGCCTTTTTTTTTCTCTCAGATTGTGTGTCCAGTAATAGGTACAGATGCCTAGACACCTATATACAATGCGTGTATTGTACTTACTAAACGTGTCAGCTTTTCTGTGCCAACACAATGAGCATTCTGTCCATTCCGTCACATAACACAAATAGATGTAAAGAAATGAATGTATCAAGCAAAATTACATTTTTTATGGTGCTCAGTTTTGAACGTAATAACCCTGCACCCTGAAGGCAGGCAGCTGCCTAACCACTGGGCTACACACCTATGCTTGCAGAATGCAAGTATGCCTGAACCATATAAATGCATTGTACATATGTATTGGCTGCTTAAAAAAATGTAAAGTGAGGACAGTTTTCACGAAGGCTCAGGTAAAATATTTCGCATTGGTGGTATAAGAGTCCTCTCTAGGAACTTGTGCAAAACCGACGCAGAGCGCTGTGCACATGGTGACAAATCAGACTTTTGAAACTTGAAGGCCAAATGTATGCTTCGGAGGTCACAGCACGGGCTTTTTTTCAGGCTGTTCCAGACACTGATGAATGCTGGAAATAAGACAAACAGATCCATGCGATACTGCCCTTAAACCCCATTCTAGGAAGGGCTGCAAACATAAAAGCTTCCCAAAATAATGCTCTATGCTTACGCATCACTTGGACAAGTTTCGAAGGAGATGCTGAAGTGCGTTTTTTTTTTTCACTTCTTTTATTGTATATTGTTATATAGTGATGAGATCACAACAAGGGCCATTTTTGGTGCTGCGGTTGTTGGCCACCGCAGCCAATGTCTATAACCACTATGGCGCAAAAGTAAAAAAAAAAAGCTTAATAAAAACATAATCGAGCTGCAAGGGGGTTTGAACCTGGGCCTTCACCGTGGCATCTCAGTATTCTACCGTAGAGACATATCGTTGCTAGGAAATTCTTCGCAAGAAGACCATATACAGGCATTATGTAGTGGAGGGACCATGTTAACATATGTAATACCATAATGAAACAGAAGAGTGAAGTAACAACCAGGCGTTACACAATGTGAGTCGTGTAGCTAGGAATCCCACGGTACTAATTGCATAACTATTGGGTCGTTAAGCATTTCCAACTTATTACAAAAGGCTCTGCCAAAATTCATCGTCCTCAGCCACCGCATCAACAAAGTGTACGTAATGCCTTGCAAGTGCGTAGCAGGTACCTCGCTTCTCTTCAGAATCCTGAATAATGGCGTAGTGAGTGCTTCCAAACCTGACATAGATTATGATTTATGGCGCAGTGGTTACCTTGCTAGCGTACTTGTGTTATTAGCTCCAAGAGAGTTTACAGTGGGTTCCAGAAATGCTGCTCTTCCAGCTTTCGCTGTGACTGAACTAGGCTTTCCGTACAGGCCTGGCATTTTTTTTTCTATTTCCTGGGTAAGTCTGTGTGTCACAGTGTAATGAAATGATAAGCCTACACTAGGTACACTGTTTTCAAGCTCAGTTTACAGTATATATTAATTTAATTTTATTTTGTATTTTGCAAATATCGGGTGAGATCAAGTCATCCACGGATTCATTTCAACTTTAACAGCATCTGTACCACTAACTTTCTAGACCGAAAACAGCACGTGTCTGTGCCATTTTCTTTGAGGCTCAAAGTTATGCCCTTCCCTCGCAGGGCTTGGTCCGGGGTTCTGCGGGGAGCCCCCTCTCAGCCCGCGAGCTCATCTGGTCTCTGCACCCGTCCACGGTGGTCGACATGGCACAAGGGCGCGTCTGGCAGTGCCCGCTACACGTTGGGTACCAGGGTCCCCTGACGCGCAAGTGCGTGCACCCTGCCTGTACAAGGCTATAAGTATTGCATCACTGTGAAGGAGTCGGGAATGTCATTGGATGTCTGGGGTTCCCAACTTTCTCTTGTACACGAATGCTTTTCTATCAAAGTGTGACCACCACAACCATTTATTGAATGCCCCTAAAATTATCAGAAGTAGAACGTTACAGCCGTAAATCTATTCTGAGAGACTACATCACATGTCTTCACTGTTATATTTGATGGGCGTAGCCCACCACAGCAACACCTGCTCAGCCTTGTGTAAGACCACTGCACCTTAGCAGTTATAAACTTTCTTAATTATAGTCCTTTGTTATTGTACAATATCAGCATGACACAGCTTTCTTGATAGGACATGGGCAAGTATATAGTCTTATGTCATGCTTATAGTGCACATTAACGAAAGACTGGGAACGTTTTCAAGGGGCTCATTTCTCTGTTTGACACAACTGAATAGCTTTAACAGACAATTAAGTGGGAGTCTTATAATTCCAACGAAAATTGAAATGAATCATTGTGGACGGAATATCATCATATCGTTTAGTGGGATCCAAAACCACAACCTTCAAATTGTGTTTCGGATGCTCTGCCTATCAAGCTACGACAAAAGGCACTGTCCGTCCACTTTGTTGGGTGTTTTCTGTAAGTGCAATCTCTGGGAGTGTCAACAGACTTGCCATTCATGGCCTGGGCTAGAACCTTGCGCCCTTTATTAGAACAACTGAACATTATTGCCACGTGTGATTGGTTGAGGTTTGCGATTAGTGACAATAAGCATAAGCATCAACCAATTGCATGTGGCGGTTCACTCTAAAAATAGCTACAAAATCATTAAGGCGAGGAAAGGCAAGCAATGAAGATGATTGCTGTGTAACAGGAACATCCACAAATAGGCGGAACAGTTTTTTTGTAAATTTTTTGTCGCTCTCTCTTTGGTGGCCACACCCAGGCTGAAGGCCGCACGCACTCCGTCGGCAGAGTCGCACGTGTCGCAGTTTGTGCAGCAGCTGGGACGAGCCCCCAACACTGCCGCGGCTGAGCAGCTGCTGCAAGCCTTCCAGAGGCATCTGCGCGTCAAGGCAGCAGCCCTCATCCAGTGCGCCTCCCGCTCCAGGTGATACGCTAGCCAATGTTTTCAAGGCAAAAGCCTCATCACATACAAAAAGTGACGATCTGTGTAAACATGAGTGATATGAAAGGAGGAGTTAATTTATGAGTGGTAAAACTGCCCACAGGCTCCATGTATCAAAGTCCAGGCATGCCATTGACTGTAATGGAGGAGGCCTGCTTATTTTTGACATCATATGTAGGTACAAAAACAAGCTAATAAGTGGAATTTCTGTCCATTTCGACATCCAGGCCAGCAATAGATGCTGCATTGATAAAGCAGGCAGTGATTTTATGCTTGCAGCACACATTTTGCAGGGATACTGCATCTGCAAAACTCAACAAACTTCTCTGAAGGCGCTTCTCGTGATTCTTCAAGTGGCCAATTGCGATAAAACATTGAAAGCTGCAGCAACCGTAGCTAGTAGTCACGAAATCAGAAAACTAGCCATAAAGTAGCCAACTTGAGTCAATGGCAATTAGAGTAGCCAAAAGTGACCATGCGCCTGTGAAAGCAACTGTGGCATTTTTATTTAAATGACCAAATTAAGTAGGCTATTCGTGGAAACATTAGTAAATGCGGAAACAACCCTTCAAAATCACGGTTGATAATATAAAAAGCATAAATTTCTGACTTTAAGAATCATTTTGTCAAGGATAACGAAGACTCTTGCACTGGTGCAGAAATTAGACTGTTTTCACGTCTTTTGCGTGACTTTTCTTGAGAGGACTAAAAACTACCATCCGTGGTATGATAATAAAAAGAGAGTACTGCCTGAGTGTGCACAAAATCTGAATTTATGGGATAGAATTGTATATGTCACAAAGCTTCTCATGCGATTAAAAGACCGAGCAGTTAGACCCGTTAAACTTATGTTCACGAGGGCTGGCCTGGCAATATTGCCTCTATGTCAATTCTGCGCAAATGTAGAATCGTGTCGCCAACATTTGCTTTTCAGAAACTCTTTTTCACTAAATTTGAGATATCGTACTCAGTTTTGCTGCTTTTATTATGGGTTGTGTTTTGCTGCCTTTGATGGAGCGTGTGTGTATTCTTGCTCAAACTACTAAACGTATACCATTTTAAGAGGGGCACATGTCATTTTATTAAAAAAAGGTTCTTATTTCGTGATCGATTTTGGTGAAACTTGGCGAGCTTATCTATATTTGAGTGCTGATTTATTATATGTGATATTTTTTCAGATAAAGTGTGTAGTTCTTAAAATACAATAGTACACTGTTTCATGTGCCTTTTGGGGAGCAAGTTTTTTTTTTTCTAAATTGAGAGAGTTGCAGAGTAAACCAGCATGTCACAATAATCTGGAATCAGAACTGTGTGCAGTGCAACAAAAATGGATTATATAAACTCATTTGTAGGAAATTTATGCTTTGTTAAACATTTGCGATTGAATTGAAATTGACCCACTCGCAAAAGTTCCCCAAACTCCCTTTTAGTTGTGGTCCTAGGTATTGGGCTTATGAGCTAGAAGTCTTGCATTCAAGTTGTTCTGAAAACTGCATATTTTGTTTTTCCTGTGTTTCTCTCATCTTTCTTTTAGCTTGTTTTACATCTTGTGGTGGAGTTTCAATGCATGAGCCAGTTAAGAATTGCACCACGTTATAAACTCTTGCCCTCTACACGTTTACTTTACATGTTATGATTGTATATCATCTTATTAATTCACTCGATCAATCATTTTACTAATCACGACTACACTCAAACCTCATTATAACGAAATTGCATATTACACAAAAACAAATTAAAAAATAAATTACGTTAAACCCCACATATCAATCAATCACGAAAATAAATTCATTATATCTGAAAATTTGTTATAAAGGTTTATTCTTAGTGCTTAATATATTGAAGGCCTACTTTTCACTTACTTCGTAATAACCGATATTTCATTATATCCGGTTTCGTTATATTGCGGTTTGAGTGTATAGCTACTATTACTGTTGTTGTCATCTCTTGTATATTTTTCAATCGACACTTTTTATAGGTAAGTGTCAATTATTTTGTAATATAAATTAGTGACCCTCAGTCACTCACCATAACCTCAACATCACTAATTCTTGATATGCTGCTATTGTAATGTAAGCAGATACATTTAAATGGCACCTGTATTTACTGTATGCCACAGTCTGCAATCACTACCAGCTAGTGATGTTGAACAATGCCTTTCATAACAATGAGGCTTCTAGTGGTTTACCCTAAACACTACAAGAACAGAGCAAAGGATCTCCCCCTGTCACCAGCAGCCCCTCTCCTTTTTGCTCTCATGGCAGCAACAGCTAAAATGAATGCACATCCAAGAACAATGTTCAAGCGGTCAGCAGGCTATTTACGTCAAACTGTATGTGAGGCCATAGAGGTAGATTAAAATTATTTTGACAAGCTGAGTTTTTTTTTTAAGTTTACCTATACGTACACAGGTGATTTTCGCAATTCGCACCCATAATCGAAATTATGTACCGAAGGTACAATAGCCGTGAACCTGTGCACAAAAAGGTGAAGTCTGTGGGGGTGCTAACAACCTACGTAAAGTTATTTCCCCCTCGTGATGCACGTGTCTCGCACAGAAGCCGCATTTCGAGCTCACAACTACTGAGCGGCAGGTGGCGTCGTGCTAGCGTTTATCACCACCATCATCATCATCATCATGGTTAGAACGGTGGCGCCCACAGTGACGCCTGGCAGCAAGCCTTGGTGGTGGCAAGGGAGAGATGAGCGGGTCTCTTTGGCGGGTGGTGTTTGACGCGAATGGTTGTCTGTAGAGGTGGGTTCCCGGTACACGGCACCGCGGATTGCACGCCAGGGGCCCTCTTGGTAAGTCAAGCGTTGGCGAAGCCGCCTTGAGTGTGTTATTGTTTGTTATGTTGTTGCGTGTTATGTAATTTTGTGTAAGGCTGTTTAGCGTGTTGATCACAATCAATGTTATAATAATTCGGTGGACGATATCGTTTCTAAGAGTAGCTAAATAAATGTGTGTTGTTTGGTTCCTTCCGACCGCGTCTACTGTGTCCGTTCACTCCAAGAAGCCCACAAGTTTTGCCTGCGGTCGGAAACGGCATTGGGGAAAGCCCCAATGACTGGCTGCATTTCTAAACATGTATAGCCCTGGAACGTACATTCCATGAGAAAGCATCCGAATTCGGGTCATGATAGGGATGGACAGGTATAGTCGCTGCTCTAACACACAGCAACTACCTCTCCATCTTTTGCTGCCTTCAGTTTTCCGGATATAGACCAACAGACCGACCACGCATTATGCCAGCTAAATGCGGCAGTGAGAGATAGCAGCCTCGAGGAGTCGAGCTGGACGTTTGTTGCCACTGCAGTGGGGCAAGGTAGTCAGTGCTGTCCAGATGTTTATTCGTCTTGCTGTGAACACAGCATGTTGGCAGGGGACCCATATAGACCCACTTCGCAGTGCGGATATTTGAAAAATGAGGTCCACTTCAGCACAGAAATAGAAGAACGGGCACTGGTCGTGGTCTGATGGCAAGCAAGCCAATGATGGTCAACAGCGGACTTGCAGCATAACTACGAACTGACGCAGGCACAGCGTGGTGTGGTTCTGAGGCTGCCAGTGATCCCTGAACATCACTGCAGGCGACACCAGCCGCTTGTGACTGCAACTAGCACAAAAGCTTTCCCATAGCAATCCTTGTTGCCTTTGGCTACTTCAGCAATCAAGACTGGCATTGGTGGCATCTTCAGTTCTGGCTTGGTTCATAACATGACTGGGATGTCTGGAACCCAAGCACAGAAAAAAAAGACAAGAGGCATTACTGTTATTACACATACCCAAATACATCTCTATAATGCCATCAAAAACGTAGAAGAATGCCAGTGCACTAGCTCAAAGGAGCACTATTTCTAACGAAGGTTTTCAACAATTAATACTGGGTTTATTTGGAATTCGGGGATGTTTTATGTTGGCAAACCGTTCTGTGTCTTTCGAAACGGAATTATTGACTTTACAAAACAACGCATTTAGTTTAAATAATGCTTCTAGCCTTCTTGCTCTTAAAAAGCACAAAATACATTGGCAACACATCTTTTATGTGCAAAAGTTTCACTAAAAATAAAGTCCAGCAATTTCGCATTAACCCAATTTATCCATTCTTGAATTAGTTTGTATACAAATATTTTTCATGTTCATAAGAGCACTGCATTGTCTCCGTTTTCAGTGCTAATGCACAATATATTTCTGTCATAAAAGCACAGGTAGCATAATGAGATAACAAACTTGAATTGAGTAGTTGTAATTCTGTAGCGTCTGTCGACCAATTCCCTGTACTGGGCAGGAGGGCTTTGCAGGTGAAGCTCTATAGGTTGCGTAAGCTGATTTGCGACAGCGACTGAAAAGTCTTCCGGCCAGCAGAAACGACTGGCCTTGTCATTACAACTCGCTGGCTATCTCTGCTGTCATTCATGCGTGACGTTTATTAGCAGAGAGCTCCACCATCATTTTCTTTTGCCTATTTGCTTGACCGCAACCTTTATTTAGCTGTCTAAAAAAATTCACACAGGAATGCACGACATTACGTACAAATCTGTCTCGTCACATTGCTGGTTCTGCAGCTGTGAAAGAGAGTGAAATGTCATGACCTAATCTGCAACCGTTCCCATTCAGTCCTGCTCTGTACCTGCACAGTTAAGGGATCAGCGACTAGACTGAACAAATAAGATTTAAAAATGTTTCAACAAGAGAGATTGTTGCATATATCTAAGCCCAGTGTTTGCAGCTTTTATCAGCCTTTTGAAGCAAAGGTGAATGTTTCAGGCTTTGCTTTTTTGATTTACCAAAGACTTGTTTAATCTTTGTTGACTCTCTAAATGAATATTTTTTTTTTTTTTGGTTTTCAATATTATGTGGCCTTGCATACAAAAAGCTTGGGTGCCTTTCAGGTTTTGATGGGTTCGCATCGATGGTATGTTTAACACATTGGGGTTTTTTAGTTGCTTTGCTCATGAACTTGTGCTAAAATACTAAACTCGAATAATGCTGTATGGTCGATGTGAAATCGCCTTGCGATCTGTGCTGCGGACACGGAATGTCGTTCCCTTGTCGTGCTGTTCGGTGCATACGTGCCTCGCTAATATGCTCCAAGAGACGCAGTAAACAGACATATCTATGAGTGCCACATGATCTGCCCGCTACATGTGTTCGCTGCCAACAATTCTTAAGATATTCTAAAACATCACGTGCGGCAAAACGACGCACTTTCCGTTTCGCGACCGTGCGTCAGTGGAAAGATGAGAGAGAAAGTGAAGAAAAAAAACTTTTCTCATTAGCTATAGGCTGGAAACTTTTTTCCGCGTTACTCCGAATAACTTGGCAGCCGAATGGCGCGCTTTCCTTACGTCAGCCGAGCCTTTGCGCGCCCGCGCTTTTCACTTTCCTCCGAACGATAATGCCGACGGAAAGGAATTCCTAATGGTCTTGGCGATGCCGGCGGCCCGAGGGAGGCTGCCAGCGGTTGCTTGGTTTGCGTCGTCGGAAAAGTCATTGACGCGCGACTTGCGACTGCTAGAAGTAGCGTAGTGCGAGCAGTGCAAGCGCACTGTTTTGTTTCCGGACGCTTCATGCCTGTCGCCGTGCCTCGAAGGCCGATCGAGCAGACCGCCGGTAGCGCAAGGACCGGCTGGTTTGGCCTTGAGGGTGCTGCTTCGAAAGACTTTGCATCGCGACCTTGCACTCACATTTTCCTGCTCATTAAACACCCCGTTTTCTTCTTTCTTTCGGTGCGGTCCTCGCAGGCGAGCCCTGTCAACGAAGTACCTGCAGTCGGTGCTGGCCGTGCCGTACCTGTCCGACTTCTTGGTCATCCTCGCAGAGGCCGAAAAGCTGAGACCGGGGCTGTCACGCTACGTCCTGCCGCCGACCTGACGACCGCCCCCGACGATCTAGCTCTTCACAATCGTAGCTCCTTGAATAAAAGAATCCTTTCTCGATCGAGCCTTTCCTCCGCCTATTGCGTTCCTTTCCTCGTCACGTGTGAAAGAAGGAAGCCGTCTGACTGGTGTGTGTGTGTGCGTGAGTGAGTGCGCACAGGTGTGTGCGTTGTGTTGTCGGGTTGCTGCCTTCGCAGCAACGTCCGTAGTCGTAGCCTTCGTAGCGCGCTAGGGGTCCGGCGAGCGGGTACGACGGGTAAATCAGCTGACGGCCCGCAGTCGAGAACATGGCGGTCGCCTGGAGTAAGCTGCTCGAGCAACGACGGCCCGCCGTGGTAGCCGGCACGGTAGCCCTCATCTACGCCTGGTCCTACTTCAGGTTTCTTAGGAAACAGAAGAGGTGAGTCTCCCCAGCACGCGAACTGCCGGGTAGCGCCGTGCATCTTATCACGGTTTGCCGAGCTATTCGAGTATCGAGGCGTGCGCTAAGCACGGGTCCGAGAAGCACCCGTAACTTTTCCTAGTTCCTCCGGCGAATCTTTTACCATCGACGCGTGTCGACCGTGAGATGACGGCCCTCGCGGATTATTGAAAACAAAACGACTCGCCTGTTTCTGAGAGGAAGTAATGAACGTGTCGTCGTGGTCGTGACATTCATTTACCGAGGCCGGTCCGATATCGCGAAACCAAGTGCCTTTTCTCGATAACGTGCGCACGGCGACGCCGATTACGAATGTTTATGCCGTACTTGACGTTACCGTCTCTTTCTCCGTTCCTGTAGGAGTCGGGAACTTGCAGCGGCGGCGCTTGTTTTCGACAAGGTGAGTTTGTTGCTCCTCCGGCAAAGGCGCGTGCCTGGGGTCAACGCTGACAGCTGCCATCTCTGCTTTTAATCGTCCTGTTGTTTTTGGCCGCATCGCAGAAAGATGCCAAAAAGGAGAAGGCGCACGTGGACCGCGAATTCTTCAGGTGAGATGCCGACCGATTCCTATCAATGATCAGCAAGTTCATATGTTGACGTTGTTGCATTTCTTTCGCGCTGTAGGCAGCTGGGAAGCCTACTCAAAGTTGTCATTCCCGGCGTCTTCACACCAGAGGTAAAGTCACTACTTTTTATATTTCATTTTCTTTTTTTTCCTTTTTTTTACGAAATAGTCCGGGCCTGTACACCACTCGCCTAGCTTCGATCACAATCGAGTGCTGCCGGGATCAAGCTCCTCGATCGTGATTGGCTCATTTGCGTATGGTGCGCTGAAAGGAGCTAATCGCGTTCGAGACACTTGATCATGATCGAGAGTCAGACCGAAGAATGTAACTGCCGTTGACAGCTGGTCAAATTATGCCAATACAGATCGAACTGCGCAGCACAAGCGATGTTGAAGGGCAGATTTGAGTGGCGAGGAATTGGAAAGGAAAGATCACTTTAGAGCTAAATTTTAATGCATCATTTGCTCTCTATCCTCGTGCATCGGGAAGTTTGGCAAATGAATCTGACCTTGGTAGGATCTGCGATTGCCAATGGTTGCCAGTTTTCCTCAAAGAGGTGGTCTATTGAAATTCGTTGCTAGAACATAACCTCATGTGGCCCTTGCGTGTTAACTCTGTGGCCAATGCTCGGCAACCGATAGCCTTGTTGCAATATATGCTTAGCGGTTCCCCCATTTGTGATTTGTAATTAATCTGTCATTATTGCGTGGAATTATTACATCATTAGATGCTGCTGTTTGAACTCCTCGGCAGTGCTAAGCAGTACCGATATCAAAATATGCACCTAATTATCTTCATTATCAAGATTGATTTTGATCAAGTGCAATCAAAACTATACCCATATCTGTTCGCGCACAGTATTGAAATATTGCCACTAGCAAGAGAGGTAACCAGCGGTTCTGCTTTCCTGTGCCGCAGTAGTTTGCATTGTTTCCAACAAAATGGTTGTGAAACAAAATATTCTTGAAAGCTGTTCACTTTTGATTTGAAACCAATTATGATGACATTTATTTTATGAGTTCAGTCATTGTCCATGTTTTTCTTTTTCAAGTTTCAATGAGTTTAATATTAGCATTTGCTAAGTTTAATTTGTTTCTTTATCTTAGCATAAGCAGGACTGCAGATTGTTTTCTAATGGACCCTCTTTGTCACATGTGACACGGAACTTACACTAATTGCCGACTAAGTGGATTATTAACTCTCCGTCCCAGTTTCGAAGAAACAGGCACGCTAGCATCCGTAGACATAAGCATATTACGAGAAGTGGCCTGGGATTGCCCCATCATGTCTAGACCAGGAATGCCCACGTGAGACCAGACGGCCGTGGGTACAAAGATGTGGCAAAGTGCCAAATGGAATTCTGATCCTTTCCGTCGTGGTCAGAAGGAAAGGCTGCGCAAAAGTGTGTGCTAGCATTTAATTACCCTGGTCATTGGTCTCCCTTGCTTGTGAAATTGTAATAAAGTAATGTGATACAGTAGACTCTCAATAAATGGAAATTCTTAAATTGAACAACTGCCTCTGATAGGATTGGTTTCATACCTTAATTGTACACCCTTGTCTGGCTCTTGGTAAATAATACTCCTGTTAAACGAAACATGTCTTCCTGGTCCCTTCAGGTTTTGTTTAATGAGATTGTACTGTAATCTTGTTGGGTGTCACTTGCGTGGCCCTCAGTGTCAAAACACTTTTCGCGTGCTCAAGATCGCGAGAATTACACAGCCGTGAAGCAGGTGAAGAGCTTTCGCAAAGGGCCTTAGTAAAAAAACTCAGACGAGCATGGAAAGGAACAGCATTTGTGAGTTTCTACCTTTTCTTTTCCAGCTGTTTGTAAAATATGGATGCACACCAACACACCCTGCTCATCATCTGCTCTCGGTTTCAATGAAAAGTTTTTAATTATTCATTATAGTGAGGACCTACGCAGCTATTCAAAGCGGGCCCGACGTGAAACACTGCTGAAAAAAAAAAAAAAAAACCCAAGCCTGCGCGGAACATGCAGCACAGTCACAGTGAAAGCTTGCAGAGCGGCCTTTTTAAACACAATTTGGGTAACTGCTACAACCACACTTGCAGGGTACCCACTATGCCATATAGCATCATCATTTTTGTGTAGTAGAGAGGCATTCACTATGATATCCTTCATCATTCTTGAGTGAAGAGTAGTACCTGCTACACACTTGCAAGGCATTGCGTGCAATTTTTTTGATGCTGTGGCTGACAACAATGAAGAATAATGCCTAGCGCTAATGTAACGGGGGGGTTGTACCATTCAATGACACACTCGGTACACAATTCGCTTTCTGTGACGCATGGCTGTTTCTTTGCTGCTTTAAACTGGTTTATTACACGCGTTAATGTTATTTCTTTCCCGGCTCAAAGCCTGCTCAGGGTCAGTTTGCCATGGAGTTCCAAGCACCGGTGTAGCTCAGTGGTAGGATTCTGGGCTGGCATGCACGGGACCCGGGTTCGAATCCCATGCTGTACTTGGTGTTTTTTTATTTACTTAGTTGTTTTCTCACTTTGTGCAATAGAGGTTACGAACACGACAGCAGCAGCGGACAACTACGGCGCGAGACTTCTTGTAATCTCATAGTAATAGCTTCCACTGTAAAATATTTTTCAAGTGTGAATCTATTACTCTGTAGCATATAGAGATGAAAGGTAGACACATTAATGTGTACCAGCAACTCATTTTACTGATGGCGAATTCTACGGGTAGATCCGGAACGGCCGCCGAAATCATGGAGCGAGCATTCGGATTGGGCCAAGGCAGATCTGCCAGTGGAACAGGTGATTGCCCCGCGTGAGGTTGCTGCCGAAGTTTCTCACCCATAAACGTTGTTTCACGCATATGTCACTAAACTGGTACTGGAAACTTTCTCAACGTAGCCAGTTCATTGGCCATTTCTTTATACATCATTTCGTATAGCATGTATGGCTCGTCGTCCTCACTGTTGTTACTTAGCAGAACTAGTGCTCTCGCTGTCGCATAAAGCGAGAAGCAAACCATCAGCAGTACGTCCAGCAGAGTCAAACGACGCCATTTTTGGACTAAACAAGTGCACAAGGTGACTAGACACCACCTCAAAAAACGCTGAAAACAACCTAGCAGCCACTGAGCTGCCCGACGGTGCCGGAAATGACGACAAAGCATTCACGGAGTTCCGGCAAAATCCGTCTCTGCAAGATGGAGCACGCAGTACACTTAGTTGCGGAGTGGGTTACTCCGAATATGCCTGTGGCAAACGCGAACCTGCAACGAATCTGCCAGCGGAATGCAGATTCTCAGCCGTGCCCCGCCGCGGTGCTTTAGTAGCTAAGGTACTCAGCTGCTGACCCACAGGTCGTGGGATCGAATCCAGGCTGTGGCGGCTGCATTTCCGATGGAGGCAAAAATGTTGTAAACCCGTGTACTCAAATTTGGGTGCACGTTAAAGAACCCCAGGCGGTCGAAATTTCTGGAGTCCTCCACTACGGCGTCTCTCATAATCATATAGTGGTTTTGGGACTTTAAACCCCACATATCAATCAATCAATCAGATTCTCAGCCGCGGAGCAAGAAAACTTGGCTCTGCCGCAAGAAATTATGCAACAGTTCACACATCTCATTTCAACCTTCAGCACAGGTCCAATTAGAGCTTTCTGAAAAGGCACGCTACACATTTTAAGTAATGCTAATGTTATCAAGTGTTTCTGCGATGATCCACAATCTTGGTATCCACAATGTTATATGTTATATAATGCATAAAATAATAAAGGATGAGAATATTGAACACGAGGAAGTAGTTTGAGCAGTCTTGGTACCTTACCTCTCACTCAAAAATGTTGCGTTTAGTGCCAAAACAAAAACTACCCTATTGTGTCATTCCATAGGGTCCATGCTTAGCCGGGACTGAGGCAATTCACCTGGACCATTTCACTTCTCATTCCAAACTTTTATGTTCGGCTGTAGTATCAACAATCGGCAAACGTGTGAAATTTTTTCATTAATGTTTCATCTGCAGCATGTACACAACATAAACAAGATAAGTAACCATAAATATGCAATACTTATACATACTAAGCCAACTAGAG